CATGGTGTGTGTGTGCTGCATGGTGTGTGTGTGTGTGCTGCATGGTGTGTGTGTGTGTGCTGCATGGTGTGTGTGTGTGTGCTACATGGTGTGTGTGCTGCATGGTGTGTGTGCTACATGGTGTGTGTGTGTGTGCTACATGGTGTGTGTGTGCTGCATGGTGTGTGTGTGTGCTGCATGGTGTGTGTGTGTGTGTGCTGCATGGTGTGTGTGCTACATGGTGTGTGTGTGTGTGTGCTGCATGGTGTGTGTGTGTGCTGCATGGTGTGTGTGTGTGCTGCATGGTGTGTGTGTGTGCTGCATGGTGTGTGTGTGTGCTGCATGGTGTGTGTGTGTGTGCTGCATGGTGTGTGTGTGTGTGCTGCATGGTGTGTGTGTGCTGCATGGTGTGTGTGTGTGTGCTGCATGGTGTGTGTGCTGCATGGTGTGTGTGTGTGTGCTGCATGGTGTGTGTGTGTGCTGCATGGTGTGTGTGTGTGTGCTGCATGGTGTGTGTGTGCTGCATGGTGTGTGTGTGTGCTACATGGTGTGTGTGTGTGTGCTACATGGTGTGTGTGTGTGCTACATGGTGTGTGTGTGTGTGTGCTACATGGTGTGTGTGTGCTGCATGGTGTGTGTGCTACATGGTGTGTGTGTGTGCTACATGGTGTGTGTGTGCTGCATGGTGTGTGTGTGTGCTACATGGTGTGTGTGTGTGCTACATGGTGTGTGTGTGCTACATGGTGTGTGTGTGCTACATGGTGTGTGTGTGCTGCATGGTGTGTGTGTGTGTGTGCTACATGGTGTGTGTGTGTGTGCTACATGGTGTGTGTGTGTGCTACATGGTGTGTGTGTGTGCTACATGGTGTGTGTGTGCTACATGGTGTGTGTGTGCTACATGGTGTGTGTGTGCTACATGGTGTGTGTGTGTGCTGCATGGTGTGTGTGTGTGTGTGCTACATGGTGTGTGTGTGTGTGCTACATGGTGTGTGTGTGTGCTACATGGTGTGTGTGTGTGTGCTACATGGTGTGTGTGTGCTACATGGTGTGTGTGTGCTGCATGGTGTGTGTGTGTGCTGCATGGTGTGTGTGTGCTGCATGGTGTGTGTGTGTGTGCTGCATGGTGTGTGTGTGTGTGCTACATGGTGTGTCTGCTGCATGGTGTGTGTGCTACATGGTGTGTGTGTGTGTGCTACATGGTGTGTGTGTGTGTGCTGCATGGTGTGTGTGTGTGTGCTGCATGGTGTGTGTGTGTGTGCTGCATGGTGTGTGTGCTACATGGTGTGTGTGTGTGCTGCATGGTGTGTGTGTGTGCTGCATGGTGTGTGTGTGTGCTGCATGGTGTGTGTGTGTGTGTGCTGCATGGTGTGTGTGTGCTGCATGGTGTGTGTGTGCTGCATGGTGTGTGTGTGTGTGTGCTGCATGGTGTGTGTGTGTGTGTGCTGCATGGTGTGTGTGCTGCATGGTGTGTGTGTGTGTGCTGCATGGTGTGTGTGTGTGCTGCATGGTGTGTGTGTGTGTGCTGCATGGTGTGTGTGTGTGCTGCATGGTGTGTGTGTGTGCTACATGGTGTGTGTGTGTGTGCTACATGGTGTGTGTGTGTGCTACATGGTGTGTGTGTGTGTGCTACATGGTGTGTGTGTGCTGCATGGTGTGTGTGCTACATGGTGTGTGTGTGTGCTACATGGTGTGTGTGTGTGTGCTGCATGGTGTGTGTGTGTGTGCTACATGGTGTGTGTGTGTGCTACATGGTGTGTGTGCTACATGGTGTGTGTGTGCTACATGGTGTGTGTGTGTGTGTGCTGCATGGTGTGTGTGTGTGTGCTACATGGTGTGTGTGTGTGTGTGTGCTATATGGTGTGTGTGTGCTACATGGTGTGTGTGTGTGCTACATGGTGTGTGTGTGCTACATGGTGTGTGTGTGCTACATGGTGTGTGTGTGCTACATGGTGTGTGTGCTGCATGGTGTGTGTGTGTGTGCTACATGGTGTGTGTGTGTGTGCTACATGGTGTGTGTGTGCTACATGGTGTGTGTGTGCTACATGGTGTGTGTGTGTGCTACATGGTGTGTGTGTGTGCTGCATGGTGTGTGTGTGTGTGTGCTACATGGTGTGTGTGTGCTACATGGTGTGTGTGTGTGCTACATGGTGTGTGTGTGTGTGTGCTGCATGGTGTGTGTGTGCTACATGGTGTGTGTGTGTGTGCTACATGGTGTGTGTGTGTGCTGGGGTCACCTGCGCCTCCTTGGTCCTCGAATTGGCGCCCTCGAAGGCCCCGCGCTCCCCGCTCGGCGCGGCCGCCTCGTTCAGCGCTGCGATGCGAATCTGGGGGCACAGGCGGCGAGGGTCTCCCCGTTGTCTCTCACTGTCCCCGTGTCTCTCACTGTCCCCGTGTCTTCCCATTGTCTCTCACTGTCCCCGTGTCTCTCACTGTCCCCGTGTCTCTCACTGTCCCCGTGTCTCCTCATTGCCTCTCACTGTCCCCGTGTCTCTCACTGTCCCCGTGTCTCCCCATTGTCTGTCATTGTCCCCGTGTCTCTCACTGTCCCCGTGTCTCCCCATTGTCTCTCACTGTCCCCGTGTCTCTCACTGTCCCCGTGTCTCCCCACTGTCTCTCACTGTCCCCGTGTCTCCCCATTGTCTCTCACTGTCCCCGTGTCTCTCACTGTCCCCGTGTCTCCCCGTGTCTCCCCGTGTCTCAGACTATCCCCGTGTGTCCCCGTGTCTCACCATGTCGAGGGATGAACTCGCCCGCGTATCCTTCCACCGGCGTCTTCTCGCCGCGACCTCTCACCCCGAGACTCCCTGGTATCCCCTATCACAACGGGACCCCCTCGCTGTCCCCCCGAGACCCACTCGCTGTCCCCCCGAGACCCCCTCGCTGTCCCCCCGAGACCCCCTCGCTGTCCCCCCGAGACCCCCTCGCTGTCCCCCCCGAGGCCCCCGTTGCGTGAGACCGCAGCATGGGGTTGAGTCAAGGCGGCGCGTGGGCGGGGTAGGCCGGGGGCCGCGTTCTGAATCTCCACCTCGGCGCGCTCCAATGGCGTGAAAGGAGGCCGCGTTCGGAGTCTCCACTACTCGGAGCGGAGTCTTTCGGTGCCGCGAGGGCGCCACCGCGAGGGCGCCACTCTCAGCTGGCCTGGTACTTCCGGGCGTGTTGGCAGCATACCGTATGGCCCCTCATGCGTCCACGGTTATTCGCCGATTCGCTGTGGCCGCCGGTGCTGGTTCGTCCACCCGTCGCGCCTCAAGCCCTCATCAGGCCGTTTTTGTCCTTTACTTTGTCGTCGAGAGATGGTACACGAGGTTGGTGTCATTGGTGGGTGGTGTGCGGGGTCGTGTGTTTCGCGCACTTGTTTTGCTCGCCTACCCATTTTATTGACATGTATAATTGTATATAGTGTTCATTTGTACAGGTGGGCTGGGGTATTTATTGCTGGGGATGTTTTGTTATAGTCCTGTTCGCTGTTGAGGCACACGTTGTCATTGACATTACGAGTCAGCTGGGGGAGTGGTCAGCCGGGACGGCTGAGTGCTACGAGGGGGCGGAGTGATATAGTGGCATCGGGGGATGCCACTGCATGCCACGTAAGGCCGGCCTGTGTGTGGAGCAGGAGACACGCTGGTCACACCACCTACAGCACGGCAGTTGTGTGACATTCCACTCCGTGTGCAGTGTCAGCCCCTGAAGGCTAGGGGGCGAGAGCGCCTGGAGCGGCGCAGGGGTGACAAGGGGCCATGGCACTCCGGATGAACCCGGAGGGCTAGTGGCCGGAGGTACCGGGGGTGGGGCCCCCAAAGAGGGGGGCTGGGGGACCTCGGGACCGGTTCCAGGGGCCTTTGGAAGGGCCGAGAAGGGAGGCGTGCCTAGGGGCGGAGGAAGCCCCCGGACTGAGTATATAAGCCGGACCCCTAAACGGGTTCGGCTGCTGTTGTTCATCTGAAGATATGAAGCTGTCCTGAAGAAGAAGCCCCGAAGTCAAGACCAGGACTCGAGTCGGGGTTCGGGCTTGACGGTCTCCCCAGTTGTGTTAGGACTAGTTAGCCCGGAGGGACAACCTCCCCAGGTTACCTGGTGGAAGGGGCAGCTACTCCTTTGTGTTAGCGAGTATTGTTATAATAAACGTGTTGCCTCCAGAGAAGCCTCCTTCTCCATTTGTACCCACTACATTAGCATAACAGCCCTGCGGACCACCTGGAGGACCATAGCTGGCCACTGGTGGTCCGGGAACTGCACTGAGAGGCACTGCTCTAGAGAAATCAAACACGCCTCTCTCCCTATGTGTGCAATGCAAAAACAATATCTGCTCCTGTTTGTGCAAAACTCCGTAAAGTGAGTGAGTGCCTTTTTTAATGAGGGCGGCTCCTTGGGGGGGGGGCATGGGGCGGGGTGGGGGCAATGCCGCCCCAATCTGGACACCTTTATCAATTTATTTTCAGTCGTTTACAATTAACATTAATAATTAAATGTATGCATCCGCGATTCCTAATGTGGGGGACAAAGAGAACCCCTGCCCCCCCCCCCGAAATATAGACGTCAAACCTCGCCTATGGGGAGAAGTAATACAATGGAATAACATTCAGAGGGCACCACCATTGAATACAACAACCAACTCTGTGTGCCACCGCTACCCAAACTTGAGCGTGGGAAAGGGCGCTTAGAAGCCTCAGTATGGTCCTCCACCGATTGCAGTGGCGAGCGCACACCCCCTACTCAGTCCACCGAGCAGAGCGGAGGGATGATCGGAGTTCTGCTCTCGAGCCAGAGTTTGGATGAAGCAGCAGAATGTCACGTGGCTGCTGGGAGTTGATTAACAAGAGGCGTAGCAACAAGGAAACCATTTTTTTGTCAGTAACACTGTCTTAAAAGGACAATTATATCATCGGCGTAACTAACCCAAGAATTATTTTGACCGAAACATTGACAATTATTTGTTATTTCTGAGTGCCAACCCATCAGCATCACCAAATAATTTGTAGCAACGACAGACAATTTTTACAGAGAAACTGACACTTTAGAAATAATGTGGCTTTCATAAATTTTATCAAATCGTATAAACTTATATAAAAGTGTTCTGAATAATTCCTGCCCGACAGGTTTTGTTTTCACAAAAACCATAAATGCAAATTTAAGATACAGCATCAACAAGGCCACATTACGGACGCAGAGCAAACACACTCAACGTTTGTAGGATCTGTAACGTTGCAACTCTTCAACAAATATCAGAACCATAGCAACCCTTAAAACGTACACCATGTTATGAGTCAGAGCAGTCAATTAATTGGAACAAAAGTCACAACTAATTATTACACCACTGAGAGCAATGTGAGAAGTTTGTTCAATTACACCATAGAGACAGAACCACAAACACAAAGCAGACACCCAAGTTGAGCTCTTATGCATTACGCTCTACTGTGCCTCGGCGATTGGAACTGGTAAAATGACAAATGGCCGCATATTCAGCTATTTTGCAAGGCACATCTTTATGTGCTGTTCAAGCTATGATGTGACACCAGCTATGATGTGACACAAGCCAATTCCAGTCAACCAAACACGTGCCAATTCCCAAACTATCCAGGTCAGACACAGGACAGGTGGCGACCTATCTCACCAGGTGCGATGGTTTGTGCTGTGATTCCATAAGAGTAGAATTTGACATTTACACACCACTATGCACACTACGCATGCACACCACACACACGGACATCCATTTATACAGCCATATCACTCACGATAATGGTCAGAAGAGAATATTTAAATAATTATGACCCAAATCCAAACAAAAACGGGCATGTGTTGAATCGCTTCACACGCCACGCTAAAACGCAACGACCCCGCTCCCACGGCGCCGTCCGTCTGCGTGGTCTGTGGGGGAGTCCGCAGGGGAGTCCGCGGGGCAGTTCCGCTCAGCTGGGTGTCTTCTTGGTCCACGCGTCGCGCCGGTGCTGCACCGCCCTCTCCAGCAGCTCCGACGCCGCGGAGCTCGACGCCTCGGAGCGCGCCGACAGCAGCGCGATCCGCTCATCAGCGCCTGAAGCACGGACAACGTCGAACCTTCCTTGAGCACGACTGAACTACATTTTTTTTGTTTACAAGGTAATGTCCACTGAGCTATATAAAGTAGCAATTTTTCAGAAGCGACCTGGCCACAAATGATAGCTCAACGAAGTGGCTTATCATCACGTAGAAACTTCTAGCGCATTTTGATTACGAATGTGGAGGGAAAAACCATAGGACCCGGAGAAAAATCCATGCGACCACGGGGAGAAAGACATCCAAACTCCAAATATACAAACTACAGAGTCGAGATCCAACCCATGTGCTCCTGCATACCAGGTGAGGAAGTTAACATCGCCACCGTGGCACACGGTCATGAGCGCTGGCAGAACCAAACAGCTGCTGCTCCATGTGAGATACAACATCTATAAACAGTCAATACCCCCTCCTTTACATACCTGTCCCTCTACATCAGGGGTCACCAAACTTTTTCACAGTGGGCCGGATAACTGAAAGAATGACGAGCGCGGGCCGCATAATAAATAAATATTTATGGAGCGTCGGACCTGTGTTGACAGCTGGAAAATATTGGGGCGGGAAAGATGCGTGTTTGTGTGTGTTGCCATGGAAACCATGGTAACGTGTCGCCATGACGTTGCCATGGAAACCATGGTAACGTGTTGCCATGACGTTGCCATGGAAACCACGGTAACGTCAGAGCATAGGCGGAGCTACCACGAGCTGGGGAAGGACTTGGGATGGCACGAAATAAGCAAACATTACAATAAACAAGAAAATCTAGATACAATAATTTAAATTTTTGAATAGTCAATTTAAGGAACATAGCAGTCAGGAGGTCTCCGCACGTGTGAAGATCTCCTAGTATTCTAAACATAATATTTAAATTGTATCACAACGTCTCGTGTTCCGTACGTTTTATCAACCAAATTCAAGTACTGTCGGCGGGGCTGATGGACTGACGTCGCAGGCCGGATCCGGCCCGCGGGCCGTAGTTTGGTGACCCCTGCTCTACATTGAAAGAAAGTAATTTGTACACATCCCATCAGCCGAAAGACCTTCTGGGAATGCATCATGTCAGCAGCATTGGTTCAATCCAAGCAAACTCTGGACCGGTTTCTGCATGCAGTATTTCATCAGCAGAGTCTGGCTCGCTTGAACCCATGCTGGTAAACTGCGAGATGTTTACAGGCGAGGACTCTTCTCATAAACAAGACAAAACGATTAATGTCGTGTAGATTATAAATAACAAAATAAATAAGCAGACACTTCTCCATGCCTTCTGGGTGTGCATAATTTCAGCAGAAACCAAGTGATAACTGTTGTCATTGTGCCCAGTCATAACTGCATCAGTGGTAGTTGTTTACAGAGTGGTAATGTTTTAACCCATGGGATGATATTTAGCAAAGCGCATCATAGTGGCCATTAGCTATTGCAACCTGGAGAGCGGTGGTACGGTGGTTCATGCCCTAGTCCAGTGGTTCTCAACCAGGAGTACGCAGACCCCTAGGAGTACGTGGCAATGTCCCAAGGGGTACGTGAGGTGATTTATAAACGTGTGTGCAATTATATCATACACGAGAGTCATTTGGTGACTAATCATGTATGAATCTGCCAATATAAAATAACCACGATACAATTAAAATTCACATGGTAACCTAGAACGATATAAAAGACCTTCCTAAACTCATTGACAAGGTGCAGTGAGGGCGATGCTGGCTGTTGCGCTGTAGGTTGTTGTTGGCGCAATGATGGAGAGCTCACCCGGCAAGAGTCTGGCGGGAGCGGAGTGGAGGAGCGGCTCCCGCACGGGCGAGCTGGGCCATGGCTCCTCCCGCAGGGGCAGCGGGTCGAACGTCCTGGTGCCCGCGCACGGTAGCAGGTCCGGCGCTCGCGCTGTGCTCTGTGGGGCGGCAGCGTAGGGGGAGTCACCCGACCGGGTGGGCGCTATCGAGCTGCGCCGTTAAAAGAACGGCGACTCGAAGCAACGGAAAAAAATCCGCCTCTCTCTCTTTATCTAAAGCACATCAAGCCTCCCGTAAACCACATTTAGAAACACGTGTATTGGAGTAACGCGCGCGGGGTTTGCAAATGGTGTGCACGCATGTGTGCGTTGCGGATAGTGAAGTCACGTCAGGGCACACGGGTGCCGAGAGAGACAGCAACCAGAGAAGGTGACCAATTAAGATGCATAACGGTGATTGGCTGGCTGCAAATGAAGACACGGTGTAGGCGTCTCGGAGTCTGGAGATTGAGGCGATAACGGCGTGAGGCTGACGAGAGGTCACCAGCTTAATTAAGGAGTTAATGAGTGAGGGGATATAAGGCGATGTGCGGAGACACGCGGGGGAGTTGTGAGTTGGGTTGGTTGGAGTGAAGACAAGTCCGGTCCCTGCTCTCCACACCTCGTCCTCTCCTCCAGCGGAGATGCCTGGTCCCCCGCTGGAGGCAGGGGCGAAGATGGAGCGAGGGTAGACAGGCCAGCAGTGGAGAAGCTAGCAAAGTATATAGCGGAAGACTAGCAGTGGAGAAGCTAGCAGAGCATATAGCGGAAGGCTACCAGTGGAGAAGCTAGCAGAGCATATAGTAATAGGCTAGCAGTGGAGAGGCTATGAGAGAGAGGGAGAACAGGCTAGCAGTGGAGAGGCTAGGAGAGTGAAAGAGAACAGGCTAGCAGTGGAGAGGCTAGGAGAGTGAGAGAGAACAGGCTAGCAGTGGAGAGGCTAGGAGAGTGAGAGAGAACAGGCTAGCAGTGGAGAGGCTAGGAGAGTGAGAGAGAACAGGCTAGCAGTGGAGAGGCTGAGAGAGCAGGCGAGCAGCACAAGTGGGAAAATCACGACAGATCTATGCGGTGTCGAACGTGAGGAGTTATGTTCAATAAAAAGTGACACAGCAGAAAAAGAAGTTGTCCACGTGAAATAAAAACACTACACATTGGATTATTTTGCTGCTATACATTTCTACATGAAACGCCACTTTGTTGAGCTATCATTTGTGGCCTGGTCGCATCTTAAAAATTAAGTTAACACCTCCGTGGGCTTTGTCTGGTAGGATCGGGATGGTTTAGTTTTATTTTATGTTTTTTCAGTGTTTGCCTTTCCTGTACTTTGCACTCCTATCGTGTTTTGTATTTTTAGTTGTAACATTCTTACCCGCCCCAACTCGCTCATCGGATTCCTCCAGGATAAACAATATATTATGATTCTGACTTCTGTTTGGCCAACCCCCACTCTGAACCCCTCCCCTCTCCTTGCCGCCCGCTGTGAAAACACACGCTGCTACTCCGTGCAGCAGCAGCAGCGGCGGCGAGACCATGCTGCAGCCTCTCCCTCCCTCTCCTGATCTCTCCTGTTCCTCTGTTCTTTTCCCATCCTTCTCTTACATTCTCTCTCTTGTCTCTTCCCTCCCCTTGTTCCTTTTTTTGCTTCCATAAATTATATCGTTGACTCTACTCCCCATTCCCCGTGGCATGTGCCATACACTTCATGCTTCATCTCCGTCCGGGTGTGACTGCGCGTGTTGCTTAAGCAACGTTATCGTTGCATGTGGATTGCGACTGGGTTTTTGTTGATGGATTCGGATGAACCAATACAGGCATTCATCTTGGCAATGTCAACAACATTCTCTGATATCGTGAGAGAAAAGTCAGCGTGGTTTTTTTGTTTGTTTTACGTCCAATTGTATTTACATTCGTAAGCACACTTTGGGCACGCTCTTCAGGAAGCATGTGGGGTTAAGGACACAACCCCAGCCAGCCTGCTGATCGTCGCTCGCAGGACGAGGGCCCGGAGCCCCAGCCCACGCTCCCAGTGGGCCATGGCCGGCCCTCACCTGCGAGTGAGGCAGAACCCTCACCTGTGAGTGAGGTGGAGCCCTCACCTACATGTGACGAGGAGCCCTCACCTACGTGTGAGGAGGAGCCCTCACCTACGTGTGAGGAGGAGCCCTCACCTGTGAGTGAGGAGGAGCCCTCACCTGTGAGTGAGGCAGAACCCTCACCTACGTGTGAGGAGGAGCCATCACCTACGTGTGAGGAGGAGCCCTCACCTACATGTGAGAAGGAGCCCTCACCTGTGAGTGAGGTGGAGCCCTCACCTACGTGTGAGGAGGAGCCCTCACCTACGTGTGAGGAGGAGCCCTCACCTGTGAGTGAGGAGGAGCCCTCACCTACGTGTGAGGAGGAGCCCTCACCTACATGTGAGGAGGAACCCTCACCTGTGAGTGAGGAGGAGCCCTCACCTACGTGTGAGGAGGAGCCCTCACCTGTGAGTGAGGTGGAGCCCTCACCTACATGTGAGGAGGAGCCCTCACCTGCGTGTGAGGAGGAGCCCTCACCTACGTGTGAGGAGGAGCCCTCACCTGTGAGTGAGGAGGAGCCCTCACCTACGTGTGAGGAGGAGCCCTCACCTGCGTGTGAGGAGGAGCCCTCACCTGTGAGTGAGGTGGAGCCGCGCTGGCTCCATCGCGATACTTGTGCGGCGAGAACAGTTTTCCCAGTGGCGTCTCCCTCTGCTGGGACGCCAGCCCCTCCTTGGGAGGAGACACCAGCAGGGCACCCCCTGTGGCAGGGGAAAGCGAACATCACGGGCCCGGTAAACTAACGCCGCTCGACAAGCGCCGATGCTTCACAAAGCGCATGGGCCGACGTCTGTTTACTTATTTATTGCAGTAAATGGATACGCACCATACGTAATGATATCTATTCGTTGCAGGTGGTGCTATTGTATGCGGTAAAATGAGGGTCAATGTGTCTCCAAGCTCAAAACAAGAAATGGAAAACATTCAAATACATGCTTCATGTACTTACATAATGTGCACGTGTAGTGATGTTATTTCACGCGGACAACTTCTTGTTTTTCTCCTGTGCCACTTTTATTCGAACAAAACTCCTTGCGTTCAGCGCCACGCCTCACTCCACTCTCTCTCCTAGCCTCTCCACTGCTAGCCTGCTCTCTCTCACTCTCCTAGCCTCTCCACTGCTAGCCTGCTCTCTCTCAATCTCCTAGCCTCTCCACTGCTAGCCTGTTCTCTCTCACTCTCCTAGCCTCTCCACTGATAGCCTGCTCTCTCTCCTAGTCTCTCCACTGCTAGCCTGCTCTCTCTCAGCCTCTCCACTGCTAGCCTGTCTCTCTCTCCCACTCTCCTAGTCTCTCTACTGCTCGCCTGTCTCTCTCTCACTCTCCTAGTATCTCTACTGCTAGCGTGCTCTCTCAGTCTCCTAGCCTCTCCACTGCTAGCCTGTCTCTCTCTCTCTCACTCTCCTAGTCTCTCTACTGCTAGCCTGTTCTCTCACTCTCCTAGCCTCTCTACTGCTAGCCTGCTCTCTCTCCTAGCCTCTCCACTGCTAGCCTGCTCTCTCTCACTCTCCTAGCCTCTCCACTGCTAGCCTGCTCTCTCACTCTCCTAGTCTCTCCACTGCTAGCTTGCTCTCTCTCTCCCACTCTCCCAGCCTCTCCACTGCTAGCCTGCTCTCTCTCCTAGTCTCTTCACTGCTAGCCTGCTCTCTCTCAGCCTCTCCACTGCTAGCCTGTCTCTCTCTCCCACTCTCCTAGTCTCTCTACTGCTAGCCTGTCTCTCTCTCACTCTCCTAGTCTCTCTACTGCTAGCCTGCTCTCTCTCTCACTCTCCTAGCCTCTCCACTGCTAGCCTGTCTCTCTCTCACTCTCCTAGTCTCTCTACTGCTAGCCTGTTCTCTCACTCTCCTAGCCTCTCCACTGCTAGCCTGCTCTCTCTCTCACTCTCCTAGCCTCTCCACTGCTAGCCTGCTCTCTCTCTCCCACTCTCCTAGCCTCTCCACTGCTAGCCTGCTCTCTCTCACTCTCCTAGCCTCTCCACTGCTAGCCTGCTCTCTCTCCTAGTCTCTCCACTGCTAGCCTGCTCTCTCTCCTAGTCTCTCCACTGCTAGCCTGCTCTCTCTCCTAGTCTCTCCACTGCTAGCCTGCTCTCTCTCAGCCTCTCCACTGCTACCCTGTCTCTCTATCCCACTCTCCTAGTCTCTCTACTGCTAGCCTGTCTCTCTCTCTCACTCTCCTAGTCTCTCTACTGCTAGCCTGCTCTCTCACTCACTCTCATAGCCTCTCCACTGCTAGCCTGTCTCTCTCTCTCACTCTCATAGTCTCTCTACTGCTAGCCTGTTCTCTCACTCTCCTAGCCTCTCCACTGCTAGCCTGCTCTCTCTCCTAGCCTCTCCACTGCTAGCCTGCTCTCTCTCACTCTCCTAGCCTCTCCACTGCTAGCCTGCTCTCTCACTCTCCTAGCCTCTCCACTGCTAGCCTGCTCTCTCTCACTCTCCTAGCCTCTCTACTGCTAGCCTGCTCTCTCTCACTCTCCTAGCCTCTCCACTGCTAGCCTGCTCTCTCACTCTCCTAGCCTCTCTACTGCTAGCCTGCTCTCTCTCAGCCTCTCCACTGCTAGCCTGCTCTCTCTCTCTCTCTCAGCCTCTCCACTGCTAGCCTGCTCACTCTCCCAGCCTCTCCACTGCTAGCCTGCTCTCTCTCACTCTCCTAGTCTCTCCACTGCTAGCCTGCTCTCTCTCAGCCTCTCCACTGCTAGCCTGCTCTCTCTCTCTCTCTCAGCCTCTCCACTGCTAGCCTGCTCTCTCTCTCTCACTCTCCCAGCCTCTCCACTGCTAGCCTGCTCTCTCTCACTCTCCTAGCCTCTCCACTGCTAGCCTGCCCTCTCACTCTCCTAGACTCTCCACTGCTAGCCTGTTCTCTCTCACTCTCCTAGCCTTTCCACTGCTAGCCTGCTCTCTCGCTCAGCCTCTCCACTGCTAGCCTGCTCTCTCTCTCACTCTCCTAGCCTCTCCACTGCTAGCCTCTCGCTAATACTCTGCTAGCTTCTCTTGTGTTCACTCTTCTCTTCACTCCAACCAACTCAGCTCACAACTCCCCCGCGTGTCTCTGCACATCGCCTTATAACCCTTCACTCATTAAGAGACCCCAGGTGGCCCTCAATTAAGCCGCCGCTCACGTGGCGTCTCTGCCACGTTGATCGCCTCCATCTGCAGACTCCCAGGCGCCTCCGCCGTGTCTGCATTTGCAGCCAGCCAATCACTGCTATGGTTCTCAATTGGTCGCCTTTCTCTGGTTGCTCTTTCTCCGCACATGTTTGTGCTGACGTGACTTCACTGTCCGCCGCTCACACATGCGTGCACACTGTTTGCAAAACCCCGCGGGCTGCTCCACTACACATGCGTAATATGCATAAGTGATGTATGCATGCATATGTATGTTTATTAACTGACTAACCCAACCAATAATAGATATCCATTGTAATTTACATAAATACATTAACCCCCCCCCCCCCATCAGGTCTTCGCACCTGATTGGTTCACAAGTGATGAACACATTTATCCCCCGTCTATTTAAGACTGAAACAGGATTTCACCACAATTCTGGCTGTCCCTTCCTTGATGAGGCTGGTTGTAATTACTGGCAAAACTTCACGGTACTCGAATTTTAAATGTTCTGGGTTTACTCTGCAACACACCGGTGTGCTGAACTAGTAACTAATTGCATGTTTTGTTTACGTGACAAATTTTACTAATTAGCTGTGTCACGACACATTGATATTTACACGATTTAACCCCAAAAAAAACTATGATGGATTCATATCCTGGGAGCATCTCCACAGCATAACTGTGGGTAACTTCACACAAGGTGGTACTCAATTGTGAGAGACAAGTGTCCATACCCCAGCCGGACTTCGAGCTCGCAAACTAAGCAGGGGGTGCCGTTCGGCCGGAGGGATTAACTTTCGTGAAGTGGGTGCTTCAGGCGGAGGCGCGGCGGCCGCGAGTTTTCGACGCCTCCTGCCCCCGTGTGTCGCGCTGCACTTCTCAAGCAAGCGCGCGTTCCTACAACACGGTGCCGGGGGGTTCCGGGATATCCGTGAGATTCTAAATTCCCCAAGCAGACCACTCGCATGCGCAAGAGGCCTCCGCTCCTTCACATGCCGGGCCACGTGGCATTCGTGAAGTATTTGGAACGCGCAGGTTTTTGCAGGTGGTATTTACGATTCGTAGTCGGTTGATTCGTTGCGGGCACGCAATGATTCGGCTAAATTAGTGTCATTATGGACGCTCCACCACCTTACACGGTTAAATAAAAATGAGCGTTAAAGGCAGCAGCTATTATCGGTTCGGCTTACCAGTAAGTTGATGAAAAATTCTCACAGCCAAATTCAAACTTATAAATGGAGATGTTGGCGTGTGGAATCCCAATTGAATAATTCGTGGGTCATTTTCAAATGAGGGAAATGTGAACCATGACACCGGCAACATGATGGCCCACTCGTTTTAAATGAGATTGATTGGATCTTTAACGTGTATTTGTACACGTAAAATATTTGTATTGTACACGATAAAGATTTTTTTATTTGTACGGTTAACACGATGCTAACAACCAGGGACGGGCCTGCCGAATTCACCGCCGCCCCAGTGATTAACGCGGCGCGCTCCACACAGCGCGGCGCATGAATCACTGGAACGGTAGTGAGGTGGATCAATCCCACAGCCCTGCGAGGCCGTGGTCCTGCGCCCTTACCGACCGCCGGGGTGGTGAGGTCGTGGTGCGTGCGCTGAGCTCCCCCGAGCGCCGTCAGTCTGGGGGTGGGGAACCGGCCGCCTTCATCTCCGCTCGCCTCTGACCTCACCGAGGCGGCGCTGCATTTCAATTTCACAATTGCAAAGTTAACGCCGTGGATGCTCTTTAAAGACGCCGCTCCCCACGCTCGAGCAGGTCGCAGTAAACCTCTCAGTCCCGCGGTGCCACTCGAGACGACGTCACCGCACGGTGACCACTGTACAGTGCAGCAATGTCACTGGAGTGTGCTTCTGACAGTCACAGCAGAGCTCGTTAGACACTGCACATCACACGACAGGAACATCATCATCATCGTCGTTGTTGTTGTTTACATTGATCGTAATTAGTGTTGCAGCGAGCCGGATTTTTCAGCACCCGGAGCAGGGCATCCATCACCCAATTAGAACGGCTGGCCGGCGTTTTACTTTCGTTGTTTGTCGTAGGAAATAGGTCATAAGAAAGAAGAATTAAGGAAGCTTACGATTCACATCAGACAATCTGGCACACACAGCCTGGGTGGGTGAAACTGTGTGATCTGAGTGGGGAAATGTGTTTTTTTACAAGAAATACAATTTCCACTCTGAGCTCTATTGTGGACCCACTTTGGAAAGTGCAGCTTTGTCCAAAGTTGCTTTCCACGCTGGTCCCTAGACAGCAGAGGATAGAAAGGTGACTCCGCTAAGATCGCTCGCATACACGGAGCACGGTGGTGCAGGGCGGCGTCACCTCCAGCGCTCGCGCGCGTCGTCTGCCTCCTCCTCCTCCTGCACCGCAGCGTGCGGCCGAGCGCCATCCGCGGCGAGCTCCCGAGTCTCGGCAAACGTGGCGGTCGGGGCGGCGGGGGCGGCAGAGGCGGCAGAGGCGGCATCGCCGCTCGCGTTCTCCTCCCAGGCGACGGCGCTCTCCGCCGGAGGCTTGCCGAAGGCCTCGGTCGCCACGCGAGCTGCGCCATCAGCTTTGTCCGCCGCTCCGCCTTTCAAGTTGTCCGCACGGCCGTTACCCACCTGACGCTCTTGTGCCGCGTCGGCCACTCCGCTACCCTTCTCGCGTGGTCTCCGAGCCCACGCTCTCTGTTTGTCTCTCACTCTGTTGGGACAAAGCACAAGGACCCAAATAACATCCTCGTGAGCCAACTCAATTTCGCCAGCCCACACAGCAGAGAGGCGATTCAAGTGTGACTCCAAGAGGGGTTCCGCCATCACACCGTGTGGGACTTTTGCTCTCCGACATGATCGTGGCTCAGCGGGAGAGCGAGCGTCTCGCAATCAGAAGGTCGCAAGTCCAAATCCTGGTTGAGCGTTGACTCAACCCATCATCCCTCAGTGGTCGATAAAAGCAATACCACTCAGGCGGGGAGTCACCAGTGGTTGTCCTTTCGATAGCCTCTCGCCCACCATAGGAATGTGGAATTTATACCGCTGGCTCTGCAGGGCTGTAAACAGGAGATGAGCACCAATGCCTTAATGCTCAATCGAAGCAGGAGATCACTTTATTTTTCAAAACAAGCTCGCGCTACGAGTCCATGCTCACTGCACGTCTCTCTCACGACGAGCGGGGCCGTCAGCCCGGCGGTGTCACCTGGCCAGGTCCAGCGCCTCGACGGCGCTGCTGAAGTCCTCCGCGGCCGCGCTACTCGTGCTCTGCTGGTCCCAGCGTTCGTTCTGCTCTGACAGGATCTGGTTGAGGTGATCGCGGGAGAAGTGCGTGCCCAGCAGGCGCCGCTTGTACGATTCTGCCTTCTCCCGCAGGTCCCGCACCTGCATGCGCACGTGCGTGCGTGCGAGCGGCACACGGTTGCGGCGCACATCAGGAAGCATCATGCGACCTCCGGTTAGCGCAGTTGGCTATGTATGGTGTGAAAGAAGTTCTACATACATGCAACGAGCCAGATTTAAGCAAATGAAAGTACAGGCAGTCCTTGACTTATGAACGAAAGGGGTTACGTTCCTGAGACACGTGCGTAAGTCGATTTGTTCGTATTTTGCAACTAGAGATTTAATTCATAATAAAGGTTTTTGGGTTAGATCGCGTTTATTTATAAAGTGTGTCGTAACCCTCCACCACCCGACACGGCCAATCAGCAAAAAAAAAGTGTCACGTTGACAAAAGACAAATAATTCACTACTTTAGCCCACCGGTGTGTTGAAGAGTGAATCCACATTTACAGTTTGAGTACGACGTTTCGCTGGTAAATACATCCAGCATCATCGGGCAATTCGCCAGAATGGTAAAGCCCTCGCTTGCTCCCGGTTTTATATAGAGCAGCAGGGTGACGTCATCACTTAACTCATATCAGGTGCAGTGATTTATAAATAAACGCGATCTAACCCAAAAACCTTTATTATGAATAATATTGGTCGCGAAAGCCTACGTGTTAAACTAGAGATTTAATTGTACGTTTGGTCAGCGTTATAAAATGTGTTACAGTTCCACACAAAAAGGAAGCAATTTGAAACTCATAAATAAGAATAACTATTGTACATTTGCATGTGTAGTGACATCCCGGATGTCACTGCGTAATGCCGCCCCTCGAGAGGCACAGCGTGCGATGTATTGACATCGCGGGCACCACGTATATGTGGGTGCAGTACCGGCCCTAGAGGGGCTCGGTGAGCGCTGACTGGCAGTGCTGGATGGCACCACGCTCTGCGTGCAGTGCCGACCCCTACAGGACAGGATAGGGTCTGAGAGTGCCGGCCATGGGGTTACTAACGGCCGTGGCATTCTGGTTGACCCCGAAGGCCACGTGACCGATAAAGTCTACACAGGGGCCCCAGGTGGGGGCTAGGAGTGGTCACGTGTCAGGCCCGAGATCCTGCTCGAGGATTCTAGAAGGTGGTCGTGGCTAAGGGCGGTGCCAGCCACCCTGCAGAGGATATAAGCCGGGTCCCCGAGAGGGACCGGCTGCTGTTATTCATCCTGAAGAATCTACGTTCTACGTCCTGCAGAGTCTCCAACACGTGGACCTGGACCCGAGCTGTGGTCCGATCCGTAGTAGCTAGTTACGGAGTAATTAGTGTAGTTAGCCTGGTGGTCCACCACCATTGGTTGTTATCTGGTTAAGGGGCAGTTACCCCTTTGTGTTGGTATTAATAAATGCGTTGCCTCCAAAGAGTACATCTGCGACTCAGTTGAACTCACTACACATGTAATACTGTAATATATACGGTATAGTAAATAAAATAAACATAAAATAAAGTAACATTAACATTTTAAAAATATGTAATTTTCACTTATGTTGAGTCCTGATGCTGGCTTGTCAGAAGGGGTGTGCATCACGTGGGATGCTGGGAATCATTACATATCATGGAGGGTCGTTCCACAGAACAAATAGTTCTGTGGTTTGCTTCATGAGTACGACTGAAGTTTCACAAGTCGGATGGTTAACATAATAACATCTCATGGCGGTTCGTTCGTGAGTGCGGATGTTCATAAGTCGGACAATCGTATCTCGGGGACTGCCTGTACACCGATTATTCTCATGTTTGGCAGCGATAATTTTTCTTTATCTCACCGGTGAGCGAACCGAAACAGTCATCATCGGCACGTGCTTATACGCTTGCACGAGTGCGTTTTTGTCTGTGTCAGGTGGTAGAGGCTCTTGACGACACATTTGGTCAGGTGATTAAATGGCCAAACCCAAAAATCTATTACGAATCAGATTATTATCTGTGCAGTCATTGGTGACGGGCCTGAGACCATCACATCTCTGCAACGTGTGAAGCCATTTTATAAGGTCACACTCATTTATACGGTCGCACTCATTACACACAAAGTGCTTGCCACAAATTAACCACAATACCTTGCTGATCTCGTCAAGGAGCATAAACTATCGCGCAAACTCCGGTCATCCCCGCAGCAGCGGCTTTTGGCTAGCCATTGAACAAAGATGGCCACTGCATCGCGTGTATTCAGATGTGCTTCTGTGAGGGTGTGGAGCCCTCTTCCTTCTGATATTAGGAAAGCACAGGAGCTATACACTTTTAAATATGGACTGAAAACGTATTTTGTTTGAGCAAATGTTTGTGTTTATTTTGTTATCCTTCCCCCGCACCTCCGATTAGCACGGATGGTCATGTACGGTGCGAAATAAATTCAACGTGCAATACATACAAGCCAGTTTAATGACGAGCGGCTGAAGCCTGGATCTGCACCCAGAGATTCCTACGTGAACCCCCAAGCCAACCTCAGGTTAGGGTGGGTGGCTTAGAAAATGGACCCAATCCGTGCCTCTGATTTCCATTGAGCCTGTAAGACGACCCTTCTGTCCGTGTGGCCTCTGGACAGAGGTCATCAGCGATGTCTGATGACTGCAACTCATGTCGCTTTCAGGCCAAACTTGCTCACTTTCACTGTGGCGGTAAAACTAACAACCGACAGCCAGTGAGGCGATAGGGGAAATCTCCCACCCGGTGAGATCTCTAACAATTGGCATTTTGTTGATATTTACCAGAGTAATAACACTGAATGTTTCTATATGCTGATATGTAGGGCCCTGCAGTATTTAAAAAGCTTGAAAATTCAGGATCGCCTCCCCCCTCTGCACCCCCACTCATCATCCCCCATTCGGAAGTTTGTAGACCAGCCTCTGCCAGCAACAGCTACTCACCTCAGCAAGCCACCCGATGCTCCGGCTCTGCTCTGTGCCCTGCACAACGACAAGAGCCAATCGTGCAAGGCAATTCCAACACAACCGGGGCGTGGACGAACGCGGGCAACGTGCGTCAAGTTCGTTAACAACGCGCACACCGCACACGCAAGACGGGACGGGACATGTGTGACCCGCAAACAGCGACGGCGCCATGGCTTCCGCGTGAGGGTAATTGGGGGTAGAGAGGCTGTGTATGATTTAGCCATGTGCCGGGGTCAGGGACCGGACAGCCGAGGAGATGGAGCGATGAGATCAGCTCGTTTTGATTTAAAGCTTTCGTGACTGCAGTAATTCATATTCTTAGCTCTTTCGGTAAAGTCACGTTGAAGGGAAACAATAAAATAATAAAATATATATAAAACAATAAAAATTCTCACGACGTTTCGACCATAACACAAACGGTCATCATCAGGTGTGAAAAACCAACGGCAAGAAACATTTGAAAGAAGTGGCGGTTTGCATTTATTTATTTTTAAACGGTATATTTATTTATTTATAATAAAAAAACGTTAGCACCACGGGCAGCGATTTGGCAGTTTATTTAGAAGGACGAGTCTATCTATGTTCTGAAAAGAGGAGGGGGGAGACGAAAAATTACTGTATGCTGTCTGAAAGCCACCGTAAGCGTGAACAATCAATTAAGACCTGAAATGGTTTATCAAATCCTTCCAATGATTGCTAAGCCAGAATCCATCTTCTCGGTTGAAATTGTCTCTGTGCTTGTATATGTGGATAGTCTCATGAACGAATCTCTCATGGTAGCCAGATGGCTTACAAAGAACCTCTGTCTTGGAGAAATCAATGTCATGTGAGCCTACTGAATTATAACAATGATCTGCCACGGCCGAGGTGTTGGTCCTTCCGTGTTTAAGGTCTGCTTTGTGTTCACGAATGCGGTCCGAGACATGGATTTTGGTTTCTCCAATGTAACTACTACCACAGAGGCAACTTAGTTTGTAGACACCAGGGTACTGTATGTCCAGAATCACATCTTTTACAGACGGAACCAGATCACGGATTTTATGTAATGTGTTAAAACGGACCTGGATATTGTGTTTATTCAATATTTTGGAGATCTTTTTTGTGATCCCTGCAATGTAGGGTAAAGTGATGGCTTTGAAAGGCTCCTCAAGAGGGTCCTTCTTCATGGTTTGAGTGATAGCTTTGCGGATTGTATAGTCGGAGTAACCATTAGCCTTAAGAGCTTGGTGTACGTGTTTGAGTTCACTGCCTATGTGTTCCTAGTCGGATATGCATTGGGCTCTATGGTACAGAGTCTTGATGAGAGAATTCTTCTGTGATGGATGGTGGTGGGAATCCGGTTTCAGATAAGCATCCGTATGGGTAGCTTTCCTGTAGACAGTGGCTCATTGAACCATCAGGTCTCTTTTTTATGAGGACATCCAAAAAAGGTAGCTTGCCATCTTTTTCGACTTCCATGGTAAATCTGATGGCTGGGTGTATGGAATTGATGTGGTCGAAGAATTGGTCTAGAGCAGGCCGGCCATGTGGCCAGATGACAAAAGTGTCATCCACGTACCTCTTCCATAAGGTTGGGCGCAGAGTGGCAGTCTGGATGGCGTCAGTCTCAAATTTCTCCATGAAAATGTTAGCTATAACCAGAGATAGGGGGGAGCCATTGGGGTGCCCTCAGTTTGTTTGTAGAAAGTTCCATTCCAAGTGCAGTATGTATTGGTTAAACAGTGTCTCACCAGGGGGGGTACCTCAGTGTTTAGTCCTTGATTAACCAAGTCTTCAATGATTGCGATGGTGTCAGGTACAGTAACTTTGGTGAATAAGGAAACTACATCAAAACTGACAAGCAGGTCGCCCAACCTTATGGAAGAGGTACGTGGATGACACTTTTGTCATCTGGCCACATGGCCGGCCTGCTCTAGACCAATTCTTCGACCACATCAATTCCATACACCCAGCCATCAGATTTACCATGCAAGTCGAAAAAGATGGCAAGCTACCTTTTTTGGATGTCCTAATAAAAAAGAGACCTGATGGTTCAATGAGCCACTCTGTCTACAGGAAAGCTACCCATACGGATGCTTATCTGAAACCGGATTCCCACCACCATCCATCACAGAAGAATTCTCTCATCAAGACTCTGTACCATAGAGCCCAATGCATATCCGACTAGGAACACATAGGCAGTGAACTCAAACACGTACACCAAGCTCTTAAGGCTAATGGTTACTCCGACTATACAATCCGCAAAGCTATCACTCAAACCATGAAGAAGGACCCTCTTGAGGAGCCTTTCAAAACCATCACTTAACCCTACATTGCGGGGATCACAAAAAAGATCTAAAAAATCTTGAATAAACACAAGATCCAGGTCCGTTTCAACACATTACATAAAATCCGTGATCTGGTTCCGTCTGTAAAAGATGTAATTCCGGACATACAGTACCCTGGTGTCTACAAACTAAGTTGCCTCTGTGGTAGTAGTTACATTGGAGAAACCAAACGCCATGTCTCGGACCGCATTCGTGAACACAAAGCAGACCTTAAACACGGTAGGACCAACACCTCGGCCGTGGCAGATCATTGTTATAATTCAGTAGGCTCACATGACATTGACTTCTCCAAGACAGAGGTTCTTTGTAAGCCATCTGGCTACCATGAGAGATTCGTTCATGAGGCTATCCACATATACAAGCACAGAGACAATTTCAACCGAGAAGATGGATTCTGGCTTAGCAATCATTGGAAGGATTTGATAAACCATTTCAGGTCTTAATTGATTGTTCACGCTTACGGTGGCTTTCAGACAGCATACATTATTTTTTCGTCTCCCCCCTCCTCTTTTCAGAACATAGATAGACTCGTCCTTCTAAATAAACTGCCAAATCGCTGCCCGTGGTGCTAACGTTTTTTATTATAAATAAATAAATATACCGTTTAAAAATAAATAAATGCAAACCGCCACTTCTTTCAAATGTTTCTTGCCGTTGGTTTTTCACACCTGATGATGACCGTTTGTGTTATGGTCAAAACGTCGTGAGAATTTTTATTGTTTATATATATTTTATTATTTTATTGTTTCCCTTCAACGTGACTTTACCGAAAGAGCTAAGAATATCAGCTCGTTTGCAGGAGTGCACTGGATTGTAGCATCGCAGGACCGTACCAGATGGTGGATTGCATGGGGAGACCTTCAACCAGCCGTCAATAGACCATGGCTCATAATGATGATAATGATAAATGGCCGTCACTGCATTGGGCATGACCCTGAGATCCCCTGAAGAAGGCCGCGCAGGTTGTGTGCATGTGTACATACATACGTATGTTGAACATCTTTCACACCATATGCAACCAATCGTGCTGATTGGAGGTGCGGGCGAAGGACAACAAACTAAATACAAAAAGCAGTTCTCAAGAAATTAATTTGCAAATTAGATTTGCAAGTGCATACATCCAGTGGTTTCTTATTATCGGAAGGATTACAGTGCGAAACTCATGCACACCGCGTGGGTTGGTGACAATGGCCCAGTGGGAGTGCATTTGCCGCTTGTTGCAGAGGTTCGCAGTTCGAATCTGGCAGCCGACCCTGGCTGATACTGTGGGTACGTTAATCATAATATACTACGTACCATCTGCTTCACGGGGGATAGTAAAGATCCCATGCCATGATTTGAAATCAGTGGGTGTCATAGTCCAAATATCCCATATTTGAAAATGATTCAATTGCGATTATACACAGCAACAATTATCACCCCCGTCTGGCAGAATAATACACGCTTACAGGCCAGGTGATTACCATGTGCTGTACAGGGACAGCATGAGGGGTGCCCTTAAAATGTTTGAGATGAGTTGCGATGTAAGGTGCACCTGGCATGACACAAGCACCGTGGTGATGCCCTCACAATTTAGTGGCGGATGGCGGTTGTTATTCTTATCTTATCTCACCGTAATTTTATATAGCGCCTTGACGAAGGCACCATATGAAAATGACTAAGCCGCTTTACAGAGAATTAACAATGGCACATTAATGTAATGGTGAAGATGATGTGAATAAAATAGATGAGAGGAAGTAATGGGGCTTTGATGTGTGATTTAGGTTGTAAGGTGTTTGCTTTGAGTTGCTATTTAAGTGCCACCATATAGAGTCACAGGTTAGTATTTGGACGTGTTGGCGGTGTACACCAGTGCAGCATAACACACCGGTCCACATAAACAGTCTATAATCAGAATTTGAACTGACATTCGTCTTCCGACTGCTTCGACAACACGAGAATTGATTTTGACGCACCACCCCGCAAGATTTTCTGGCTGGGGTTGCGAATCGCGGGAAAATAAGTAATTATTGCAACAAAATTGCTTATTTTATCCTGCACATTAGTGTACCACCAAGACGTTCATTTATATTGTAAATTAGATGCATGCCTTTAATGCTGAGTGCTGGCTCCGAATGCCCACCCAGCCTCCGTCACCAAACTTGTAGTGGCAAGGGGCTCGGAAGTTTTCCATGTACTCAGATTTGAGTTTCCTGGGAGGAAGGAGAGATGAACGTGTATTGGAACCACACACTACAAAACTCCATAGAGACTCAAGTACCCAGTGTGTCCGTTTAAAGAGTAATTGTATCATAGACCAATCTAGGGCCCTGCATTGATAAAATAAAAAGTCAGTGGATTTTCTCTGGTAAACAAATAAAATATCAATGTTCGGGGTCTCAAGGAGGGGGGGTGGGGATGTGGGGGGTGGGGGTATGAGGGGATGGGGTGCCCCTATTGCCCTCCCCCACTGGACCCGCCGCTAAAGGTCTCTCTCTGAATGAACAGTCGCTCCGAGTGAACGGTCTCGCTCCGAATGAATGGCGTCGCTCCGAATGAATGGTGTCGCTCCAAATGCTGTCCGGACCTCGCCGTGCGAACGTTCAGTTCCTACCATGGGCCGAGGGCTGCAGCCCCACTGTGGCGCATTCCAGCAGGGAGGCACTTTTACTTTTTATGAACATTGACAGCAGTTCTAGATTTGAAGCTTTCGTGACTGCAAGGATGCATACTCTTTGGTTCTATTCGGTAAAGTCACGTAGGTAAAACAATAAAACGACAAAAATCACGACGTTTCGGCCACAACACAAGTGGCCTTCATCAGGTGAAGGGACCAAACTGTCCAGCGGACAGCGTTGGAGTGAAGAAAGCCAAGCGCTGGTCGCCTCCTTTTAAGCTGTGAGGGGGTAAACAGTAAACGCCTTGACAAAGGAAATTAGCATTAAACGTACTACTGACAAAGCTTGGAATTAGCATAAGGTGATAATACACCACCTTGGAAGTTTGGAGTGCCACTACTAGAATAAATATACAGTACCATTGAAAATTAGTTTAATGTTTGGTCCGATCTAGAACATCTTTCCAATGGTTGCTTAATTTGAAACCCTCTTCTCGGTTGAAATTGTGTCTGTGTTTGTAAATCTGAATTGCCTCGTGGATAAATCTCTGATGATAACCTGTCGGTTTGCAAAAGACCTTGGTATCGGAGAAAATTATATCGTGATCACCCACAGCGTTGTAGGGTGCCGTAACAATGATCAGCTTCTGCCGTAGCTGATCATTGTTACAACGCTGTGGGTGATCACGATATCATTTTCTCCGATACCAAGGTCTTTTGCAAACCGACAGGTTATCATCAGAGATTTATCCACGAGGCAATTCAGATTTACAAACACAGACACAATTTCAACCGAGAAGAGGGTTTCAAATTAAGCAACCATTGGAAAGATGTTCTAGATCGAACCAAACATTAAACTAATTTTCAATGGTACAGTATATTTATTCTAGTAGTGGCACTCCAAACTTCCAAGGTGGTGTATTATCACCTTATGCTAATTCCAAGCTTTGTCAGTAGTACGTTTTATGCTAATTTCCTTTGTCAAGGCGTTTACTGTTTACCCCCTCACAGCTTAAAAGAAGGCGACCAGCGCTTGGCTTTCTTCACTCCAACGCTGTCCGCTGGACAGTTTGTTCCCTTCACCTGATGAAGGCCACTTGTGTTGTGGCCAAAACGTCGTGATTTTTGTTGTTTTATTTTTTACCTACGTGACTTTACCGAATAGAACCAAAGAGTATTGACAGCAGTGTTGAAAGTCAATGGACTGTAAACCAATTGTCAGTGGATTTTAAATGTTTCCAATGTTATAAATATTTTAAATAGCGATGTATTCACACGCAGATATACCACATGTTGTATACTGAGTTTGTATTTTAAAACGATAATGACAAGATAAAAGATCATAAAAAGTTTCAAAGACAGACCCCCCTTTAGCCTTAACAGACTGGTGGGGCAAGTGCTGTTAGCGAGCATCATTTAAGGCCAGCAGGGCACAGGAGGGGGTGGTGTGGCCAAAACCACGCCCAGCCAACCTTTTCTCTCAAAGCACTGATGTGTTCTCATTTAAGGCTGAGTCGACCTAGGGGATCCCAGAACTGGTTCAGATAAATGTCACGATGCTGGCCGCGAGAGTGAATTGAGCTTGGGTCGCCAGGTTTATAGCACAGATCATAAACAAGTTGAGAGACAGAGAGGCTCTGCAGACTCTAGTGCAGTGATCGCAGCCCGGGATGCTCCATGACACCCACCTGATCCTCACTGCGTCTCTCTGCTGCGCCACCTCCGCCGGCTGCTCATCCTTGGGCCGAGGTCGAGTTTCCAACAGTGGCCGTCGTTTACTGATCAGGGCATCAGCTTTTGTTTTCTTTAGCTGCAACAATAATTCATTGGTGTAATTGGCTTTAAAAGTATAATTGAGAAAAGCCATTCCTCTAGAGCAGTGTTTCCCATAGTTTGGGTCACGGCACCACCCACAGGGGTCACGGTACCACCCACAGGGGTCACGGCATCCTCTTGGGGGAGGTCGCGAGGGCTGCCACAGGGCGAGCCATGAAACAGCGCCGTAGCTCCGTCATCACCGCGGGGACGCCACTCCACAGCGACTGCACCGAGTCCCACCGGAGGTCGCCTCGTGCTTGTGAACGACCAAATGGAGTCAAATGAAATCACAAAGCTCGACAATGTTTGGAATTGTTCATCCGTGACCTCTGTCCGCGAGTCTCCACAAGGCCTGATGACACACAGTTGATATTTGGGGTAGGCTATGGACGAATTTGTGCTAAGGCCCTCCATCACCCATCATTTCCCAACGAATTTAATTGTCACATATATAAAGGTTTTTATTCGTATTATTAGCACACCGGTGAGTGAGTTTGAGAACAAATGAAATGCAACGTTTTCGTTTGAAACTGGGCCAAGCATCATCGGGACGAGATCATAGCTGCAGGCGCTGACAGCGATCCAGAAAGCCAGGCGAAGCTCCATTGTTTGGTGAGCCCTCGAGCATCTATGCGAGCGAGCGAGCGAGGCCGCGTGACCGTCTGGCCCCACCTGCTCCGCCAGCAGCACTGGCGCCACCTTGGTGTATGTCCTGCCGCCGTAGCGGTGCTGGTACTCGGAGCTTCGCTGGCAGCTGCGCTTCGGTGCAACGTTCATCCCAGCCTTCCTCTTCAGCACATGCTTCACCTTGCAAAGACACCGACGCGACTAATCAGCAGGCGACGCCACCGTTGTCGTTACAGAGGTTTGGGGTGTTGAATCCATCGATAGCCCTGATTATTACGGCAGGTGTGATAATAACAACCGTGGTAATACTACGCACCCTCTGCTTCATGGTGGATGATAAAGAACGCCCAATGTCATTTGCAAGAGGAGGCTATTGTGTGTCATCGTCAGGGTCCAAATTTGACAAATTTTAAACAATTTCCCAGAAAATTACTCACTTAGGGATTACACACATAGCAATCATCGCCCCCCCTACCAGCAGATCGAATTCCCCAGGTCACTTTTGCAAAATGAGACTTTCCTTGTCTCTTGAGTCCTCACCTGGTTACATGAAACAAAGTGAAACTTGATTATGAGGGGCACACACCACAGTCCAGCCAGTATGTGAGTACACACCCCGACCTGGATCTATCCCACACAAAAGGTTCCTCCAGCCTTACATTACAAATTCTGGACAGGCACCTCTGTAACTCGTTTAAAGCTCATCCTTAAAACACGGCTTCGTTAATAATTATACTAATAATATAGTTCATTTGGTATTCGCGCCATTCGAAGAGAGCGAGGTTATCACCAAGGAAGGCGCTACTGTGTTGCACAGACGTAGTCTGCAGTCGTTTCACCGGCGGGGGCGATGTTACTGCGCCTAATCCCAACTGAATAATTTGCCCTAAAATTTTTCTTACTTTTGAAAAATATGGAACGTGACGCCGATGCCGAAAGACAATGGCCTACTCATCTTTAACATCCACCATGAAGCAGACAGCGCTGTAGAATGTCGTGTCGTCAGTGCAGCCGCAGCAATAACCAGGGCCATATCTCCACCACCGAAGCTATTTTAACACCACACTGTGCTTCATGAGATGAGAATATATCAATGTTTTTTTTTAATATACTCGTGTCACCAAAGTTAGCTTGCAATATTATAACATTAGCACCACCGATTAGCATGGCTACATACGGTGAGAAAGAAGTTCAACATACGTACATACATACGACAAACATATCAGCAATGATGAATTCACATGATTTTTAGCTCTTTTTGGAAACATCAGAACCGCTCACAGCACTCGCTACCCAGCCGGACTCACCCCTTCGGACACATTGGCCTCCACTGCGCGAGCTGCCTGAAAATCCGGCGCGCTCGGTGCTTGCTTGGGAGGTGGTGGGGGCAGGATGGCCAGACTTGTCTGAGCGGCGGGCACCATTGCGTTAAGTGACTTCTCTGCCGGTCTCTCGTGAGTCGCACGCGTAGCCGTGTTTGACAAGTTCTCTGCAGCGGGTGTGATGTCAGCAGCCACCCTGTCTTCCGTACGCTTAACCCTCTGTCCTTTGGGCGAGGTGATTAGGGGAATTGCAACGGCGGTTTTCCTTTCTGCCTTCGACACCGGACGTGCGCTCGAGGCCACCGTGAATTTCTGGTCTCTGTTGTGCGCATTGCGGCCTGAGAGGTCACGGCCCGGGAGGTCACGGCCCGGAAGGTCACGGCCCGAGAGGTCACGGCCCGAGAGGTCACGGCCCGAGAGGTCACGGCTCTCAGCATTCCACTGCAGCGACTCTCCGACCCGGGGGACATAGTAGGGCACCCTGCGCTTAGAAATGAAGCCAGGCTCCCGGGAAATTCCTGCGGAACAGAACACGATGGCCTCCGGTTAAGTTGAGGTTTATTTGTTTAACCAGGTGAGAGGTCAAGAGACCAAGATAAGTCTCATTCGCCAGAGTGACTTGGGTCACCAAAATCACAAAAGCAAAATATATAAAGTACAGAAACGAAGCAAATATAATTCAGAGCAAAAACAGCACGCATGTATGGTGAAATTTTTTCGCGCCGTAAGTAGCCAACCGTGCTAATCGGAGGTGCTGGGGGAAGGACAACAAACTAAACACAAAAAGCAGTTCCAAATAAATTAGTTTTCAATCTAGATTTAAAGGTGCATAGCTCCCAGTGGCTTCCTCATATCGGAAGGAAGAGCGTTCCTAACGGCCACAAAAGCACATGTTGAAAGCTGAGCGATGCAGTGATCGTCACATGACAAAAATAATACAAGTCATCCTGAAAGGTAAAAAGGTGAAGGTGCAGCCCTGGAGTGCTCGCTCTCTCGCCACTTCTGGCACAGGGGCCTCCACTAGAGGGAGCTCAAGAGAGATCCTCAAGAGCTGTTGGGTTTTAACCTGGGGTAGACGCATCCCCTGGGGGTGTGAGATTCCCTTTATAAGGGTGCGAGACGTGCCAGATTTTTTTCGAAGGTAAATAATCGAAAACACAAATTAAGCATGGGCACGTAAGTACAACTACTTTGTTTCATCAAACCCTATGCACTTATTAACATCATATATATGTTTTACGATTGAGAACCAAAGGCGTGCAAGTCTGCAGTAAAGGTTAAGAACCACTGCTTTAGAGGATATTGTACCTACTCTTCCACACCGGCCAGAAGTTTTGTAAGAAGTGGGCGTACCCACACCTTACCCCACCACACACAACCTGCCGATTCAAGCGACTGTGGTTAACTCACGTCTACTGCTGCTAGGTGGACCGAGGTGGTGGAAGTGGGGGGGGAATATTAGGGTTCATGTTAGAAAGATTTAACCAATGCCCTCTGGATTGCAGGTCCGGTTTGCTAACCGTGCATTAATCGGACAAGCGCCATACACCTGCCACAGCATTCCTGCAACTAGAAGCTCCTGGGGACCCGGGTGCACGCGGCAGAATGGGGGCACATCGCAAACAGACGTGATGAAGCTGCTGCTACTGCAGCTCGCGATGATGAAAATGAATATTGTGAAGATGAGATTGATGTCCCTATGGGACCTTTATGGCAGTATGAAGACGATGACAAAATATAAATAGGCTTTAACCCTTTCTGGAAATAAAAAAGGTGTTAAGATGTTCAAACACCAATGCGTATATAATCAGAGCATGATTGTTTGCATATTTTGCCACAGGTATGTGTTGTTAATGAAGACCTGATGCCTTGCAATATATATTTGATCTTTCAAAATCTTAACAAGTCCTATATTATTGCCACAAAGGATGAAGCCTATTCTTATGAGATTGATGCCAAAAAAAGTTCCGGTTGATTAAAATAAGTAGTTCAAATTTTTGATTTAAAGCTTTCGTGACTGCAGGGATTCATATTCTTGGTTCTTTCGGTAAAGTCACGTAGAAGGGAAACAATAAAATAATAAAAATATAAAACAATAAAATTCTCACGACGTTTCGACTGCAACACAAGCAATCATCATCAGGGGATTACAAAAAAAGATCTCCAACATCTTGAATAAACAAAAGATCCAGGTCCGATTCAACACATTACATAAAATCCGTGATCTGGTTCCGTCTGTAAAAGATGTGATTCCGGACATACAGTACCCTGGCGTCTACAAACTAAGTTGCCTCTGTGGTAGTAGTTACATTGGAGAAACCAAACGACATGTCTCGGACCGCATTCGTGAACACAAAGCAGAGCTAAAACACAGTAGGACCAACACCTCGGCCGTGGCAGATCACTGTTATAATTCAGTAGGCTCACATGACATTGACTTCTCCAAGACAGAGGTTCTTTGCAAGCCACCTGGCTACCATGAGAGATTCGTTCATGAGGCTATCCACATATACAAACACAGAGACAATTTCAACCGAGAAGATGGATTCTGACTTAGCAATCATTGGAAGGATTTGATAAACCATTTCGGGTCTTAATTGATTGTTCACACTTACGGTGGCTTTCAGACCCCATCCATTATTTTCGTCCCCCCCCCTCCTCTTTTCCGAACATAGATGGACTCGTCCATCTGAATAACTGCCAAATCGCTCTCCGTGGTGCTAACGTTAAAAAACCGCCACTTTTTTCAAATTTTCTTGCTGTGGTTTTCACACCTGATGATGATTGCTTGTTTTGCAGTCGAAACGTCGTGAGAATTTTATTGTTTTAGATTTTTATTATTTTATTGTTTCCCTTCTACGTGACTTTACCGAAAGAACCAAGAATATAGTTCATATTTTGTTTAACACGTAGGCTTTCGCGACCAATATCATCCATCATAGAGGTTTTTTGGTGTAATTACCGGCGAAACGTCGTACTCAGATTGTAAATGTTGTGGCTTGGGTGTAATTGTTTGGTGTAATTACCGGCGAAACGTCGTACTCAGATTGTAAATGTTATGGCTGGGCTCTCCGACACACCGATGTGCTGTACTAGTGACGAATTGCATGTTCTGTTTACGTGACAACCCTTACTAGTTGGCTGTGTCGGGTGGTGGCGGGTATAACGACACATTTATATATTTACGCAATCACCCAAAAAAACCTCTATTATGGGTTAATATTTTTTTCTAGTTAATTTTGGTTTGGTCAGGCTCTCTGATTTTATACTGTTTCACTGCTCCTACACTAGCCCGTCGGTTATGTGTGTGACTTCAAAATTACAGAGTCGCTGTTTAATTCCACAGATCTCACTACATCGTGAAGGGCAATTGTGCACGCAATCTCTCTCTGTGGCCTATACGGGTGCCTTTCATTGATGTGGTAATATGATTGTCGGCTTCTTTACGCTAAAAAAATAAAAATTTTACAGAAACACCGCCCAAAATAGACAACTGGACGGATACGTCTCCTCCAGCACGGGACATCAGCTTCTCCACAACAACGCGCATTTCGTGTATATTCCGTCCATTGAATGCTCTCTATGCTGCTCTTATATTTTATACATATGGCATTTTTTAAATGTAATAGTTTGTTTAGTATGTATATTATTGAATACTTTTGTTCAGTGCTTTGAGTGTGGGAAGTGCTATAATAAAATGCATTATTATTATGACATTATTATTATGACATTATTATGAGATTATTATGACATTATTATGACATTATTATTATGACATTATTATTATGACATGTATATTTTCTCACGCAGCCCCATCGGTCCAGCTATTTCGTTCGTTGCAATCTCCGCAACAACGAGGCCCGTGACGATGTTGCGCGACGTATAATGGGACGCGCACGGGCCACGTACCCAACTCGTCCGAGCGGAGTCCAGCCCAAGCCACCTTCTTGGTCATGTTTGTTCCCTTCGTTGCAAAGAAAAAGACAAGATAACAGTTTTTTTCTCTCCTGGGGAAAAAAGATTGAGATCAGAAATGTCCTTTTCAAAGGACACCTGATTGGTTAATATCATAATAGTGGCAACGTAATGGCGATGGCAATTATTTGTGTACGATAACGGCTGCCTTGCTTCCCGCCAGGGCATTCTCAGAGAAAGCTTCAAACGCCGATAACTGACTTGCATCAACACCTCAGCTCAAGCATTTGAAAGGGCATCTTTGACACCCGGCCTGCAAGAGGGCGCGTGTCTGACGGCAGGGCGTGATTTTGCTGCACGCAATCCCAGTTGAGTAATTTGCTGCTGATTTGTTAACGACGCCGATTTGGGTCGCACCACCGTCACACGATGTCCCTGCTCGTTTATAAATGTCACGAGGGGGATCTTTCGCCTCCACCGTGAAGCCGACGGAGTGAAGCATTTGCATGATTCATACGCCGACAGGGTAGATTGCCTGACACTCCATGGCTACAAAGACAAAGATCCCCCGTGGAGCCTTCACAGGCTGTAGGGGCAAGTGCTGCTCGCGAGCACTTATGAAGGCCAGCACAGCACACGAGGTGGGTGGCCAGCACTACGCCCGACCGCCTTTGACTCCCTCGTGTCGTCTCTACGCATCGCTAGCAGCAGGTCACGAGACCAATGCACCATCTGTGCTCTCCACGGTGCCAAATTGCTGTTTTTGGGAGAGCAGTGTGCTAAGCACTGCGCCGCCATTCCCCACACACATCATGGCTATACATGACACACACACTATGGCGACACGTGACACATATGACACATTATGGCTATACATGACACACGCACTTTGACTGCACATGACACACACACACTATGGCGACACGTGACACATATGACACATTATGGCTACACATGACACACACACTATGGCTACACATGACACATGACACACACACTATAGCGACACATGACACACTGTGGTTACACACAACACACACGCACACTTTAGCTACACCTGACACACACTATGGCTACACATGACACACACACTATAGCGACACATGACACATTGTGGTTACACATGGCACACACACACTTTAGCTACACCCGACACACACTATGGCTACACATGACACACTGTGGTTACACATGACACACACACACTATGGCTACACATGACACACACACGATAGCGACACATGACACGCACACTATAGCGACACATGACACACTGTGGTTACACATGACACACACACACTATGGCTACACATGACACACACACACTATGGCTACACATGACACACACACTATAGCGACACATGACACACTGTGGTTACACATGACTACACACACACTATGGCTACACATGACACACACACACTATGGCTACACATGACACACTCACCATGGCTACACATGACACATTGTGGTTACACATGACACACACACGATAGCGACACATGACACACACACTATAGCGACACATGACACATTGTGGTTACACATGACACACACACACTATGGCTACACATGACACACACACGATAGCGACACATGACACACACTATGACTACACATGACACACACACTATGGCTACACATGACACACACGATAGCGACACATGACACACTGTGGTTACACATGACACACACAATATGGCTACACATGACACACACACACTATGGCTACACATGACACACTATGGCTACACATGACACACACACACTATGGCTACACATGACACACACACACTATGGCTACACATGACACACACACACTATGGCTACACATGACACACTCACCATGGCTACACGTGACACACACACGATAGCGACACATGACACACACTATGACTACACATGACACACACACTATGGCTACACATGACACACACGATAGCGACACATGACACACTGTGGTTACACATGACACACACACTATGGCTACACATGACACACACACTATGGCTACACATGACACACACACTATGGCTACACATGACACACACACTATAGCGACACATGACACACTGTGGTTACACATGACACACACACTATGACTACACATGACACACACACTATGGCTACACATGACACACTGTGGTTACACATGACTACACACACACTATGGCTACACATGACACACACACGATAGCGACACATGACACACACTATGACTACACATGACACACACACTATGGCTACACATGACACACACACGATAGCGACACATGACACACACTATGACTACACATGACACACACACTATGGCTACACATGACACACTATGGTTACACATGACACACACACTATGGCTACACATGACACACACACGATAGCGACACATGATACACTGTGGTTACACATGACACACTATGGCTACACATGACACACACACTATGGCTACACATGACACACTATGGCTACACATGACACACTATGGCTACACATGACACACACACTATGGCTACACATGACACACACACACTATGACAACACATGACACACACTATGGCTACACATGACACACTGTGGTTACACATGACACACACACTATGGCTACACATGACACACACACACACTATGGCTACACATGACACACACACACACTATGGCTACACATGACACACACACACTATAGCGACACATGACACACTATGGCTACACATGACACACACACTATGGCTACACATGACACAAACACACTATGGCTACACAAGACACACTATGGCTACACATGACACACACTATGGCTACACATGACACACACACCATGGCTACACATGACACACATGACACACGCTATCGCACGCAGGATTCACTTCACCTCGCATGCGACGTGAGACGTTCAGCGGCTCCCTCCCTCCCTGTATGTGTGGCAGGCTGTGTGATGAGGAGCAGCAGGCTGTGAGAAGCAGCAAGGAGGCTGTGAGGAGCAGCACGGAGGCTGTGAGGAGCAGCAAGGAGGCTGTGAGGAGCAGCAAGGAGGCTGTGAGGAGCAGCAAGGAGGCTGTGAGGAGCAGCAAGGAGGCTGTGAGGAGCAGCAGGCTGTGAGGAGCAGCAAGGAGGCTGTGAGTAGCAGCAGGCTGTGCTGGAGGCTGTGAGGAGCAGCAAGGAGGCTGTGAGTAGCAGCAGGCTGTGCTGGAGGTTGTGAGGAGTAGCAGGCTGTGAGGAGTAGCAAGGAGGCTGTGAGGAGCAGCAAGGAGGCTGTGAGGAGCAGCAAGGAGGCTGTGAGGAGTAGCAAGGAGGCTGTGAGGAGTAGCAGGCTGTGAGGAGGAGCAGCAGGCTGTGAGGAGCAGCAAGGAGGCTGTGAGGAGTAGCAGGCTGTGAGGAGTAGCAAGGAGGCTGTGAGGAGCAGCAAGGAGGCTGTGAGGAGCAGCAAGGAGGCTGTGAGGAGTAGCAGGCTGTGAGGAGTAGCAAGGAGGCTGTGAGGAGCAGCAAGGAGGCTGTGAGGAGTAGCAAGGAGGCTGTGAGGAGCAGCAAGGAGGCTGTGAGGAGCAGCAAGGAGGCTGTGAGGAGTAGCAAGGAGGCTGTGAGGAGCAGCAAGGAGGCTGTGAGGAGCAGCAAGGAGGCTGTGAGGAGTAGCAAGGAGGCTGTGAGGAGCAGCAAGGAGGCTGTGAGCAGCAGCAAGGAGGCTGTGAGGAGCAGCAAGGAGGCTGTGAGGAGGAGCAGCAGGCTGTGAGGAGCAGCAGGCTGTGAGGAGTAGCAAGGAGGCTGTGAGGAGTAGCAGGCTGTGAGGAGCAGCAAGGAGGCTGTGAGGAGCAGCAGGCTGTGCTGGAGGCTGTGAGGATCAGCAAGGAGGCTGTGAGGAGGAGCAGCAGGCTGTGAGGAGTAGCAAGGAGGCTGTGAGGAGTAGCAAGGAGGCTGTGAGGAGCAGCAGGCTGTGCTGGAGACTGTGAGGATCAGCAAGGAGGCTGTGAGGAGGAGCAAGGAGGCTGTGAGGAGCAGCAAGGAGGGTGTGAGGAGCAGCAAGGAGGCTGTGACGAGTATCAGCAGGCTGTGCTGCGGGCTGTGTCGCCTTGGCTACCATTGGCGCCGCGTCCTTCGATACTCCCCGCGCTGTGCCGGGCTTTGTGTCCAAAGAGCACCCCGCTCTCCCTCCCACTCTCCCTCCCACTCCCCCCCAGTCACACTCCCATTCACTCTCCTACCCACCCACATTCACTCTCCCACCCACTCTTGCACTCTCTCTCCCACCCACTCTTCCAATCACCACCCACTCACCCACGCACTCCTATTCACTCTCCCACCCACTCTCCCATTCGCTCTCCCACCCACTCTCCCACCCACTCTTCCAATCACTCTTCCAATCACCACCCACTCACCCACGCACACCTATTCACTCTCCCACCCACTCTCCCATTCGCTCTCCCACCCACTCCCCCACCCACTCTTCCAATCACCACTCACCCACCCACGCACTCCTATTCACTCTCCCACCCACTCTCCCATTCGCTCTCCCACCCACTCTCCCACCCACTCTTCCAATCACTCTTCCAATCACCACCCACTCACCCACGCACTCCTATTCACTCTCCCACCCACTCTCCCATTCGCTCTCCCACCCACTCCCCCACCCACTCTTCCAATCACCACCCACTCACCCACGCACTCCTATTCACTCTCCCACTCTCCCATTCGCTCTCCCACCCACTCCCCCACCCACTCTTCCAATCACCACCCACTCACCCACGCACTCCTATTCACTCTCCCACCCACTCTCCCATTCGCTCTCCCACCCACTCCCCCACCCACTCTTCCAATCACCACCCACTCACCCACGCACTCCTATTCACTCTCCCACCCACTCTCCCATTCGCTCTCCCACCCACTCCCCCACCCACTCTTCCAATCACCACCCACTCACCCACGCACTCCTATTCACTCTCCCACCCACTCTCCCATTCGCTCTCCCACCCACTCTCCCACCTACTCCCCCACCCACTCTTCCAATCACCACCCACTCACCCACGCACTCCTATTCACTCTCCCACCCACTCTCCCATTCGCTCTCCCACCCACTCTCCCACCCACTCGCATCCACTCGGCATCTCGGTTCGCCGGCGTGACGAACCGGCTCCGTGACCCCGCAGCGTCTGCAACGTTCCGAACGCTCGCGCCTTTGACACCGACACGGGGGGAGGGGGCGGAGTGGTGGTGGGGGGGGGGGGGCACGGAGGAGGAGGAGGGGGGTGCTCGCTAACAGCACTTGCCCCTGCAGTACGTGAAGGCTATACGGGAGGAGGGGGATCGTTGTCTTTGTGTGGCTCCGCGAGATGCGCGTTGGTTTGCGCTCCCCAACGGCATCGCTCGCCACGGACTCTCGGCAGCCCGACGTCCCCGAGACGTTGAGTGTCCGCACGGGTTCAGAGTGACTGAGTGTGTGTGGTGGTTTTTTTCTCTCCTTTTCTTGAGTTGAACCGATGCTGTTGAAATGATGCGTCCCACAAGGCCCTGTGAGCTGACGTGGTTTGGACGCACCACTCGTTATTTGTGCTGCAGGCTGTGTACCGTCACGTTGAATGCACGACCGTGCCATTCGTAACTGGACCATGTGCAGTTGTTTTTATTTTATCTTGTCCGTGTATTATCTTTTTTTAAGATGTAGTAGCCATGGTTTCTCTGGCATAACCACGCAGGTCAACGCCGAAAATGAGCACTTTCTGTCCATTGGGTTTTACCTGTGCTAAAACTAAAAGCTAAACTAGTATTTGTATTGTGTGGAGAGACGCAGGCGTGGAAAGGAGGCGAATGGCCGGGTTGTTTGTGTCGCACCTGGGCAGGAATGTCGCACCTAAGCGGACCTGTCGCACCTGGGCGGGTCTGTGGCACCTGGGCGGGTCTGTGGCACCTGGGCGGACGTGCCGCACCTGAGCGGGTCTGTGAAACCTGAGCGGGTCTGTAGCACCTGAGCGGAACCTGTCGCACCTGGGCGGACGTGCCGCACCTGGGCGGGTCCTGCCGCACCTGGGCGGGTCCTGTGGCACCTGGACGAGTCTGTGCCACCTGGGCGGGACCTGTCACACCTGGGCGGGTCCTGTCGTACCTGGGCGGACGTGCCGCACCTGGGCGGGTCCTGTCGTACCTGAGCGGGACCTGTCGCACCTGGGCGGACGTGCCGCACCTGGGCGGGACCTGCCGCACGTGGGCGGGTCTGTGGCACCTGGGCGGGCCTGTGGCACCTGGGCGGGACCTGTCGCACCTGGGCGGACGTGCCGCACCTGGGCGGGTCTGTGGCACCTGGGCGGGTCTGTGGCACCTGGGCGGGACCTGTCGCACCTGGGCGGACGTGCCGCACCTGGGCGGGTCCTGCCGCACCTGGGCGGGTCCTGCCGCACCTGGGCGGGTCCTGCCGCACCTGGGCGGGTCCTGCCGCACCTGGGCGGGTCTGTGGCACCTGGGCGGGTCTGTGGCACCTGGGCGGGACCTGTCGCACCTGGGCGGACGTGCCGCACCTGGGCGGGTCCTGTCGTACCTGGGCGGGTCTGTGGCACCTGGGTGGGTCCTGTCGCACCTGGGCGGGTCTGTGGCACCTGGGCGGGCGGGTAGTCTCTTTACCCTGCCCGGCGTGCCATCTGCTCCGCAGCACGCGGAGGCTGCGCCGAGGCTCGCGATGGCTTCCAAGGACCTGCTCAAGTGTGCCAAGTACATCCTGCTGGCTGTGAACCTCCTCTTCTGGGTAAGTGGGCAGCGCGCTCGCTGCGATGGAGCACACACGCCGTACGTAGGTGGTGGTGGTGAGGACACACGTGGGGTACAGGTGGGCAACTTCTATCGATTGTTTTTAAGGATACGCGGTTTGTTTTTGGGCAGATTTCTATTTTGCTTCGTTGTTTTGTACGTCGTTTGTGCGTTATTGCTTTTGTTGGTGTTGTGATCGCTCTTTCAATTGAGTCTTATTCTCGTCTCTTTCGAGTTCTCGCCCGGTTGAACACAACGGACTTGGCAACACGACCGGCAGGTAGAGAGAGGGAGCCGGGCTGGACAGGTTATGGTGCCCTCCGTGACGACAGAAGCATTCTCTCTCCACTGCTGCTGCTGTGCGTCTCGCTTTGATCCATGTTGAGTACACAGGAGAGTAAACAAGCGAGTACACAGGAAGGTAAACAAGCGAGTACACAGGAGGATAAACAAGCGAGTACACAGGAAGGTAAACAAGCGAGTACACAGGAGGATAAACAAGCGAGTGCACAGGAGGGTAAACAAGCGAGTACACAGGAAGGTAAACAAGCGAGTACACAGGAAGGTAAACAAGCGAGTACACAGGAAGGTAAACAAGCGAGTACACAGGAGGGTAAACAAGCGAGTACACAGGAAGGTAAACAAGCGAGTACACAGGAGGGTAAACAAGCTAGTACACAGGAAGGTAAACAAGCGAGTACAGAGGAAGGTAAACAAGCGAGTACACAGGAGGGTAAACAAGCGAGTACAGAGGAGGGTAAACAAGCGAGTACACAGGAGGGTAAACAAGCGAGTACACAGGAAGGTAAACAAGCGAGCACACAGGAAGGTAAACAAGCGAGTACACAGGAAGGTAAACAAGCGAGTACACAGGAAGGTAAACAAGCGAGTACACAGGAAGGTAAACAAGCGAGTACACAGGAGGGTAAACAAGCGAGTACACAGGAAGGTAAACAAGCGAGTACACAGGAAGGTAAACAAGCGAGTACAGAGGAAGGTAAACAAGCGAGTACACAGGAGGGTAAACAAGCGAGTACAGAGGAGGGTAAACAAGCGAGTACACAGGAAGGTAAACAAGCGAGCACACAGGAAGGTAAACAAGCGAGTACACAGGAAGGTAAACAAGCGAGTACAGAGGAAGGTAAACAAGCGAGTACACAGGAGGGTAAACAAGCGAGTACACAGGATAAACAAGCGAGTACACAGGAGGATAAACAAGCGAGTACACAGGAAGGTAAACAAGCGAGTACACAGGAGGGTAAACAAGCGAGCACACAGGAAGGTAAACAAGCGAGTACACAGGATAAACAAGCGAGTACACAAGCTCACTTTGTGCCCATACAAATGGCCGGGTTATACTGCCGGCGGTGCAATGATTAACCGATTAGTGAACCCCGGTTTGTACCTTGCAGCCAGGCTTAAAACCATGGCCACAAGCTCGCTCTGTTCAAGGACCTCGTTTGAAGAGAGGAGACGAGTTTCCGATGCTGCTGCTGAGTTTCCGAAGGAAAGAGGCCCTCACTCCCACTCTGCTCCACCGGCCTCCGTTCTCAGAGGGGGGGGGCAGGCGGCGTTCGTGTGAGCTGCCAGCCACAGTCCGCGTGTCTCGCGCAAAACTCTCAGCCGCGTCGAGAGTGATGCAAGAGCGTGCACCTCTCGGTCAACAAACACAGCGCACGCTCGAGCCGGGCAGCAACACGAACTCCCTTGCCATGGGCCATCTCCTCCAGAGAGAGAGAGAGAGAAAACCCAATATTTCTTTACACATCCCATCAGCCACAGTGAAGTGCACAATTTTCAACGGCAGTGGTTCACCGCAGGGGGAGGAGGAAAACAAACTTCTGGGTCAAATCGGTTTCAACACTCGGCGTCTCATCCGCTGAGTCGGGCTTCCTCGCCCCGGGGCGGGCGAACTGATTATCTTCTGTGGCGGTTCATCGATTCTGAAACAATTGCCGCTAGCTTGGCTCTCCTTGCCCCCCTCCAAGATATGCTCGCGTGTGAAGAAGGCGGCCAACTGGCGTCTCAACTCGGTCAATTCTCGGGGAGAGTTGGGAGAGAGCGGGGGGGGGGAGGGGCAGAGGAGTGGCGGGGGGCTGGTGCGGTCGCGTCACCACCCCCCCGGGGGCTGACACCGGAGTCCTCTGCCGCTTGCCGATCATTCCGTGTTCCGCCCACCTGGCACAGCGGCGAGTCCCAAGGCGCATCGTCATGTGTTGTGCAAGTGTAGTGACTGACTCGGAGACACGAACAGTAGGAGGCACTCTGTTTATTAACACGGCCTGACAGTAACACTTGGTAACTACGGGTCCCAGTCAGGACAGCTGGTAGGCTGCCTGGCTGGCGACGCCGAGACGGTGAAGACTCCAGCAGCACGACCGGGATCCCCCCACTCCACACGACAGCCGCGAGGTCCCCTCCAGGGGCCCCTCTTATATACTGTCAGCGTGGCCTGGCTCCGCCCCCGGCCACGCCCCCTGCTGGAACCTACCAGCGGGTTCTTGATGTTCCCCTTCCGTGACACTCCCCCTAGATCCCTCTCTGGTCTATCGCCTGGCCTGCTGTCAGTCAGTGTTGCTGTAAGCTGCAGATCCCCTTCCCTGCCAGCAGCCAGTGCTATGCTGCTACGTGACCGATTCTATGTCACTACACAAGTATACAGTGTAGCAACATGAACTCAGTTCGAATCCAGCCGATGCGTACGTATGTACACGCATGTTGAACTTCTTCCGCACCATACGTAGCCAGCCGTGCTAATCGGAGGCGCGACACATTGACGTGTCGCCATTGTTTTCTATGAAGAAGAAGGGCCATTTCCCGAAACGTTGCCTATTATATAGGTTTATACTTGTCAACTCCTTATCAGTGCCTACCTTATTACAGAACAATTCAAACCTTATTGGTCACTCCGTGCCCTTATGAATCTCAACGTTCATCCTACAAAGTCACATTCAAAAGGTGAGACACAAAGAAATAGACAATTTTTTTTGCCCGTTCTGAAACGGCTGTACGCCATATGGACCAGAACTCAATTTCCCTGTACAAGAATACGGGTAAACTGTATGGGTTGACAGGTATGTATTTTTCCATTTGAAGGCTACAATGTTATTGAGGTATGTTGAGGGAGTATATTTTGTATTGTTGCTTGTGCACCACTGCCAACGCGGAAGCATCACCAGATAATGTGTTTAATTCACGACCATTTGATAGCAATGACAAAGATCCCCCCTTTTGCCTTCACTAGACTGTTTAGGCATGTGCTGTTAGCGAGCGCCTATGAAGGCCGGGAAGGCACACGAAGGGATGGGCGGGCAACGCCACGCCTGGCCTCCTTTGCCTCTCCAGTTCTGATATTTACACACCAGACACTAACTTCGGGCTGAGTCGACCTAGGGGGAGGTCCACGACCAGTTCAAATATTCACCACCGATATTGGTCGTGAGCTGGGATCGAATTCGGGTTTTCCAGTTATGGAGCGCTAACCGCTGTGCTATCATCCCCCTCACCACCAGCACCACAACGACTGCGGTGTGGTGCCACTTTTGTCACCATAGCAACCAAGCCCCCAAAAATCTTCTGCACCTTCCACCCGGGCGATTACAAAATGGAGAAGCCGAGATAACGAACGACTCCAGGTTCCTGAGACGCGTCCGATTTCGGTTTGCAACGTTCGCTGTATTTAGGAGGTAAAGGCGCAGCATTGAAAGTTCTTCTCGCCCCACGCCATGACCGTGCTGGCAGAAGGGCCTCCACTGGACGTAGGACAACACTGTGCGTGTACTGTATGTGTACCGTGTTGGCCCCGTATGTGCGCTGTATGTGTACTGTGTGTATGGGAACGCATCTACTACTACGGACTACTGCAGGGTACAGCGAGGGAAACCTGTATTAGGCTTACTTTCACACACTGGACAAACATAAATTTCGATTTAAATTTCGATTTAAAGCTTTCGTGACTGCAATGATTAATCTTCTTTGGTTCTTTCGGTAAAGTCACGTAGAATGATAATAAAATAATAACGTCGTGAGAATTGTATTGTGTTATTTTATTTTATCAATTTATTATTTTATTCTCATTCTACGTGACTTTACCGAAAGAACCAAAGAAGATGGACAAACATACTCTTTGGTTCTCTCTGTAAAGTCACGTAGGTGTCAAAAATAATAGATCACGACGTTTCGATCGCAACACAAGCGACCGTCTTCAGGTGAGAGAGAGGCTTGAGATGGGTGCAGCCTCAGGGTAAAAGGGCAGGGCTAGAGATGGTCTGCCTGAGGCTGGGGAAGTGGCCATAGTATTGTGAGAGATTAGCATATCAATGCACGAGCTTAGTATGCCACCGCATAGGTGACTTGCCTAGTATGAGAGTGCAATCCAAAGGACATGTGAGCATGAGAGTGCAATCCAAAGGACATGTGAGCATGAGAGTGCAATCCAAGAAGCACAGGGAGAGACACACACAGAGAGTCGGAAAATAACAGCTGATATGGGCAGGTAGGATGGAAACATCACAGTCAGTTAAGACTTTACCTGGTTAATAACATCCTTCCAATGATTGCTTAGTTTGTACCCATCTTCTCGGTTGAAGTTGTGTCTGTGTTTATACAGGTAGTCCTCGACTTACGATAGAGATGCGTTACGACGACCCCATCGTAAGTCAAAAATATCGTAAGTCGAAGATGGCCTACCCTACCCAGGAGTTTTAAAGAATGGTGATAATTTAGCAAAACAGTGCAATTTACAGTACCTTACTGTATAAACTTTGTACTGTATGTATTTATTAATTACAATACTGTATTGCATAGTAAAATGTAAAGTAAAAAACAAAGTAAATTCTTAGCCTACCTATATGAACTGCAATTTGATAGAAAGTTTTTTTCAGGAAACAATCCTATCTGCTATAAAAAAAACTTTTAACATGCTTTGAAACACAAAAAACACAGAAAAAAATGCGCACGCTAACACCGAGACAACTTAACTCTGTCGACCGCTGGTGAGAGTGAGGCATCACACAACGCGGGAGATGCGTACATCCCGGCAGCGTCCCAACGTACAGTATTGTACCTCGTATGCTGCTGCGTTTGCCTGCCGCGCGAAATTTTAAATATTTGTCGTATCGCTATCGCCATCGTAAGATGGAAATGTCGTAAGTCGGACCATCGTAACTCGGGGACTATCTGTATATCTGGATGGCTTCATGAACAAACCTCTGAAGATAGCTGGTGGGTTTACAAAGTACCTTCGTCTTGGAAATATCAATTTCGTGTGAGCCCACAGCATTAAAACAATGATCAGCAACGGCAGATGTATTGGTCCTACCGTGTTTCAGATCTGCCTTGTGTTCACGAACGCGGTCCGAGACATGTCGTTTCGTTTCCCAAATGTAACTGCTGCCACAACCATAGCTCAGTTTGTAGACACCAGGGTATTGCATGTCAGGAATTACATCCTTTACAGATGGGAAAAAATCACGGATTTTGTGTACTGTGTTGAAACGAACCTGGATATTGTCTATGTCAGCTGTTATTTCTGACTCTCTGTGTGTCTCCCTCTCTGTGCCTCTTGGATTGCACTCTCATGCTCACATGTCCTTTGGATTGTACTCTCATGCTCACATGTCCTTTGGATTGCACTCTCATGCTCACATGTCCTTTGGATTACACTCTCATGCTCATATTTCCTTTGGATTGCACTCTCATGCTCACATGTCCTTTGGATTGCACTCTCATACTAGGCAAATCACCGATGCGGTGGCATACTAAGCTCGTGCATTGATATGCTAATCTCACAATACTATGGCCACTTCCACAGCCTCAGGCAGACCATCTCTAGCCCCACCCTCTTACCCTGAGGCTGCACCCATCTCAAGCCTACACAAGACCTTGTTTCAGTAGCTCACCTGAAGACGGTCGCTTGTGTTGCGATCGAAACGTCATTATCTATTATTTTTTCTACCTACGTGACTTTAGCGAAAGAACCAAAGAGAATAGGTGTTAACATGTTCATACACCACGTAGAAACCTCTTTGCAAGGAATCTTGTTTGCATTAACCACACGTGCTAGTGGTGAACATGCAAACAAAACATGCTATGATAATATATGCATTGTCTTTGAAACTGATTGGTCTACACCAGAGACAGCCTTCTTTAGGATATTAGTCTCACCGGTGTCAGACCACAGAACGCCAAAAGGCGAAGAATACAAAGAAATTGCACCCTCAGGGCGTTTATAGCTCGGGTGAGCAAAAGGTTGCTATTTGGTGTTGGAACATCTTAACACCTGTTTTATTGCCAGACATGGTAAAACCTATTCTTATTTTTTTTCATGCCTTGGAAGAGGTGGGAGTACCCACACTTTACCCCACCGCCACACACGACCTGCCGATCGACTAACTGTGCCGTACCCTTGTATAGTGCTGTGTGGACAAAAATTTAAGGGTTCGGGGGAGGGGATTTAAAAAGAGAACTTGTTGAACCTTGACCCTCTCCAACACAATAAGAACAAGAGCTAAGCAGCGTTTGCTGTGCCGCACTGCTTCGTGAGGTATCCACAAAGTGACTTTGTTGCAGATGCTGTCCCTCGCAGTGCTGTGCCTGACTGCAAAACTGAGATGGCAGGTGAACGGAGCTCTGATCCTCACCGCGGACACCAGGTGAGGCTGCGATGAATGCCCGACACATGCAGCTCTTGCGGTGTCAATTGTCGAGCCGTCGCCCTCTGTTCCACGACAAAGTTAACTCTTTCCCATTCCGAGAAGTCTGCAAGTCGCAGGGTGGGGTCCCGTTCACCGCTGAATCTCGGAACGCAGCAAGCGGTTCCTGTTACTTTTATAGAGAGAGACATCGCCGTTGTTTAAAAAAACATTGTACTCACCGCAGAAAACTGTCGCGACACGACCGTACTCTGTGATAGCTGGCGCCAAACTGTGCAACATACCCTCCCGCATGGCCTTGTGGGAGAATCGGTATCGATAAAGTTATTTTATTTTTCTTCCGGTTCCGTTCCGATGACGTATGTGTACGTAATCGGAATGGGAAAGGGTTAAGCTCAAGGCAGCCTTCTGACAATGAGACGGAAGCTCTGTCCGGGCTGACGGTGGTGATGATCATCACCAAATACCGCAACAAATGGCACGCACGCGGTGCCACGAGAGCGTACAGTTGATCGTGGGTAGTGCGTGGGTGGTTGACCACCACGCATAGGTTGTTACTAGCCGTGCGGCTATCGTGGTGGGCTGCAGAGAGCAGTGCAACAGACTCCATTCTATCGCGCATCTTTGCTCGCGCGTCTATTCCTCCCCGCCTTCACAACCCCGCACTGATCAATGTGGCGATGGATTGATCAAATATCACCCCCTCCCACAACCCACATGGCATGGGGAGGCCCTTACACAGCAGTGGACTGACAAGGGGCTGCGCTCGAAGTGCAAATAACATCACGTGTTGTAACCGCGTTCCTCCGTGGTGTGGCAGCCTGGCAGGTGCGTTTGCGGAGACCTACTCGTCGACCCTGCAGATGGTGATGGTGGCCGTCTCTTGCCTACTCATCCCCCTGGGTATCCTGGGCTGCTGGGGCACGGTGCAGGGCCGCACCGCAGTCCTCGTGGTGGTGAGGCCTCTTTGCAGTGCATGTTGTCCGTCACCACGGCAGGACCCCCCTCACATCCACGGAAATCCTGGGGGGGTGGGAGGGTGCCCGGATTTTCTGAGCCCTCACCCCACCTCGGTGGAAAAAGGGGGGCCATTATAGTGCCATTAGGTGAACTCTAAGGTCACACTCATTACACACGTAGTGCTTGCAACAAATGAATCGCAATGCCTTTACTGATCTCGTTAAGGAGCATAAACCATAACGTTAACTCCGGTCGTCCTCGCAGCTCAGCGGCTTTGGCTAGACATCAAACAAAGACAGTCACCGCATCGTGCGCTTTCCAGGTGTTCTGTGGCCATCTGCAATGCTCTTCCTTCCGATATTAGGAAGCCATTGGAGCTATGCACTTTTAAATCTAGATTTAAAAGAAAAAATTTTAACTGCATTTTGCACTTAGTTTATTGTCCTTTCCTTGCACATCCAATTAGCATGCTTAGCTAGTACGGTGCGAAAGAAGCCGAACATATATAATACAACACAGGGTTCATTGTGTAAGTTTTGTCTCTAACTCTCAGGCTCGCAATAGCGGCATCATTATCACCACCATCAGCAGTCACAGCTTCCTGCCTTCCTTTCGATTTCTGGCTTCTGGAGCCCCTTTATACAGCAGCAGCTGAGCCAGTTACCCAGGCACATGTGTAATGCATGCCCTTTCCCACCAATCAGGTGAGCATTGTTATTATGTAACCATCCACCCCAGCCCCATTGAATGCCACTGTTTGCCAAGCGAATTTTTATTTTATTTTTACCAGGTAAGGCCCGGCCCACTGAGCTACGTAGCTCTTTTTCAGTAGCGGCCTGGCCACAAATGATAGCTCAACGAAGTGGCTTATCATGTGGAAATTTACAGCAGGCAAATACTCTAAACGCATGTTTCTAAATGTGGAAGAAAAACCCAGAGAATCTGCCGAAAATTTCACGTAACCACAGGGAGAGAACATGCAAACTCCAAATATACGGGCGTCTAGGTTGAAAACACATTTCTTTAGAACTGCCTTTTGCGTTTAGTTTGTTATCCTTTCCGCCCCACCTACGATAGCATGGTTGGTGCAAAAGAAGTTCAACATGCATACATATAATCACTGCTCCTCTCTGCAGCACTAATTGGGGGCTCTGATATTCCAGCCGGTTGGACCCTTCTTCATTGTTATACACTTAAGAAAAAAACACACGCAAGTTGAAAATACAGGATTTTGTATTTTGGTAAATTTCTCCAGTTTTGGCCAACGGTGTTAGAGCTTTACATTTTCACTTACAAGGTTTTGTATAGAGTATAAATAACTCCCTCAATCAAGTTGCCACTGCTCTGCATTGTCGCACCTCCGATTAACACGGCTGGCTATATACTGTGCGAAAGAAGTTCAACATACATATACCTATCAACCCCTTATCAGTGCCTACCTTATTACAGACCAATTCAGACCTTATTGGTCACCCCGCGTCCTTATACATCTCAACGTTCATCCTACAAAGTCCCATCACAGGAGAGAAACACAAATAGATAATTATTTTGTGCCCGTATTGAAACGTCTATACGCTGTATGGACCTGAAAACTCAATTTCCATGTACATGAATACAGGTAAACCCTATCGGTTGACATACAGTGAGGGAAAAACGTATTTGATCCCCTGCTGATTTTGTACGTTTGCCCACTGACAAAGAAATGATCAGTCTATAATTTTAATGGTAGGTTTATTCGAACAGTGAGAGACAGAATAACAACAAAAAACTCCAGAAAAACGAATGTCAAAAATGTTAGAAATTGATTTGCATTTTAATGAGGGAAATAAGTATTTGACCCCTCTGCAAAACATAACTTAGTACTTGGTGGCAAAACCTTTGTTGGCAATCACAGAGGTCAGACGTTTCTTGTAGTTGGCCACCAGGTTTGCACACATATCAGGAGGGATTTTGTCCCACTCCTCTTTGCAGATCTTCTCCAAGTCATTAAGGTTTCGAGGCTGACGTTTGGCAACTCGAACCTTCAGCTCCCTCCACAGATTTTCTCTGGGATTAAGGTCTGGAGACTGGTTAGGCCGCTCCAGGACCTTAATGTGCTTCTTTTTGAGCCACTCCTTTGTTACCTTGGCCGTGTGTTTTGGGTCATTGTCATGCTGGAATACCCATCCACGACCCATTTTCAATGCCCTGGCTGAGGGAAGGAGGTTCTCACCCAAGATTTGACGGTGCATGGCCCCGTCCATCGTCCCTTTGATGCGGTGAAGTTGTCCTGTCCCCTTAGCAGAAAAACACCCCCAAAGTATAATGTTTTCACCTCCATGTTTAACGGTGGGGATGGTGTTCTTGGGGCCATAGGCAGCATTCCTCCTCCTCCAAACACGGCGAGTTGAGTTGATGCCAAAGAGCTCCATTTTGGTCTCATCTGACCACAACACTTTCACCCAGTTGTCCTCTGAATCATTCAGATGTTCATTGGCAAACTTCAGACGGGCATGTATATGTGCTTTATTGAGCAGGGGGACCTTGCGGGCGCTGCAGGATTTCAGTCCTTCATGGCGTAGTATGTTACCAATTGTTTTCTTTGTGACTATGGTCCCAGCTGCCTTGAGATCATTGACAAGATCCTCCCGTGTAGTTCTGGGCTGATTCCTCACCGTTCTCATGATCATTGCAACTACACGAGGTGAGATCTTGCATGAAGCCCCAGGCCAAGGGAAATTGACATTTATTTTGTGTTTCTTCCATTTGCGAATAATCGCACCAACTGTTGTCACCTTCTCACCAAGCTGCTTGGCAATGGTCTTGTAGCCCATTCCAGCCTTGTGTAGGTCTACAATCTTGTCCCTGACATCCTTGGAGAGCTCTTTGGTCTTGGCCATGGTGGAGAGTTGGAATCTGATTGATTGATTGCTTCTGTGGACAGGTGTCTTTAATACAGGTAACAAGCTGAGATTAGGAGCACTCCCTTTAAGAGTGTGCTCCTAATCTCAGCTCGTTACCTGTATAAAAGACAGCTGGGAGCCATACATCTTTCTTATTGAGAGGGGGTCAAATACTTATTTCCCTCATGAAAATGCAAATCAATTTATAACATTTTTGACATGCGTTTTTCTGGATTTTTGTTGTTATTCTGTCTCTCACTGTTCAAATAAACCTACCATTAAAATTATAGACTGATCATTTCTTTGTCAGTGGGCAAAGGTACAAAATCAGCAGGGGATCAAATACTTTTTTCCCTCACTGTATATGACATACAAACATACGTTTTTGCCGTTGATTGTGTCCCTCCACACGTGCCCCCGGCAGTATGGAGGTGGTCTGCTGCTGATGCTGTGTGTGGAGGTGGCCACTGGCATCTGGAACCTGCATCACAAGGTACCCCTGGCACGTGTCACCAAGGGGATCACGTTTAAAAAGTTGATGTTTAATCGTGAAATATTAAGAACAAAGGTAAGTTAGACTTCTTGTTCATGTAATGAGAAAACAGACAATATAATTTTACGACTGAGAAAATCATAGGTATAGGAAGCCAGGGAAGACAGTTAATTAAGTATGTAAGTAATTTACACAACTGACTACCAATGCAGAGTTTTTTAGTTGTATCATTGAGAGAGCTAAATGGAAGGACGTGGCATGTAATAACATGTACGGCATGTCCGCAGGTTTCCTTCACTGACCAGGATGTCCTCAGTCTTCAGAAGAAAATGCAACTCTATGGACAAGACAATCATACATCGTACACCAAAGCCTGGGATGTCTTTCAGCAACAGGTCCTAAGTCACCCCATTGCCAAGTCAGTAGTGACGTGTGGCACGCTGTTTGGCGTTCTGGATGGTAATGTGACCATTGTATGCATGTGCATGTGTACATGTACTGTGTGGTCAGAATCGTTCAACATTGTTTTGCTGAGAAGCTTGCAGAGCAACCATGCTAAATGGAAGTGTGGGGGAAGGACAAACAAAACAAAGCTGAATTAAAGAAATGAGTTTTCAATCTAGATGTATATGTAACAGTGCTGTGGGGTGAGTGACCTTACTGTGCGTGTGTGTGTGAGTGAGCAGCACAAGTGCTGTGGGGTGAGTGACTTCACCGATTGGCTCGAGGGCCCAGGCCTGCCATGGCCTCCGGACTCGTGCTGCCTGCGCCTGATGCCCGGCTGCGGGCGCCTCGCAAGCCAGCACGACCTCATGCGCGTCTTCCAGCAGGTGCGGCGCTCCCTTCACCCGCCGGCACCGCCACTCCTGCAGAGCGTTTATTGGCACTGAGCCACTAGGTGACATTCCACATTCCTCAGGCAAGGGCCAGTCGTCTCCAATGTACGACCACCATTAACTTTTCCTGCAATGTACCGCTATATTTTGTATCAACCCCCATGGAGGACATTGACCGAACGGTTTGGCCTTCCATGGGGATTTTAACTCGTGACCTTCTAGTTGCGGGCATCACGCGTTCTCAGTGCTGCTCGGATGGAGCTGTAGTAGACTCTTGATTATCCGTCTAATGGCGGGGAGGACAGCCGCGGATAATTCAAAATCTCTGATAATCCAAAAATAATCAAACTCTGTGCACTGTGATCACGTGGACTTTGGATTAACCGGAGAACATATTTGTTTGGTTTAAGCACTGTGTGACTTGTAATAAACATTTCCAAGAATAACAACGTGTAACAGTTTTTAGATTATTAATTTGGGCTTATGGGAAAATTCATATGTTATTCATTTAAATCAAAATCTCAGGTGTGTGGTTAATCTGCAAATCGAATAAACCGCATGCGGATAATTTAGAGTTTACGGTACTGGAATTCCGAGGTCAAGGGCAGAGCACCTGAATTCACCAGGTGCCACGCGTAAACAGGTGATGCTCTGAGGAAGGAATAATATTTCGGTGGCATCCGAACTCAAATCCTGGCACTTAACCACTACTCTTAGTCTTGTGCATGGCTACGAACAGGACCTCAATGCCAATATCGAGGTCTGCTGGCCACAGGAGGGCTTCAGGAGAGAGTTTGTGTACTTTTTCTATTCCTACGCTGAAGGAGCGCAGACTGCAGTGGTTTACTGTATGGTGAATTGTTTGGGTTGCATGGCCACAATCGTACAGTGACTTGTCTTTAATGCATCCGTACATATCTCTATGAGTTTACTACATGGTCCATAGTTTGGGTTTCTATGGCCACATTCGCACTACTGTGGCTTGTCTTTTTTATGAAGATGTGCGCATCGGCCTGTTGATGCGCGGTTGATGGCTACACCACCGGTGTCTTTGAGGAGAAATGCCTAAACCGGGGGGTGCGATTGTGTCTTGCTGTGGTTGTCCCACCTGATGACGGACGCTTGTGTTGCACCAGAAACGTCGTGATTTAATTTTATTTTATTTTATACCTACGTGACTTTACCGAAAGAACCAAAGAGAATGGATCCCTGCAGTCACGAAAACTTAAAATCTAGATCGGGGGGTGTGATGTTTGAGGTCTCGAACGATGTGTGATTATTGTGGATGTCCGTGTCATTCCACTCCATTCGCTAGCATTCTTCCGTTCCATTCTGAGATTATACGAGGGTGACAGTAGCAGCGGAATCCCAGAAAGGGTATCGTTGAGGTCTCAGTTAGATTGTCGTTGGCAAGAAAAACAACCTGTAAACTCCCTGCATGGTTACATCTCCCTGCGGATATTTGCTGGCAGAATGTTGACTCGAACAGAGAGCCAGGGAACTCACGTCAGTATCAGTGTTGACCACTAATTGTTGTAGATGAAAATGTAGCGTGTAGCCGCTGGCGCGCCCGCAGTGTTTGTGGCATTCATGGTTCAGTAGACATCAAGGGCTCGGCGATAGTTCATTGCGAATGAGAGCATCTGCTGTAACATAAACATACGACTCTGCGACTTGGTAAAAATGGTTACGTAGGCTTTGTCTGCTCGTTTTACACAAATCCCTCAAGGGAATGATACAGCAACTGCATTACAATGTGTGAGCTCTCCTGTGGACTGTGAGTAACAAATGAGAGACGTACGTGTGGAAACTATCAATACACCGTCATTACCAAGGGTGCCTTGGCAATTCAAGAATTACATTTCACTAGTTTGTCTAATGGCTGCGAATAATATTCAATCTAATTTAATATGTGGAATACATCATGAAAATAAGGCACTGCTGGGTGAAAGCCTCAGCATGCCATATAAGTCACAGCGGTTGTTGGGCCATACGTCACCACGCTGGTTCGTGTGGATTGGTGGAGAAAAATACAGGAACTGGTCAGATATCAATTAAACTTCATATAAAATTGAGTGAATATCACAATACTTGGCACGATGTTCATGAGGACCATTTATTTCAATGTCAGGCATAACACTGCATAGCTCCTTCATTTGAAACCAAGTTTCATTCAACACAAGTTGAGTTGATAGCTTCTTCACAGTGATATAACACTTCATGGCCAGGCACTGTCCGAATGTCTGTACCTGTACAGGCTTCACGACCTCACTGCCTACCTTCATAGGCTTGAGACCATCATTTATAATCTTACCTCCCACATTTTTTAAATCGCCAACCTCTGTGGCTTTTAAAGCATGCTCATTTCACTAACAATTGCCAGAGGCCCTGTGTGTGAATGAGGCATCGACTCCACCAGTTGTTTGCGAGTGCGGACGTGTCCCGCATGCCCAGTGGCATAGTAGCTACATTATAAGATCGGGGGGTGTGGCAATCCGTCAGGTGGGGCCTTCCAATATTTTATGTCTTGCAGGGTCGCACCTCTTATAAAAGTAATTTTCTGTCTGCCTGTGTGTGTGGATGCCTATCCTTAACTGACAAACTGTTGTGTTTACATTTTAACAAAGTACACAGATACAACAAACTCAGCCCCAGGATGAAATCTTGGGATTAGTTTTTTTCCCCGTTGCTCCAATGTTAACTACGAAAATCCCACTTTGTATCAATGTACGCCGATCGTAATGATAACTTTTAGCGTGCCAAACTACGCAGTTTGGCACGCATCTGCGCATGCGCGGAAACGCTAACTCGCGGTTGCCCCTAACAACGCAAACGAGCAGCAACGGGATGGAGGTTCGCCTTCGCGTTAAAAATCCCCAAAAAAAACAAACAACCACAGTTACTGCTGCACAAGCACACGCTGAGATAAATCCTGAACAGTGTGATGTCCTCTTCTCCCCCCCACCACCCTGATGTGTGCAATTACTTTAGAGACAGTAGATACTACTGCAGAGTCAGTAGATACTACTGCAGTCAGTAGATACTACTGTAGAGTCATTAGATACTACTATAGTCAGTAGATACTACTGCAGAGTCAGGAGATACTACTGTAGAGTCAGTATATACTACTGAAGAGTCAGTATATACTACTGTAGAGTCAGGAGATACTACTGCAGAGTCAGTAGATACTACTGCAGAGTCAGTAGATACTACTGCAGAGTCAGTAGATACTACTGCAGAGTCAGTAGATACTACTGCAGAGTCAGTAGATACTACTGCAGAGTCAGTAGATACTACTGCAGAGTCAGTATATACTACTGTAGAGTCAGTATATACTACTGTAGTCAGTATATACTACTGTAGAGTCAGTATATACTACTGTAGAGTCAGGAGATACTATTATAGTCGGTAGATACTGCAATATAGTCAGTAGATACTGCTTTAGTCACTAGATACTACTGACTCTCATGTATATAGGGTGTGTAGGTATATATGCCTACAAAATAAAAATTGGATGGGGGTATAAAGATTTTTGGAGGGGGTCGCCAGCACTTCTGAAAGGCTCTTATGATTTTGTTGACGGACAAATGGACAAACGGAACGCCGGGCTTTCACAATAGCTTAGTATGTGTGTATGTATATATTATGTTTTTTAAGAGAAGACACGTTTTAATATATATTTTTCCCCCGGGCAAAGCTGGGTACTTTCTGCTAGTCGGATATATATTGCAGCTCCTCTTGCCTAAAAATATCATTACGCTCGCGGTCTCGAACATTTAACGCTGTAGGGGTGCTCCTTCTTTTCAAAATGCAGCCACTACTAATGAAAGCATTTTCATGAAAATTTATTTAAACCACGTTTTAAATCAGTTTTTGTTCTGTTACACTTGTTAAAAACGTACCTCATGGTGGTTGTCAAGGGGGCCCAAACTAGTAGCTTTGGCCACCAGGGGCGGGCAAGGCACCCCTGCCCCTACGCTCGTTACGCTACTACTGCGCACGGACTATAGGAGGCAAATACGGCGACGTGACAAACATCGGTTGAGTTCCACCACTGAATCTGTGAGCATTCCCAGGAGCGTGACGCTCGAGCATCGGCTGCCTCCCCCGCCTTCCCCGTGCAGGGCTGCCAGCCCACGCTGCTACGACTGCTGCAGGGCTGCGACCCGCTGCACACGCTGCGCTTGCTGGACGTCTCCGTAAGCGTGGCGCAGATCATGGCCATGGTGGCCGCCCTCCTCTTCCTCTGGCTGCTGCAGCTTCCCAAGCCTCCCGGGCGGCCGACCACTGCGCGGCTCCCACGCCACTCGAGCCGACGCACAGCACCTGGGCTCCATGCGGGTCCACGCCGGGGCCACCGCCATCGGCCGGTGAAGGAGTTTGACAGCCCCCAGTGGATCCGGATGACACAGAACAAGGATAATCCAAACGGGACTCAGCCAATGATGGAGTTCACTGAGCCCCCTGTGGCTCCGGTTGACACAGAACACGTAGAATCCAGCCGGGACTGAACTATTGAAGGTGTTTAACAGCTGCCAGTGGCTCTGCATGACACAGAACACGGAGAATCCAGCCAGGAGTCGGCCAGTGATGGAGTTCACTGAGCCGACCATGGCTCTGATTGACACTAAACACGGAGAATCCAACTGGGACTCGGCTGCCATGAGAGACGGTGCTGCTCTGTGCTCACATTGCACAGAGTGGTCGACAAGCGATGCAAGTGAGAGCCAAAGTAGTCCCACAAGAATAATGTCAGCCTTGGTTTTAATATTGCTTTTAAATATTACATTGTTTATAAAGTATATTTGTAAGAGGTACCTCATATTAACCAATCGTGACGCATAACAGCCTTCCTTTCCCAACAATCATTGGGCGGTGCTCATTTCCATTGGCAGTCTTGAGCTCCTGGTGGAAATTCCATATTCCTGCCGTAGAGGGGTCATTCTCTTCATGACCAGTGGCAAATTCCTAGAAAGCGATTCCTATTTTATCGACCCCGAGGGGATTGTGGGGCAGTCGACCACCGAGCAGGATGCAACAGCCTTAAGCTGTGCCAGGTGGCGGGCAGTGCCAGGAGCCATGGCCGCTTGATGTCTAGCGCCCAGTAAGAGTAGTTACAGTCCTACCCGAGCACAGGTGCAAAGACCCAAGTGGCCAGAAGCAAACGGCACCGCTGAAGGCGTTGTAAACAGAGTCAATGCATTAATTTTGATGGAGAAAGGTTTGCGCGAGCTTGGGGAAAGAGAGGATGGAAGGGAAGTTCAAACGTCGAGCAGTGTGAGGGAAGAAGCCATAGGGAAATTGTGCTGAGTGGGTGTGTAGGTGAGTGTTTTGATCTGCAGTATGGCGAGTGGGTGTTTTGGTGATTGATTTGATTTGCAGTGTGGTGAGTCAGTGAGTGGGTGGGTGAGTGTTTAGATCTGCATTGGGGTGAGTGGGTGTGTAGTTGAGTGTTTTGTTGTGACCTGCAGTGTGGTGGTTAAACAGTGTGGATGCGACAAATCAGTCTAGTAGACCGAGTCCTTAACATGGATGGAGGATTCAATGAGTGAAATTCAAGGGCACAGTATACGTGGTAGTAGTGATAGAAAAGTGGGTGGGTGATGAGTTATTCAGTGAGTTCTGTATTATCTGACTGCTGTACATTGAATTCTATGAACTGCGGCGAGGTCTGGGTGCTCCATACCAGACATGACAGCAGGATTTCAAATTTAGCCAAATGTGTGCTTTGCACAGCAGAAGTAACAATGGCTCGGAATGTAAGAGACATTGACGCGGAAAATAAATCCACGCTTCTTTTAATGCCTCCTTGGCCAAATTGGTAACAGCCCGTTCCAGGACAGCTCAGATGAGACTGTTGTGAAAACCAGATAAGTTGTTTCACTATGGCTAAAAATAACGTTGCTAAATATGAGGGGAGTGACTGTTTTTTGCTCCGTTGAACGTGACCAGGGTGTTGTCACTCCAAGGAAGAACTGCGTTCAAGTCACATCTGAACGTTGGGCAGCTAAACTATTACTTTCAGCTTGTGATTTACATGAGCATGGTGATTGAAGTGTACCATCATCTGCTAAAGACTGAATCGCATTGAGAGAGCTATGCTTTGCCTTTCAAACTAAGTTTTTAACGTTCCAGCGATGTAGTGCCCACACCGTGTGTATCCAGCTGGATAATTTCTGTGCTCAGTTTTTAAAATGCATTTCGTTGAGACAACTACTACAGAGTATGTTTACATCGATGTGACATTGCCCATTTCATTTAACAAACTAAAACTAAACTAAAAACTTTAACTTTACCATGTAAGACCCACTGAGCTATATAGCTCTTTTTCAGAAGCGACCTGGCCACAAATGATAGCTCAATGAAGTGGTTACTCGTGTGAAAATGTATAGCAGCCAATTACTCTAAATATGTTTATAAATCTGGAGGGAAAAACCGGAGGACCCGGTGAAAAATCCAAGCGGCCACAGGGAGAACTTGGAAACTCAAAATATACAAGCGTCAGGGTGGGGATCGAGCCCAGGATCTCCTGTATACCTAGCGAGGTAGTTAACATCTCGCCACCGTGGGGCTCCAACAAAACCACGTTTGAGTCTGTGGGTAACTTACGATTATCCGTGTTATTTGGTATGATGGAGTTGCTGATGGTTTTATCAGGCTGATACATCTCAGAAGAAACATTGTAGGTTGTAATGTCCTCTTGAGTTGTAATATTTAACGTCCCCATCACTTAAGTTAAAAATTGTTTAGAACTATCTGGCAATGTTTTCTTTTGAAATGTTAATAAATAGTCATTGTTTTGTAAGATATTGTTTTCATAAGATTGCACTAATGCAATGTTTTTTTCTTGTTTTAACAGTGAGCCATATCACCCAATTACCATATTGACCAAAAAAACGCCAAAATATTTCAAATGTTGTGTAGATGCAAATGCACCTGGCATGAGCACCATTACTCAATGTGCACCTAGCATGGCACAAGTGTCTTGGTGACGTCACCGCCACATAGCGAACGGCGATGATTATTACTACCAACAGCGCGGAATAGGAAAGGCTTGTGATGACGATACTGATGGGTTGGAACAAAATCGCATATCTTCGACAAAAACTTTCACTTTGCACAAGTTTCCCTTTACCAGTATTATCTCCGTGTCTCAATGGAAAGGTAAATGGTAATAATAAATTACAGGTGTAAGGAGCATTTCATCCATATATCCCAATGCACCATGCATGGAAAGCATGAAATAAACAGAACCAGGGTAAACGGTCAGAACTCGGGGGTCCAGGCCAATTTAAAGGTGAGATTTCAAGACAGAATTAAATAGCTTTAACAGCAAAGCGTTCCATTGTCTGGGAGCTGCACAGGCAAAAAGCCCCCGATCACCCCAGGAACAGAGTCTTGACCTTGGAGTGCTCACAAGGCAACACGAAGATCTCATAGACATCATTGGGAGTATAAAAATGGATCAGTTCCTTTAAATATCGTGGGACTAACCCATTGGGAGCCTCGTAGGTCAGCAGCAGGATATTTTATAAAGCTGCAGACCTCTAAACAACAATGCAGCACAATGAGAGCCAAAGTAGCAAGGGTTGCTTGGGTTTACTCAGTCGAGTGGTTTACAAACGGCAGTGTTCATGCCTTCCGTGGCATGCCGAGCGGCGTTAGGGTGATCACGACGCAAGGACATGAAGTTCACCACTGCTTTTGGGCTGTGTATGAGGGGGTTTTGGATTTTTTTCTAGCTGCACCGACGTTAATAAAAACATTGCCAATGAAATGTTCACCCAAGCAGTGTGCTCCTTGTGAAGATGCGTCGCGTGACAAGGCATGCAGCGAGCGATGTGGAGCTGCAGCGATCAAAACTTTGGTTGTGAAATTAACACCTCGCCTACGGTTAACGTGCATTACAAAAAAACACCGTATTACGTGTCTTTACGACTGGATCGCATTGAGTTATGCTGTGCCTTTCAAACAAAGTTTGTAACATCGCAGTGATGTAGTGCCCACACAGTGTGTATCCAGCTGGGTAATTTGTGCTCAGTTTTTAAAACGCGTTTCGTTGAGATGACCACCACAGAGTATGTATATACCAAAGTCACATTGCCCAGTTCACTTAACGAACTAAAACTAAACTTTTTTTATTTTACCAGGTAACACCCACTGAGCTATATTGCTCTTTTCCATCCATTGTTGTGCAGTACATCTATGCTCCCTGCCGCACTGAACCAGTGTGAAGTGCGGTCAAATAACCTTCACGACCCTCAAGGTATGGGGAGGCCCCCCAATCCAGCAGTGGGATGACAAAAGTGCTGGAGGTGGATTTGTATTATGGGTCATACTGACAACAAGCAAGTTAAATGAAGCGTGAAAGTCATGAATATATAGCAATGTTGAATGAAGGCGAGACTATTGTATTGTGTTGAATCGTGTTTGTGTGAATGACTGTCGATAGGGCTTCATGAATCAAAACATTGACACCGGCGGTATTCTCCCAAAATTCAATTATTATTGAACGACTCGGTTTGAAATAAAAAAAAATTTAAAATCCCAATATCAGGGATTTTCTGATGTCTCTAGGAATTTGCCCCCTGGTTTACAAAGCTTTACTCACACGGTGTGCCAGTGCAGAAATTATTCCGCAGTGAAGCTGCTCGAGTTCAAGCAGACTCATGGCCGTGTCTTTTTTTACCAAGTCATTATTGAAAGGGACACATGTCAAACATACCGGAATGTGTACATTTAGGACAATGAAGATCAAGCTTATTTTGCTTAACCAGGTGAATACTCAAACAGGCCAGGGTGAGTCTCATTTGCAAGGGTGACCCCCAATCAATATTTATTTAAGTATCATATTTTTCACAATTTTTTATTTTAGCAGTTTTATAGCTCCTTTTTAGAAACGACCTGACCACAAAATATAGCTAAACGAAGTGGCTTGCCATGTGGAAATGTAAAGCAGCCAAAAAATTCTGGTTACATATGAAAGTCGCGTTAGTTTGTCAGGGAGAGCCGTAGTCCATCAGCACAGAACAAGAAAAAAACATCAAAGTGATGCGCGCAGAGGAACAGGCAGCAGCAGAACCGAACTCGTCAAAAATACAGGCAGAAATAATGAGAAAATAACGAAACAATTACAATATTTACAAATAAACACGGCAAAACAAGGATGAGGTAATGAGTGGTTGGGGAGATGTGCATGAGGTGAAGCGAAGCCGATCCACCTGGGGTATTGGTCTGCCAGTAGGGGGAGCTGGGTGATGATTTCTGCTATGTGCAATCCCAATCGAGTAATTTGAGGTACATTTTTTTTAATTTGGAAAATTTGGATCCTGACGTGATGTCCTGCCATTGCGTGTGACATCAGGGGGATGTTTAATGACCACCGTGAAGCACAAAGTGTGTATTTCTACAGCTAATGCACCCGCAGTATTAACCAGGGTGGCCGCTAGATTTCACGCGCGAGCCTCTGCCACGAGCGGTAAACATCTGCCACGAGCGGTGGGCCGTGTAACTCCGGCGAATGGGCGATGGAAATGAATAGAGGCGAGAGGATGCTGATGGGATTCTGGAAAAACAAAGTAATTTTGGAATGACAAATGTCCTACACATGTAATGTACGACTTCGAAGACAATAAGCTGTAGAGGCACCTAAGAGGCACTTTTATTACTCAACTTGCAGTTACATTCGCTAGCACGTAACACAACACTGACCACCTAGCAACGACGGCACTGACTAGATAGCTATCTAGCAATGGGGACGTCGAGCGATGACAAAGGCGGAAGCGATGACGAGGCGACCCTGACTCCCATGGACAGCCCCGAGCTCCCTCTCTCCCCCCCTTTAATCCTCCAGCGGGGCCCGGCCCTGTCCACCCTTCTGGAACCATATAGCTGGTTCTGGGAGCTTAAAGATGGAATCCTTCCATGACCCTTGGCCCAGATCTTCCCCTTGGGTGGGTACATCCGTAATTGCTACTCCTGGTCGCCAGTCAGCGCTGCTACACTACATACGGACCAATGTGCCGAAGGGACGTGTTTCAAGCTGTGACACGGATGAGAAGCGTGGGCAATGTAACAGCCCGAGCTATAAAGCGATGTCAGAATCGCCATAGATACAAATGATGGCTTTTGTGGACATTTATAGCAGCCAAATACTCTAAACGCTTAAATTTCGATTTAAAGCTTTTGTGACTGCAAGGATTCATCTTCTTTGGTTCTTTCGGTAAAGTCACGTAGAATGAGAATAAAATAATAAATTTATAAAATAAAATAACACAATAATATTCTCACGACGTTTCGGCCACAACACAAGCGGCCTTCATCAGGTGAAGGGACGAGACTGTCTGGTAGGACAGCGCTGGAGTGAAAAAGCCACGCTCAGATCACGACCTTTAAGCTGTGTGAGAAGAAACAAAGCGCCTTGACAAAGGAATTAGCATATAATTTAGCATTGAAATGGCTGAGTGATTAGCTTGTGACTGGTCACAGAAATGGAGGGATGATATTGTCGTCCTCTCAGCCGACAAGGGCAATGCCACTGTCATCATGGACAAAACAGAATATAACAACAAAATTCAAGAACTACTCAATGATGGCAGCTATACAAAAATAAAAAGAGATCCTACCAACAGCCTGGTTACCAAAACGAACAAAATCATGTCTGATTCAACAGCATTAATTGATGAGATCAAACAGTTCTCGTTGAAACCCTCTGCTGCCAGACCACCAAGATTATATGGCCTTCCAAAGATACACAAAGAAGATACACCCCTTCGTCCCATCGTCTCTACTATCAACTCCCCCACCTATAAACTGGCACGTTTTCTTGCTGATATACTGCGACCTTTCACTGGAAAAAACACCTCTGCGGTACTAAATTCTACTCACCTGGTATCGAGAATCAAAGGCATTTCCCTGTCCCCAGACGACCTGCTTGTCAGTTTTGATGTGGTGTCCTTGTTCACCAAAGTCCCGGTACCTGACACCATCGCTATCATTGAAGACCTGGTTCATCAAGGACTGCATACTGATGTACCCCCCTGGTGAGACATTGCTTAACCAACACATACTTCACCTGGAATGGAACTTTCTACAAACAAACTGAGGGCACCCCAATGGGCTCCCCCCTATCTCCGGTTGTAGCCAACGTATTCATGGAAAAATTTGAAACTGACGCCATCCAGACTACCACTCTACGCCCGACCTTATGGAAGAGGTACGTGGATGACACCTTTGTCATCTGGCCACATGGCCAGCCTGCTCTAGACCAATTCCGCGACCACATCAATTCCATACACCCAGCCATCAGATTTACCATGGAGGTCGAAAAAGATGGCAAACTACCCTTTTTGGATGTCTTAATTAAAAGGAGACATGATGGTTCAATGAGCCACTCTGTCTACAGGAAAGCTACCCATACGGATACTTACTTGAAACCGGATTCCCACCACCATCCATCCCAGAAGAACTCCCTCATCAAGACTCTATACCATAGAGCCCAATGCATTTCCGACCAGGAACACATTACCAATGAACTCAAGCACGTACACCAGGCTCTCAGGGCTAATGGTTACTCCGACTACACAATCCGCAAAGCCATCACTCCAGTCATGAAGAAGGATCCTCTTGTGGAGCCACTCAAAACCATCACCTTACCCTACATTGCAGGGGTCACTAAAAATATCTCCAAAATCCTGAATAAACACAAGATCCAGGTCCGATTCAACACAGTACATAAAATCCGTGATTTAGTTCCATCTGTAAATGATGCTGTTCCAGACATACAGTACCCGGGCGTTTACAAACTAAAGTGCCTCTGTGGTAGTAGCTACATTGGAGAAACCAAACGACATATCTCGGACCGCATCCGTGAACATAAAGCAGACTTGAAACACGGTAGAATGAACTCCTCTGCCGTGGCAGATCACTGTTATAATTCAGTGGGCTCACATGACATTGACTTCTCCAAGACGGAGGTTCTTTGCAAACCAAGCGGCTACCATGAGAGATTCGTTCATGAGGCCATTCACATATACAAGCACAGAGACAATTTCAACCGAGAAGATGGATTCTGGCTTAGTAACCATTGGAAAGATGTTTTAAACCATTTCCGTTAATTAATTGTATTTTACGATGACCTTCGGACCGCAGCTCTTTCGCCAGCATTGACTCTTAATACCTCTCACACCACGGTTAATGGTATGGTTTACAACATGGAGTATAATAGCGCCTCGCAGCTGTCTCTCTCCCCCTCCTCTGTTCCGACCATGGATGAACTCGTCCGTCTGAACGGGGCCCGTAGCTATCCGTGTTGCTAAAGTTGAGGGTAAGAATCCACCCATTTTTTCGCCATATAGCATTGTGATATTTAACGACTTATTGTTGGTAGCTTAGCTGATTGGAGAATATAGAGTTTATTGATAACATTAATGTAATTTATATTTTAGTTTTTATTGGTTCACTATATAGTATTCATTATATATTGTATTGTATACCCAGTTACTGTGAATAGCTCAGATGTGTAGGCCTTGACTTCAACATAGCCATTTCTGTGACCAGTCACTAGCTAATCACTCAGTTATTTCAATGCTAAATTCGCCTAGTTATTTTAATGCTAAATTCTCCTGTTTGATTTGTACTAGGTGCCTCGGTGAATGTGTATGCTGACTTTAACATAGCTATTTCTGTGACCAGTTACAAGCTAATCACTCAGCTATTTAAATGCTAAATTCTATGCTAATTCCTTTGTCAAGGGGTGCCTCTGCGGATGTGTATGCTTTAACTTAGCTATTTCAATGCTAAATTCTATGCTAATTCCTTTGTCAAGGGGTGCCTCTGCGGATGTGTATGCTTTAACTTTAACATAGCCATTTCTGTGACCAGTCACAAGCTAATCACTCAGCCATTTCAATGCTAAATTATATGCTAATTCCTTTGTTTCTTCTCACACAGCTTAAAGGTCGTGATCTGAGCGTGGCTTTTCACTCCAGCGCTGTCCTACCAGACAGTCTCGTCCCTTCACCTGATGGAGGCCGCTTGTGTTGTGGCCGAAACGTCGTGAGAATTTTTTTTATTTTATTTGATCAATTTATTATTTTATTCTCATTCTACGTGACTTTACCGAATGAACCAAAGAAGACTCTAAACGCTTGTTTCTAAATGTGGAGGGAAAAACCGGAGGTCCCGGTGAAAAATCCACACAATGGTGAGATACACATGCAAACTCCAAATATACAGCAGGTGTAAGGGTCGGGATCGAGCCCACAACATCCTGTATACCTGGCGAGGGACCTGGCGAGGGATGATATCTCGCCACCGCGGCGCCCATACCGTACAAGATCGGGGTCACATTGCTGAGAGAGAAGCGAGGCTTGGGCAGATTTCTTGAACGACCACGAGTGGTGTGCCTATGGCCTCCTAAGTGGGCATCATCGACCGTGGAGATATGAGTGTTGAAACTGTCCCGTGGGCAGGAGCCGAAGTGACCGTGGCATCGCGCGACTCGAAACGTGTCCCGATTTGGGCTTTGGAAAAGGTGGCAGCGCCTCGTGTCACCTTCACGAGATTGCCCCTCGAGCATCCGATCGGTGCCGCTGAGCCGTGGGCATGTGGGAAGAGCTTTACAGCTCATCAGATTCCTCCCGAATAAATATTCTGAACGGTGCCCATGTGGACCCAGGCAGCGAACCTCGCGCGTTCACCACTCGCGAGGTTCTGCGCCTCACAGCAGGAGATGGGGAATTAAAAACAAGACTCGGGTGTAAGAATAGGTTTTACCTAGAATAGGTTTTACCTATTCTGCCAAACAGAAACCTTTTGCACGTGTTGAACGTGCAAACACAAGAACATGCTCTCATAGGAGATGGCATCATTGTCTTTAAAACAGATTGGTCTACTCCAGAGACAGCAGCCTTCTTTGTGGCCTGGCCTAGTCTAGGGTGGCTGGTGGAGGCGCTGAAGCCCCCCCCCCCCCCCGGATTGTCAAGAGACGGAACCGTGGAGGCGGGGCGAGTCGCATCCTCTGACCCTTGACCCTCCACCACCACCGCCGCCGTCGTCGTCGCCGTCGCCTCCCCCGCGCTCGCCGCGGTGCCTCGAGTCGCGAATCCGCAGCGCGCGAACTTCGCGCGGCCGCGTGGCTCAGCGTGGGCGGGGCGCACGTGGGCGGGTGGCAGAGAGTGCGGGTGAGAGTACAAGAGAGGGTACAGTGCGGGCGAGAGGGTACAGTGTCACGCGCGAGAGGGTACAGTGTCACGCGCGAGAGGGTACAGTGTCACGCGCGAGAGGGTACAGTGTCACGCGCGAGAGGGTACAGTGTCACGCGCGAGAGGGTACAGTGTCACGCGCGAGAGGGTACAGTGTCACGCGCGAGAGGGTACAGTGTCACGCGCGAGAGGGTACAGTGTCACGCGCGAGAGGGTACAGTGTCACGCGCGAGAGGGTACAGTGTCACGCGCGAGAGGGTACAGTGTCACGCGCGAGAGGGTACAGTGTCACGCGCGAGAGGGTACAGTGTCACGCGCGAGAGGGTACAGTGTCACGCGCGAGAGGGTACAGTGTCACGCGCGAGAGGGTACAGTGTCACGCGCGAGAGGGTACAGTGTCACGCGCGAGAGGGTACAGTGTCACGCGCGAGAGGGTACAGTGTCACGCGCGAGAGGGTACAGTGTCACGCGCGAGAGGGTACAGTGTCAGTGTCACGCGCGAGGTGCACGTGAGTGAGAGGCCGTGCCATGAAGCTGGGCCCGGCGCACTCGCTGGGCTCGTCACGGCGCCGCACGCGGGACGCGCTGGGGGTGCGCGGAGCCGAGGACCCCGCGGGGGGGCCCTCTCCGGCCCCCCCCGCCAGCTTCTCGGCGCTGCTGCTGTCGGGCCGCGTGCTCGCGGGGCTCAGCGCCGCGGGGTTCAGCGCCCCCTCGCCCATCCAGCTCAAGGCCATCCCCTTGGCGCGCTGCGGACTCGGTACAACACACACGGGGGGGGGGGGCACGGAGGGGGGGGGCACGGAGGGGGGGGGCACGGAGGGGGGGCATAGTGGTGGGCACACACTCAGAATCTTTATTTAGACTGGAGGAGGAATCCGATGAGCTATGAAGCTCTTTTCACACGTGTCCAGTTTGGGCACCCTCGGCAATTTACAACAGCAAACAATACAAAATGTGGTCCCCGTATGGTCGCCGTGTGTCCCCGTATGGTCGCCGTGTGCGAGTGACTTTGTCCTTGCGTGGCGGTGCAGACCTGGTGGTGCAGGCCAAGTCGGGCACAGGGAAGACATGCGTGTTCACCACCGTGGCCCTGGAGGCGCTCGTCTCCGAGAACCTTGCCGTGCAGGTGAGGGCAACGTGCCGAGTGTGCTGAGTGCAGCATGCTCGGTGTGCCGAGTGTGGTGAGTGCAGCATGCTCGGTGTGCAGAGTGTGGTGTGTGCAGCATGCTCGGTGTGCCGAGTGTGGTGTGTGCAGTCTGAGGCGTGTGCCGAGCGAGGCAGTGTGTGGTGAGTAGAAAGGTAGTGTGTGCTATGTGGGGAGTAGTGAGGAGAGAGTATGTGGTGAGTGGGGGTGAGAAAGGCAGTGTGTGGTGAGGAGACAGCAGTGAGTGGTGAAATTTTCACCAGTGGTGAAAATTTTCACCACTGGTTCAGGTGGTGGCAGGGAGTGCAATGCTTGGCCTCGTGGCTTCACTGCAGAATCGTTGTGGTTGTTGTGCTGTTGTTGCCTGTTCACTGCAGTGACCGGTGAGTGCGTGACCGGTGAGTAAATGAGCGATGGACACACGACCCCGTGACCCTTGCGCCGCACCCTCTCACCGGTGCCGCCGCCGTGCTCGCACGCCGCAGGTGTTGGTGCTGGCGCCGACGCGCGAGATCGCGGTGCAGATCCACTCGGTGATGCTGGCCATCGGCGCGCACGTCGAGGGCCTGCAGTGCCACGTGTTCATCGGCGGCACGCCGCTCTCCCTCGACCAGCAGCGCCTTCGCAAGTGCCACATCGCCATCGGCTCTCCCGGTGTGTGCTGCGCGCGTGGTGACGTGAGTGCCATGGCGACGAGGCTGGTAGTTGTAATCGCCGGCGAAATGTCACGGGTACTCGAAATGTAAATGTTGTGGGTTTACTCTCCACCTGTGTGCTGAAGTAGTGACTAATTGGCATGCTTTGATTACGTGACAAACCTTACTAATTGGCTGTGTCGGGTGGTGGCGGGTTTAACGACACGCGATCTAACCCCAACAAAAACCCCATTATGGATAATATCGATCGCGAAAACCTCCTACGTGTTAAACTGCTGATGTTTAGTGATGACGCGTGTTCTTTTGCCGTCATTGTGGGCACGGGCACGTGTATGCGCGGTCCTGTAGTTTTGGGGCATGTGCATGCGGCGTGCAGGCCGAGTCAAACAGTTGATAGAGCTGGGCCACCTCTCTGTGGGTGCGGTGCGTCTCTTCGTGCTGGACGAGGCCGACAAGCTGCTGGAGCAGGGCAGCTTCCAGGAGCAGATCAAGTGAGCACGGGGGGTTCGCCGTTCAGCTAGTTGCTGGGGGGTTCGCTGTTCGAGTCTGGTGGGCCGCCCTCGTGAATGTTGTTGGGCGCGTTTGCCGTGAAACGCGAGGCGCCATCTGCTTGCCTCGCGAGCTGGAGGGGGACATGGTCGAGAGGTCCCGTGAGTCGGTCATTGTGTGCTGGTTCCACGGTCCAAATTTGACAACTCACCACATGACTTAATTGATAAATGGCGATCGTCGCCCCCCCGACTTGGAAGACTTGGCAGGACCCTCCTGAAAAAGAGTCTTGAGGCTCAGTGAGGCTTTCCTGAGTAACCGAGCGGAATTACAATACTACTACTACAATATACTGTACGATATAAGAACCACGGTATTCGTGTCTTCCGCCTTGCGCAATATCGTTACACCATGATGATCCTTATTGCGTAAAGTGTTGAATTTCCTCGTCAATTGTGAGATAAGAATCGGGGTAACGAACGTTCTGGGCGAATCCCGATTGCCCGCCTGGTGAAGTGACCGGTGTCTGCGCCCCACCCCCTCCCCCCGGTAGCTGGATCTACTCGAGCCTGCCGGCGAACAAGCAGGTGCTGGCGCTGTCAGCCACCTACCCCGAGTCGCTGGCATCACACCTCACCCACTACATGCGCGAGCCGACCTATGTGCGCCTCAACCCCAGCGACATGGCCCTGCTCGGTGAGCAGATCCTCCCGCTCACTGACTCACAGGAGCAGCATCCCTCCCACGCCTGGTGTGTTGTGCTCACAGAGAGCCGTGCTCACTCCAAGAGCCTCACTCATAGACCCTCACTCTCCTCTCAAGAGAGCCTCACTCTCCTCTCAAGAGAGCCTCACTCACTCGGAGAGCCTTACTCGGAGAGCCTTACTCGGAGAGCCTTACTTGGAGAGCCTTACTTGGCAGCATTGGTTTAAATACAAGCAATACTCTGGATCAGTTTCGACTCAAGTATTTATTGCATTGAAGCAATGCAGATGATGAGATGGACTCGCAGAAGGCCGTGCGGCCGATGGGTTGTGTAAAAAAATGCTTACATTTGTTTAAATGGAGAGACGAATGTTTATGGAAAGGGGGCACCATTTATTATGTTCTTGAAACTAAAACTTTAAAAATATATATACTTTACCAGCCACAAATGATTTTATTTTACCTGCCACAAATGATAGTTCAATGAAGTGGCTTATGTGGAAATTTATAGCAGCCAAATACTCTAAACGCATGTTTCTGGAGGGAAAAACCGGAGAACTCGGAGAAAAATCCAGGGGACCATGGGGAGAACATGCAAACTCCAAATATTAAGCAGGCGTCAGGGTCGGGATCGAACCCAGGGCCTTCTGCATACCAGGCGAAATAGTTAACATCTCGCCACTGTGGCGCCAAAATTTTTACGACAGCGCATGGTGGCTTGTGGTGTGCACCAGGTAGCACGTGAACACGATCGGTGTCCTGTACCCCTGTCACCACACAGGGTTGAAACAGTTCTACAAGGTCGTGCCATGCCATCCCATCTCACACCACATCCTGCGTGATAAGACCCAGGAGCTGCTGCAGCTCTTGTCACGGATTCCCTTCAACCAGGCGCTGGTTTTCTCCAATATGCACAGCAGGTAGCGCGCACACACGCACATACCGCATACACACATACACCACACGCTACAACACACACCACAAAGTACGCACACTGCACAGTACACACACCATATACACACACATACCACATATACACACACACACCGCATACACACTGCATACACACCACATACACACACACTACATACACATACCACACACATGCCACATACATCCACACGCACACACAGCACATACACACGCACCACACAGGACACACACCACACACACCACACACACACGACACGTACCATATACCCCACAGACACACCATGGTAACGTGACTAACCATCACCTTGAGCCAGTGTGTTTTTGGTGTTTTTTGTGTGTGCATGTGGTGTATGTGTGTGCATGTGGTATATGTATGTGTGTGCGTGTGGTGTGCTGAGAAAGGTCCTCGCAAGGATTATTCAACATCGCCTTGCTAGGCATGCTGAGGAGAGGCTTTCGGAGCCCCAATGCGGTTTCAGGAAAGGGCGGTCCTGGACAGATGCCATATTTTCTATCTGTCTGCTACAGCAGAGGTGTAGGGAATTCCAACAAGACCTACATCTCTACTTCATTGGCCTGGTCAAGGCCTATGATACCATCAGTAGACCTGGTCTCTGGGTTGTTCTTCGTGCTTTCGGAGTCCCTGACCATCTACTCATGCTCATTAAGGACCTTCATGATGGTGAGCAGGCCCGGGTAAAACTACGTGGCCGGGAGTCAGAGCCATTCCCTGTACACCTTGGGGTGCGACAGGGATGTCCTCTGGCTCCAACATTATCTATTTCGACCACGTAGTTCGTGAAGCCTTCAGTAGCTGTAGCGAAGGAATTTTCATCTGGTACAGATACAATGGGAGGCTGATCGATGCCCGGGTGCGGTCAAGGGATGGCTCCTTATTGGTCAACCACATTATGTATGCCGACGACCTGGTAATTGCAGCTCACTCAGAGGAGGAGTTGGAGGCGCTGCTGCTGAAACTGGACTGTGCCACTAAGAGGTTGGGCCTTACTATCAGCCCCACCAAAATGAAGCACCTGCCTGGGTATTTTGTACCATCGGGCACTCCACCCCCACAACTCCCAATCGGTGATGGGGCAGTTGTGGAGAGAGTGGAGAGTTTCCCATACCTGGGCAGTGTGCTCATGACCGGTTCCGGTTTAACAGCAGAGGTCTCACTCTGAATCAGTCGAGCGGCATTATCTTTCCATAAGTTGCGTAACGCTGTGTGGAAGCTACCTGGTCTGTCGCTCCGCACGAAGCTTCGGGTCTGCTCGACCACAGTTATTTCCCCCCTTCTCTATGCTTGCGAAACGTGGAACCCCCTAATGGAACATCTTCGCCGGTTAGGAACATTTAGGCTGGCCTTCCTATGATCAGTCCTGGGTTTAACCAGGCTGGATTGTATGAGGAGCTCACAAATCCTCGAAAGATCTGGACAAAGTCCCATCGGTGAGCACCTCCGGCAGGCAAGGCTGCATTGGCTGGGCCATGTAGCCCGCATGCCCAATCACTGCATGCCCAAACAGCTTTTGTTTGGCCGGATCGAGGGGGCTAAACGGGCACGGTACGGGCTAGAGAAGAGATGGAGTGACGTGGCACAGGAGGATGTGGAGCTGAGTGCTTGCCGATGACTGGTACCAGTGGTGTCAAGATCGGCCTCTGTGGAGGAGGCTCGTGAAGGACGCTACTGGGCAGTTGGAGGCAGTCGCCCTCCAAAAAGAACAGAGGGCGGAGGAGCGACGCTCACAACGAGGGGAGCGCCGGGTGGCTAAAGCACAGAAAGTTGGCACAGTAGGGGGCACAGGTTGTGCATCAGCCGGTCATCTCAGTCATCTCAGTCAGTCGACCTGTGGCACCTGGGTCTGCCCCGTGACCTCCTGCCAGCGGGCGTTCGACATGTCACATGGCCTCAAGGTACACATGGCCTGGCACAAGCATCGTGGTGACGTCATCGCCACTTAGTGGCGAATGGCAGTTGTTGTTGTGTGTGGAGCGGTAGTGTAGCGGTTAGTGCGCTGCGCTATGAACCCGGAGAGCCGGGTTCAATTCCCACTCACGGCCAACACCAGTAACGATTATCTGAACCGGTCCTGGGCCTCCCCTAGGTCGACTCAGCCTCAAATGAGTACCTGGTGCGGTGTGTAAACATCGCCACTGGGGAGACAAAGGTGGTCGGGCGTGGTGCTGACCCACCCCCTCGTGTACCATTCTGGCCTTCATAGGTGCTCGCTAACAGCACTTGCTCCTACAGTTTGTTAAGGCTATACGGGGGATCTTTGTCTTTTTTAATGGTGTGTGTGCGTGTGTCGTGTGCAGGGCACAGCACCTGGCGGACTCGCTCTCGGCGCGTGGCTTCCCAGCTGCATGCATCTCTGGTAAACACACGCAGCATACGCACACGCAGCACACGCACGCTCTAGGAGGTGCTGCTGCTGGTGCTGCTGGTGCCAGTGTGGGTTATTGTGGGAAGCGGTAGTGTAGCAGTAGACCCAAGTTCGATTCCTGCTCACGCCCAAAACAAGTGACGATTGTTTGAACCGGTCATGGGCCTCCCCTAGGTCGACTCAGCCTCAAATAAGTACCTGGTGTGGTGTGTAAACATTACCACTAGAGAGACAAAGGCGGCCAGGCGTGGTGTTGGCCACCTTCATAGGTGGTCGCTAACAGTACCTGCCCCAACATTCTGTTCAGGCTATACAGTGCATCTTTGTCTTTGGTGCGGGTTATTGCTTTCTTATTGATGACCTTTGCAGCTCAATGTTTTACTCGTCAGTGGTAATTGTTATCGTCCAGACAACGTGGCACTGGCACCCGAGTTGGGTATCGAACCCAGACTAATCTAAGTCCACACAGTGGGATTCTGTAAGAGTAGACGTAGATCCACCTGTTGAGATCTGGTATTGAATGTACAATGGCTGTAGAATCTAATGAGGGGGTTCTGGTGGGGTTTGGTGGTGTGAACAGTCACCCTCGGTTCATCTCTGGTGGACTTTGTGGGCACTCTGTGGCTGTGTTACTTGCTGTGAGCACTGAGGTGAAGATGTCCGAATAGCAGCATCACTGAGAATTCTCAGACTGGCTTTACCACATCATTCACTCGAGCGCAGAACCAGTTCCACTTGTGTTTGTGTAAAGCGGTCGGCCCTGCCTGGAGGCTTCGTGTATTTATTGGGATCGGTGTGGTGTTCGTTGGGTCCCTTAGCATTCGCACCCCACAAGCCCTCTTCTTGTTCAGAGGCGTCGGCATTGGCCGTGTTTGTCAGGGTGCAGCAGCCGCCGTACACCTCGAGGTATCTGCAATTTGACAACGTTGTGGTGAGATTTTAACTACCTCACCTGGTATGCAGGTGATCGTGGGTTCGATCGCGACCCTGACGCCTTTTTATTTGGAGTTTTTTGTTCTCCCCGTGGTCGCTTGGATTTTTCTGCGAGTCCTCCCGTCTTTCCCTCCACATTTAAAATCAACATGCCTTGTAGAGTATTTGGCTGCAATACATTTCCACACGGTCAGCCACTTCGTTGAACTTTCATTTGTGGCCAAGTTGCTTCTGAAAAAGTGCTATGTAGCTCAGGTGGGCCTTAACTGTTATATAAGAAATAGTTTTTTTTTTAAGCACAGCTAATGTACACAATTACTTGTCGGCCTACAGTACTACGGATTACAGTCACTTCTTCACACGGAGTTGATTTTCTCAGCCAAGTTTATCATTTATAATAGATTTGGGGTTAGGCCAGACTAAGATCTGGCCAATTTTTTGTTGTCAGGAAACCCTCCACCACCTGACACAGCCAGGTGGTGGAGGGTGAAATTTTGCTTTAAAGCTTTCGTGACTGCAGGGATTCATATTCTTGGTTCTTTCGGTAAAGTCATGTAGAAGGGACTTTACCGAAAGAACCAAGAATATGTCACGCGGTGTTCAAGCGTTTAACAACTCGCTAATTATGATCATTTCAGCGCGCTCACCAGCGAGTTGAACGGTTCTCACAGCCAAGCTTGGCAACTAGATACACATAGTTTAATTTGAAACTGCATCAAGCGTCATCAGGTCATTAAAACCAGGCAGTCAGAATAACCGTGTCATCCGGTCTGGCATAGTCGTTGGATGAATCGGGGTGTGAGGATCGTTGTTCAACTCACCGGTGAGTGAGCTGAAATGATCATCATATGGCGCGTTGTCTAACGTACCTAAACCTGACATTTTATTCCTTTGGCTACGTGGAGGGTTTCAAGACAAAAAAAAAGAGTGGCTGATAATTCCCGCTGTGTGCGATCGCTTGTGACTCGATGCGGTGGCGATGAAGCCCGCGATTCCGTCTGTCTCCTTGCTGCAGGGGGCATGACCCAAAGCCAACGCCTTGACGCCATGTCCAAGCTGAAGCACTTCCAGTGCCGCGTCCTCATCTCCACTGACCTGGTAACGACGACAACATCGACGACAATCTTAGCTTATTTACATTTATATGGCGCCTTACAAAAATTAGAAAATTGTACATAAGATGATAGCGGTTGAAAAAAATAGTGGGGGTTATTAAACGTGGTGGTATAGTTATGGTTACAGGAGAACAGATGGGATAGCTTAAGGAGGGGTAGTGAGTGGGGCTGGGGTAGTGATAGGGGTTGGGGTAGTGATAGGGGTAGTGAATGGGGTGGTCATAGGGGTAAGCCTGCACGTAGCTGGGGGGAGCGAGGCAGGGAGGAGCAGTAGCAGGATTAGCTAGGGGAGAATGGAAACAGGTTGGTGAATATAATGAGCCAGATTCATAGCACGTGCATATCAAGATTTGAAGTTTTCGTGACTGCAGGGATCCATACTCTTGGGTTCTTTCGGTAAAGTCACGTAGGTATAAAATGAATTAAATCCCGACGTTTCGGGCGCAACACAATTGCCCATCATCAGGTGGAATAACCACAGCAATAATTCACATAATTCACACAGCGAGTCGCCAACACGATTCAGAGGCGTGGGCCAAAGCCCAGCTGTTACTTGAGTGCCTGCTGCCCAGGTGCGTGCCTCTCGAAGGCTGCAGTGGACCGCTCGCTCGCTGGGTTCATCGGCAGGCAGGAAGTTCCACACACGCGGAGCGGGGACAGGAGGAGAGCGAGCGGTGTTTAGCGGTTGTGCTGTTTCACCTAGAAGCGCATTATCATTGGTGCCCAGGTGTACGCAGCACAATGCAGGGCATCCATTGCTCAACTGGCTTTTGAATGCGTGCGTGCGTGTGTGTGAGATGTAGTCGCAATACAGCACTCATTGGAGCCTTTACCACTGCCGCGCAGCTCTGAAAATCTTTGCTTTTACCCCCTTCCGTACCAATGGCAGATTGTATGTATTTTGAACTTCTCTCAAATCGTATGTAGCCAACCGTGCTAATCGTACGGGGAAATGCACTTGGAATGCATTCAGACAAGTTCAAACAACCAAGTCTCACTTGGCCTGAAGAAGTCTGCAGCATATCAGGCGATTCTAATGCCAAATGAGGATTCATGAACCAGACTGCTGCTACTGCTGGTATTGTCATGAGTGCTGATGCTGTGCACTCTTCAGTTTTATCTGTGAAAGGTTTGTTGTAGGTTGGGTTATTTTATGTAAAGCGCAGTGAGGCCTTGTGGCACTGTGTAAAATTAAGTTTCAGTGTTGTGATGACACCGCAGGACTTGGTAGAGTCCAGAGCAGTAATTCAATTAAACAATGCCGCCAAAAACAATCAGAATCTTCATCTAGACTGGAGGAAACCGATGAGCAATGAAGCTTTTTTTAACAGATGTCCAGTCGAGGCATATTGAACCCACACAGATATTGCTGGTGTGAACGTGTCAATACATCCAAATGCTGTGGCATCTGCGTGGACTCAACCTTACATTACTAAATACCAATCATCGTTCATCGCCATCCCTTCATGACTGCCCTCAGTCCATATCTCTCCTACGCAGGAACCGATCGTCAGGACGGCCAGGTTGGCTGAGAGTCTTGTTGTGAATCTTCGGCTTTTTCCTTTGGGTGGCGTTGATTTTGGTTGACGACCGGGAACCGGGGAGCGTTTCCCCGACAGCCGTAATGTTGCGCGGCAGACAGGGGCGCTGCCACACCTGCCACAGCTGTTCCGTCGTCTTCGCAGATGGCGCGCGGCATCGACGCCGAGAAGGTGAACCTCGTCATCAACTTGGATGTGCCCGATGACTGGGAGACCTACATGCACCGCGTGGGGCGCGCCGGACGCTTCGGTAAGTTAGGCGCTCACCAGGGGGGAGGCGTCGTTGTCGGGTGCGCAGGCGGTGCAACTGCTCCGAGACCCATGGGGCCCCTGGAGGGGCCCAGGCGCTGGGCTAAGAACAAGAGGGGGGTGGGCATTCCATCTACACCGTACCAGTGTGATGTTGGTAGAAGTATTCGAGTGAACTGTGGTGTGTGTGTGATACAGGCATCTGTGGGATCGTTTGGAGAGGGACTCGAGTGAGCTGTGTGTATGTGACGGGTGCGAGAGACTGGTAACCCCTCCACCTTCAATTAATTACCACTAAATCACGAAAAAAATATCCAACTAAGCTTGTGCCAGAGGCCCCGGGTGGACAGGCGTCTATGACGTCTCCTGGCCAAACCCCATTTGGCGGAGCCAAGAGATTGAATCCTTACTCTCGGGGTTCCTCCAGAAACAGCAAAAAGCTACTGCAGGTGGCCATGTGGAATGTTCAAATGCTCACTGCGGAGAAGCTGCCACTACTCTGTTGGGAGCTGGACCGGTACCACCTGGATCTCTGCCGTATTCAGGAGGTCCGGAGGACCGGCTCTGGCTCCTTACACCATGAGGGGTGGACAGTCCTCTACTCGGGGCAGGAGACAACCAACAGGGAGTGGCTCTTCTGCACAAAAGAATGAAGGGGGCGTGGGAGCGTGGCGGTGAGGTGTGGGAAGCTGTAAGCCCCAGGCTACTTTGGGCTCGCCTTCCCATCAACCGGAGGCGAGGAGTGGTGGTCGTGGTTACTTATGCCCCCACCGAAGACGAACATCCGTGGAGGGATGCAGGCAAAGCCGATGAGTCAGATGCCTTCTATGACCTCCTGTCACAGGTGCTGGTTAAAGTGGCACCTCGGGATAGAGTCATCATGTTGGGTGACTTCAATGCCCGAGTTGGTCATGATGCTGGCACCTGGTCTGGAGTGATTGGAGGACATGGGCCAGATCAGCTCAATAACAACGGTAGGAGGCTGCTAGATTTTTGTGCAGCCCATGGGCTTGTAATTACCAACACGCTGTTCCGGCATCGGCGCATCCACACAACATCATGGATGCACACCGGATCCAAGCAAGAACATCTGCTGGACTAAATAGTGATGAAACAGCGGATGCGGGCCCATGTTCTTGACACCAGGACCTACTGTGGAGCTGATCTGCCCACTAACCATTGACTTGTCATCTGTAAGATGCACCTGCCATTCTTCTACTCCGGTGTTGGGTGGACACCCAGGACCCCATTCAAACCCATAGTGTGCTGGTCTCAGCGAGGTGATGAAAGTTGCAAGCGAGAATTTCATCATCGCTTGCAGCTGGGGTTGGCATCGTCCCCCACTCCTCCTGATGCCGAGGGGAAATGGCCGAGGTTTAGGACTGTGGCTCATGCAGCTGCAATGGATGGGTTGGGTACACGGTTCAGACCTCTCCAGAGACCTTGACTGACAGAGGAGGTGTTCAGGCTGGTTGAGAAAAAGTGACAGGCCCACTCTCATCATCTACAGGATCCTACATCAGAGAATGAGGAGGCTTACCGCAGACTTCACTCGGAGGTACGGAGAGCCGTGAGGTGCTGCAAGGATGGATGGTGGTCGCGGGTTGCTGAGGAGATGGAATCTGCCTAAGTGGGCTGAAATCACAAATCACTGTTTAATTCCATCAAAAAAGTAACTTGCAGCGCCACACCTATCGCCATCATTAGGAGATAGAACGATGATCCAATTTCCGACCCCCAGGAACAGGTTTGCAGATTTGCTGAGCATTTCTGAGGTCTTGGGGGAGGGGAAATCCATCAGCTGTGAAAACATCTTTGGGCAAAGTGGGGGGCTGAACCTGCTGAGGCTACGGTGCCTCAAATATTAGAAGAAGTTGTCAAGCCCTGTGAGTGGTTTGCTGAGGTGCCATCTGTTGAGGAAGTATGAAGGCGATCCTTAAGTCTGAGACCAGGAAAGGCACTGGGCAGAGATGATCTCCCAAGCGGAATGCTCAGGGAGGGTGGCGTTTGTGCACAGACTGCCCTATATGACATCATAACAGTCTGGACCACTGGATGGGTTCCGCAGGATTGGAAGGATGCCCTGGTGGCCCCCCTCTTTAAGAAGGGGGACCGTACAGACTGTAACAATTACAGGGGCATCTCACTCCTCAGTGTGCCGGGAAAGCTGGCAAGGATTATTCAACATCGCCTTTCCAGGCACGCTGAGGAGAGGCTTGCAGAGCCCCAATGTGGTTTCAGGAAAGGGCGGTCCTGCACAGATGGAATATTTTCTGTCCATCTGCTACAGCAGAGGTGTAGGGAATTCCAACAAGACCTATATCTCTGCTTTATTGACCTGGTCAAGACCTATCATACCATCAGTAGGCAAGAGTTCTGGGTTATTCTTCGTGCTTTTGGAGTCCCTGACTCTCTGCTCACAATCATTAAGGACCTTTATGATAATGAGCAGGTAAAACTATGTGGCCGGGAATTGGAGCCATTCCCTATTCACCTTGGAGTGCTCCTACATTATTTAACATCTATTTCAACCACGTAGTTCGTGAAGCCTTCGATTGCTGTACCGGAGGAATTTCCATCTGGCACAGATACAATGGGAGGCTAATCGATGCCGGGGTGTGGTCAAGGGATGGCTCCCTATTGGCCAACCATGTTACGTATGCCAATGATCTGGTAATTGCTGCTCAATCAGAGGAGGAGTTGGAGGCATTGCTGCTGAAACCTGGAGTGTGGCACTAAGAGGTGGGCCTTACCATCAGGACCACCAAAACCAAGCACCTGCCTGGGTATTTTGTGCCATCAGACACTCCACCCCCACAACTCCCAATTGGTGATGGGGCAATTGTGGAGAGAATGGAGAGTTTCCCATACCTGGTCAGTGTGCTCATGACCGGCTCCGGTTTGACAGCAGAGGTCTCACTCTGAATCAGTCGAGCAGTATTATCGTTTAATCGGTTGTGTAACGCTACCTGATCTGTCGCTACACACGAAGCATAAGGTCTTCTCGGCTACAGGCATGCCCTCCCCTGTCTACCCTTGCGAAAAGTGGACCCCTAATGGAACATTTAGGCTGGCCTGCCTATGATCCATTCTGGGTTTAACCAGGCTAGATTGTGTAAGGAGCTCACAAATCCTTGAAAGATCTGGACAAAGTCCCATCGGTGAGCTCTTCCGGCAGGCGAGGCTGCGTTGGCTGGGTCATGTAGCCCGCATGCCCAGCCACTACATGCCTAAACAGTTTTTGTCTGGCCGGATAGGGGGGGCTCAACAGGCGCAGCACAGGCTAGAGAAGAGATTGAGTGATGAGTTCCAATAGGATTTGGAGCTGAGTGGACTTGTTGATGACTGGTACCAGTGGTGTCAACATTGGCCTCGGTGGAGGAGGCTCGTGAAGGACGCTACTGGGCAGTTGGAAGCAGTCACCCTCCAGCAACAACGGAGGGCAGAGGAGCGACGCTCACAACAATGAGCAGAGCGCCGGGTGGCTAAAACACAGCAAGTTGGCACAGTTGGGGGCATCAGCCAGTCATCTGTCAGTCGACCCATGGCACCTGGGTCTGCCCCGTGACCTCCTGCCAGCGAGCGTTCGACATTTCACATGGCCTTAACATGCACATAGCCTGGCACAAGCGCCGTGGTGATGGCGTGTGATGCAGGCACCTGTGGGATCGTTGGGAGAGGGGATCGAGTGAGCTGTGTGTGTGTGATGTAGGCACGTGTGGGACCGTTGGGAGAGGGGCTTGAGTGAGCTGTGTGTGTGATGCAGGCACATATGGGATCGTTGGTAGACGATACTCGAGTGAGCTGTGTGTGTATGTGATGCAGGTACGTATGGGCTGGTGGTGACGTACTGCAGCCAGGGCGAGGAGGAGAACCTGCTCATGAAGATCGCTGCAAAGTGCAACCTCCAGCTGCAGGCCCTGCCCGGTGCGTGCCTCCCGACAACAACCACCATTCACCACATAAGTGGGGGTGGCATCACGACGGCGCTTGTGCCACGCTGGGTACACGCACACACACACACTAGCAAACGCGCGCCAGGCGCAGACCGACGTCGCCCCTCTTTATCGACACACGGCACCGACCTCCGACCCTAGCTTCAATTCCACGAGCTGTCACTGGCTGGTGCATCCATTTACACCACTGTGTAAACCGGTGTCACTTCCGTAAACAGCCTGATCAGCAGTAGATTTCCGGTGTTTGCAGTCAGAGTAAACTTTAACGTGGCTTCGTGCGCCACTGGAGAAACAAGTTCCTTTCTTCCGATGAAGCCAATTGCAAGAAAGGAAACCTGCATCACATTCACCCGTTCCCGAGATGACTGCAAGTTGGGGGGTGGGGTCCCGATAACCGCCGAATCTCGGAACGCGCAAGCGGTTAGCATTAGCCAAATCTCGGAACGTGCAAGTGGTTAGCATTAGTTTTATTCAGAGAGGCATAACGCTGCTGTTTTTAAAAGACATTGCACTCACCGCAGAGAACCATAGCGACACGACCGCACCCTGTGATAGCTGGTGCCAAACTGTGCCACACGCCCTCCCGCATGGCTTTGTGGGAGCCTTGGTACTGATATAGATATTTTATTTAAGTTTTTCTTCCGGGTTTGTACTGATGATGTACACATATGTTATTGAATCATTACATTTGTATATGAATCATAATTACTTATGACCCAGGAAAGACTCTTTCAGGAGGGTCCTGCTACCCTGGGTTGTTTGGTCAACACCATTTACAGAACAGGGAGAGAACATGCACACTCCACACAGAAAGGCGGCTGAGTTAGGAATTGAACACAGGCTCCTTGTTGCTGTGAGGCTCCGGTGTTACCGCCATGCCACCCGGCCGCCCGTCATTGTTTCCGATGGCTGAGTGTGTGTAACCAGCGCTCGTCCGTGCCGTTCTCCTAGAAACCATCTCGTCGGACTTCATGGCCGAGGCGTTCGCTGACCAGGAGGAGGACGCTCCCGGGGATCTTCCAGTGGCAGCCGTCGTGCAGCCCCCCGCGTGGCCCTCGTCGCGATCCTCCTTGGCGAAGCACAAGGCGCGACCGCAAGTCCCGGCCCAACGGGTGCGGGCCGAGCACAGCGGGAAGGCCCCAGCTCGAAAGCAGCACAAGGGTGGGGCACCTAACCCGGCCGGGCCCTGGGAGGAAGACGAACCCGGCTGCAGGAGGGTTAGCGTAGGGGGTTCGAGTGAGGCAGCACGGCCGGCTCAGGCCGCGACCGAGGTTCGTGTGGCTGAGAACGGCGGCGGTGGTGGTGGTTGCCTGTCATGGCAGCCGGCCTCACTCCACCCGCTTCCTCCAAATCGGCTTCGAGAAGCCGGCAGCTCATCGGAGAGTATCTTACCGCAAGTTCCTCCCTTGGCTCTATTTAAACGGAGCTCCTCCACGCAGAGCAGAAATTTCGCAGAGGCGCTCGCCGACTACGAATACTTTCTGTGCCACGGCGTCGGCAAGCCCCCCGAGGCCGGAACGGCGGTCGGCGACGGTGGCGTGGGGGGGGCGGAGAAGCGGCCCACGTCCCGTGGGGAGAGTGACCCCCAGCAGTCGGACTCCTGTGAGCCCGCATGCGCCGGCGGGACGGAAGGCAGCGCCGCTCCTCGGTCGGCGGGCGGCAAAAGCGACGACGATGAGAAGAGCGTTGGCACTCACGTGAGGGGGCACAGTGAGAGAGAGGTGGAGCGGGAGGAGGAGCGGGAGGAGGAGAGCAGCGACGAGGAAATGGATGACGCGGACGAGGAGGAGGGCAGCACAGACACGATGGACAGTGAGGTGCGCGAGGCCAGTGGAGACGACGCAGCACCGAGCCAACGACACGACGACCCGCGGCTGGAACGCACTGCCGTGCGCGGGGAGGGAGCCGCTTCGGGAATCCGGGCCGAGCGAGCCGAGCGGAGGTTGGGCGCGGACGCGGCAGCGCGGGCGGGTGGCGCGACAGCCGGCAGAGCCGCCGGTGGGAGCCATTTAGACTACAACTCGTACTTCTTCCCAAAGAACTACGAGGCCAAGGGCAGGCCTCTGCCGTCCACTCCAAAGAGAGACGTGAAACGCGACGCTTTCCCGTCGAGTGCCACGAGACCTGCGCTCAAACAAAAGGCCGCGGCTGAGCGAGACGCGGCGTCTGCCCAGCCGAGAACCAGAGAAGCGAGGCCCCGGGCGGCGGTGGGTTACCGGGCGGCGGCGGGGGCCGCTGACGGAGCTTGGCCGGCGGGGGCCACAGAGGGAGCGTGGCCGGCGGGGGATGACGCCGACCCTTATGGTCCATATGCAGCGTACGCGGCCGGCGGCGGGTGGAGCGCCTGGTACCGACACTACTGGCAGTGGTGGTACTATGCCAACGCCGTGTACACGAGGGAGCTCGTGAAGCGCTGTTAGCGGGCGCCTGCGATGGTGCATGCAGGGGGAGCGGTGTGGTGGTGTCGGGGGCCCAGCGGTTGCGCCTTCGCCGCCCGTCGTTCTTATCGTTGTTATTGTTTATCCAGGAAGGCCTCGCCAGGGCTGGCGACACTCTTATTTGAGGAGGGTCCTGCCGAGTTGTCGCAGTAGGGGGGCGATTCTGCTGCTGCTGCTGCTGAGTGATCTCGATTGAGTGTTTGCAGCTAATTTTCACAATTGGGATGTTTTGGGCTGTTTATACTTTGTACGTTTATGTTTTTTTTACCCTTAAATATGTGGCTTCTGCTTCATGTTGGACGTTAAAGATCCCCCGACGTCGATTGAAAGGAGTAAACTTTTGTTGCCGGTTTCACTGTGCAAAGTGGCCCGGGCCTTCAATTGGCCAGGTTTGCTACTTACGGTTGAGAAAGAACTTCAACATACACGCGTACATTTGACAAATACCAACGCAGGTGAGTTGACTGGGATTGGTGTACATATCACGATCTTCGCCCACCCTCCACAGGCAGAATAAACTGCCGATTGCAGGCCACGTGTCCGAGTCGCCTCATGTTGCACAGGGACAGCTGCCGCTGGGGGTGCCCCTTTCAAATTTTTGAGATCTGTTGGGAGTCACTTATTGCGCAGGCACAAAGTGACGATTGTTTTCGTGAAGATGGGGCCTTGTCTCGTTCTAGGGGGAACGCAGTGAGAATGTTGACTGCGGTCCACCTACAGCACAACTACACAGCATAGCTACATCACACCTACACAGCATAGCTACAGCACACTTACAGCATAGCTACAGCATAGCTACAGCAAACCTACACAGCACACCTACAGCATAGCTGCAGGATACCTACACATCATAGCTACATCACAGCTACACAGCATAGCTGCATCACACCTACACAGCATAGCTACATCACAACTACACAGCACACCTACACAGTACACCTACAGCATAGCTACAGGATACCTACACAGCATAGCTACAGCACACTTACAGCATAGTTACATCACACCTACACAGCATAGCTACAGCACAACTATACAGCACAGCTACATCACACCTACACAGCACACCAGCATAGCTACAGCATAGCTACAGCACCCCTACACAGCATAGCTACAGCATAGCTACATCACACCTACACAGCACACCTATAGCATAGCTACAGGATACCTACACAGTATAGCTACAGCTCACCTACAGCACAGCTACAGCATAGCTACAGCTACACAGTATAGCTACAGCTCACCTACAGCACAGCTACAGCACACCTACAGCATAGCTACAGCACACCTAAACAGCATAGCTACAGCACAGCTAAACAGTATAGCTACAGCACACCTAAACAGCATAGCTACAGCACCCCTACACAGCATAGCCTCAGCACACCTACACAGCATAGCCTCAGCACACCTACACAGCATAGCAACAGCACACCTTCACAGCATAGCAACAGCACAACTACAGCATAGCTACAGCACACCTACAGCACCCCTACACAGCATAGCTACAGCACACACAACATAGCTACAGCACACCTACACAGCATAGCTACAGCACTCCTACACAGCATAGCTACAGCGCATACAGCCTAGCTACAGCACACCTACACAGCATAGCTACAGCACACCTACACAGCATAGCTACAGCACTCCTACACAGCATAGCTACAGCACACCTACACAGCATAGCTACAGCACACCTACACAGCATAGCTACAGCATAGCTACAGCACACCTACACAACATAGCTACAGCACACCTACACAGCCTAGCTACAGCAGAGGTGGGCGGAGGGGGGTCAGTGGGGTGATAGATGAAACCCTGCAAAGTTGTTTTTATTGACACGGTGTAAACGCGCGGAAAGTGTCGTGTACTTTGTTTTAATGTACACCATGACATTTCGGGACCATGTCCCTCTCTCCCTTGGAAAGTTTCTAGATCCGCCTCTGGAGTCACGGGGGTGGGGGATCTCGCTTTGCCTGGGTCTCATCAGCAGCCCCCGACGCTTAGAACCGCACGTTTTGCATCCGCACTCCTGCAGCTGCCCACACGTTCCCCACTCACGCACGACTTCTCTCGGCGCGACGTGGGCATCGCGAGGGTGGCTGGGAGCCCCCCGCGTACGAGGCAGAGCTCACCGGGTTGCGGTCCGCAGGGTGGTGGTTCATAAAGGACAAAAGAGATGGAGAGGCTCGTGCAGATGGTGTGTTGGGCAACCTCTGTGTCTAAGATCTGTGAAGGAACTGAAATAAAGTGATTCGTCATTTAAACTTGCGCCGCATGCTGTTCACTCACGATATTCGGTGTTCACTCAGTATGCGCTCACAGTTTTCACTCGGTGTTCACTCGCTCTTGTAGACTGTAGACAGAACGACTCGGAGGTTCGACGAGGAGCCACTGATGAGCAGCAGCAGCCATGCAATGAGCCACTGCCAACAATTGCCCAAGCTGTGGTCTTCCATCTATGAAGGTGTTATCGTCAATTAATTAGCGCTAACATGTGGGAGGAAACCAGAAAATCTGGAGAAAACTCACATGCACGAGGGGAAATAGACCTATGTGAGGGAAAGAGCTAAGCGTTGAGGTAAATGACCTGGAATTCTAGTAGATCCAAATTTATGTATGTGTAGTGGTAATGATGGAGACAGTCTTCTTTTGGAGGCAACACGTTTATTTAACAGTAACAACTATAACACGAGGTCCTTAGCACAAAGGGGTATGGGCCCCTCCACCCGATACCCTGGGGAGGAATAGCCTCCGGGCTAGCGTGTCCTATTCACTGGGACCACTTCCTCTATATATCAGCCCTCCGGATAGGGGGACCTCGGGGAGGCTAGCTGACCCGACCCAGCCAAGGTCCCCGGGTCCCGGCCACTGGCCCACTCAGTCCCGGCCCTTAGAAGGATGGCGAGTCGGGGGGGTTCCCAGGGTCCTATTCTAGGCTGGCTCTTCGGGTCTTCAGCTTGACGACGACTGGCAAACCCATTCAGGGGTCCGCCTTATATACAGCTCCCAGGGTCACTCCGCCCCTGGCCACGCCTACTCTCTAGAACCTTCTGGAGGGACCTGGAATATTGCGTAATCCCCCAGCCCCCACTGGGGGCCTGGGGTGTGTACCTCCGATTCCCAACCACCCTCTCTGGGTTCCCTGGCCTAACGGCGTTACACGATACAGGCCGTACTCGCCATTGCCCCCTGTTGACCAATGACTGACGCTACACCAGGTGAGTAGTGGTAACCGCGTTTAACGCTAACAATACCCACTACATATGTACCGTGTGTAGCCAACCGTGCTAATGGGATGTTTGGGGGAAGGACAATCAACTAAACACAATAAACAATTCTAAAGAAATTAGTTTTCCATCTATATTTAAAAGTGCATAGCTCCATTAGCTTAATATCAAAAGGAAGAGCGTTCCAGACGGCCACAGAAGCGCATCTGAAAGGGCGCGATGCAGTCAAGTCTTTGTTCGATGGCTGTCCAAAAGCCGCTGCTAGGATGACCGAAGTTAGCGTGATGGTTTATGCTCCTTGACATGATCAGCAAGGTATTTTGGTTCATTTGTGGCAAGGACTTCGTGTGTAATGAATGCGACCTCATAATGTATTCGTTCGGCAACCAGAAGCCAATGCAGCTTAGCGATCACGAGATTGACATGGTCAGATCTTGCATAACCCGTCACGACATGTGCCAGCTTGGTAATGTTTTTGCCAAACATCCCACAGAGGAGTTGCAATAATTGAGCCTTGTCGATACTATACTACACGCCACTGTTGGCTATGTCACCACTCAATAGCGGTCGAATGTGTCGTAGAGTCCTGATATGAAATTTGCAGGACTGGACTAAATGGGTTTTGGGGGGGGGGGGTAGGAAAAAGTTGCACATGCCAGCTCCAGCCACCTGAGCGGGGGACACCGGGAATCCGGGGCACAGCGCCACCGGGGGCCGGTCTCAGCCCTTGGCTTCAGGAGAAATGCGCCCAGCCCGAGTGCAGCATTCCCAACAACTGAATGGCGACTGCCGTGTTTCGTGAGAAACCCTCGAGGAGGATTAAACAAGAAACCTTGCAGGAACAACCCTAAAAGTTGACAGGACAAGCCAGGGAGTTGGGGAATCCTGCTCAAGTGAGCAACAAGGTGGTAATCCACTCACTGTTGACTTATCCATAGAGTGCCACACACATGATGTGGTTATCACATAATTCAGTGTTAAAAAAATATATTAAACCTATTTTTTTTATTTAACCGGGTGTGGCCCACTGAGCTATATAGCGCTTTTTCAGAAGCGACCTGGCCACAAATGGTAGCTTAACGAAGTGGCTTATGTCGAAATTTCAAGCAGCCAAATACACTAAAATCATGTTTCTAAATACGTAAGGATAAACGGGAGGAAATCCACGTGGCTACGGGGAGAACATGCAAACTCTAACTATAGAGCAGGCATCAAGGTCTGGATCGAACCCATGACGTCCTGCATGCCTAGCGAAGGCGGTAACATCTCACGACCCTAGCGCCTGTTATTGGGCACATTAAGAAATTGGAACCGCTGAAGCGATGTCACCTCAAGTGGTAATGGCGAGAGCAACTTCTGGGCTCGAGGACTCAATGCAGAATTAAGACCAAATGCTCGAGACTGGAGAATTTTGAACATGGTAGGAATCACCCCCGAGCAATGCTGGGCAGCTGCCCTTTGCGATGCCTCCAGGTCACGCAGCTTGACCACTACACTTTTCAAAGCAACTAGATTTAACCACGAGTTCCGTAAAACTCGAGACAGAATGTGACAACACAACGGATCGTGGCTTCGGTTTTAATGGCAGAGCGTGGCCACGATGCAGGCAGATGCTGCCCGGTCAGCGCCGTGACCCCCACATGATTAATTTCACCCTCGCTCCACGCTACGCATCACTCGCCACTGGCCCAACAGGGAGCGGCGGCCACTAGAAACGGTGTGGTCATAAATGTATTAAATACAATGCAAACGTTTAAAACCTATATTTTTACAAAACAAAATTGGCACGTTGATTTACTTGTTTAGGTTATCGATTTAAAAGACTGAGGGTCATTTTAAATACAAAGATTTGGGTTTTATTCTCCAAGGGCCCCACTGCCACCATGCGCACTCCAGCGAGCGGCAGTTAAGCCCAGGGCTGATCCTGGCTGGCCCTGGCTGGCCCTGGCTGGCCCTGGCTGACCCCTGATGGCCCCAGCTGGCCCCGGTCACACCGACACACACGTGGCAGGCAGACACGTGGTCAGGGCCTCTGTCCCAGGCGGCTACGCGCTGCCTCGCGTTGCTCCGACAGCTTGATGTGCGAGTACGCCGCGATGCCAGCCAGCGTGCACAGGATCCCGAGCGCCTGGTACGCGGAGAGCGGGTCCTCGAACAGCAGGTACCCTCCCAGCAGCGTCACGCAGAACTTGAAGTGCCCGAACATGTTGTAGCTGGCTCCAGGACTCAGGAAAATGTGGCAATGTCTCAGCGCGCATGGTGGTTAACCTGATAAGTCAGGGTGGTGGCGCAGTGGTAACACTCGTGCCTCACAGCAAGAAGCACCAGGGTTTGATTCCCAACTCGGACGCCTTCTCTGTGTGCAGTTTGTATGTTCTCCACATGTTCTGCATGGGTTTTCCCTGCATTCTCCGATTCCATCCTGCTTCGCTTCCGAGATCTGACGAGGTTAGGTGCGTTCCATTGGTCCCATACCAGCAGTGCTAGAGAAACAATACAGCGCTGCAAATGCAGTAAATTTCCTGCTGAAATTGACACGGACAATCTCCATTGTCCATGTATCGCACTGGACCGGTCTAGGTACGTGAGCGACGCGGGCATTGGTGTCCCACTCAAATACTTGCCGCGGTGGCGAGATGTTAACTACCTCGCCTGATATACAGGAGGTCGTGGGTTTGATCTCGACCCTGACGTCTGCAAATTTGGAGTTTGCGTGTTCTCTCTCCCCATGGCCATGTGGAATTTTCTCTCCACATTCAGAAGCAACGTGAGTTTAGAGCATTTAGCTGCTATAAATTTCCACGTGACAAGTGACTTCGTTGAGTTATCATGTGTCGCCAGGTCAATTCTGAAAAAGAGCTACATAGTTCAGTGAGCCTTACCTGGTAAAATAAAAAATATAGTTCAGTCAAGTATAAATGAACACATAGCCATGCTCATCTCCCATTCACAGCCCCAAACCAGTGGTGTTCAACCCTGTGCTGACTTCCTAAAAAATTGGTACTAATCTGGTACTCACTTTATCGGCCCCTAATAGAATGATAGGCTCAGGTGGACCACTGACGAGAATGTGAACTTCAAATCCACAATATCCTCAAACATGTAATGTAGATACAACGGTGGCATAGTGGTTCGCACGCTGCACAATAAATCCAGCAACCTGCATTTGACTGTAGGCCACGGTTAACACCAGTGGCAGGTAACATCTGAAGCGATCCAGGGCCACCACCTGCACAAACCCGCAAGGAACCCCATTGCAGACGACAACAAAGCGGAGAGCGGCTGCTGGCGGAGGATACGTGACGGGGGAGGTGCTGCCAATGATCCAGTAGATGGACAGGTTGACGGAGAACGCCACCACTCCCGACAGCAGCACCAGCACCTGTGGGCGACGCCAGACTGTGAGCCAGGTAGCATCACGAGTGGAGTATCATGAGTGGAGCTGCACTGGTGGACTATCTTTAGTGGAGTATCATCAGTGGACCTGCACTGGTGGACTATCTTTAGTGGAATGAGTGGAGCTGCAATGGTGGACTATCTTTAGTGAAGTGTCAATCGTGGAGTATCATGAGTGGAGTATCACTCGTAACGAATAATAATGAAGTACATTTGGTGGGGCGGTGGCTCACCACGGTGCCAAGGGACCAGGGGGAGAGGAGAGCGCCCGGCCCCGTGAGCGGCTCAGCCAGGGGCACGACGAACAGCAGCATCGCACACGACATGGGTGCCTGGTAGTAGAGCAGCTGCATGGAGTTCACCTGCAGCTCCTTTTGCTTCTCTCCCACCCACTGCGTGCGCGCACAGCAAAGGTAGTGGCCGTTAGTCACTGCTGGGCGACGATGACATACGGACCAGAGTTTAGTCATGACTGGTTTATTTTCGGTTGCATTGAGTATATAGTGTCAATTTGTTTAACTGTGACCCTCCACAAACCCGACAAAGCCAACCAAATCAAGTTGTCAAGTAGGCAAATATGGCGAGTGATTTTGTTTTTCAGAGAACCGACGGAATGTTGAAAAGCAAGGAAACATTTTCAAAAATTTCATGCGACGCTTCGCTGGAGATTATGTGCAGCATCGTCAAGTTTAAATTTAGCCCACCAAATTTCCGTGAAGCAGACGGTGCGTATTTAGAGTTAATGCAGTATTAACCAGAGCGACCTGCCGGCTCCGAACCACAAACCTCTGCAACAAGCAGTAAATGCACCACCACTAGGTGGCGCTACCACTGAGAGCAGCAGCTTGCAAGCCATGACTGGTACTGCAAGGTATGTTTCATGGGTCTCAATGGGTACATTTCATCTCCTGGTTATACAAAGTATACAGACTACACACACACAGAGGCGTGAACACGGCCACGTGGCACGAGGTGTGGCGGCCACGTACACACAGCGCGCTTCACGCGCAAATCCTGGCATGAGCCGCCACATAGCCTCCGTGTGTGCACGCGTGCGACGGACCACAAAGGCCTGCCCTGTGCCTCGGCGCCCGGGTAAATACGCGGCTCTCACACAACTGCGATGATGACCACATTTAAAATGCAGTGCCGGTGCAGACCAAGTTTTTTTCTTTCTCAGAAATTGAGCCCAACAAGTACATTCAGAGGCGCGGGAAAATCAATGAAAAATTCCAACAAACGGTGGACACTCAACGCTGATGTGTGCGGCGCAGTGCGAGAGGAGGGAGCGAGTCCGCAGCTGCCACGGAGCAGCAACGTTCACCGTGCTCGCTTCGAGGGATGACGTGCTCGACAGAGAGGAGGCCCGCTTGAGACAAGACTCGCATCTCGAGAAACAATTTGGCATGCACATTCTTGGCGACTCTCTCCATTGCTGATCGGAGGGACGGTCGCACAATTTTCAACCAAAAACCGTAGAAGGCAGGGACGTTAAATGGGAGGGGAGGGGTGGGTGGTGAGCGGGGCCCCACGCGAAGTCGCTCGCCACGCGTTTACCCCAAGCTCACCACTTGGTAGAGAGAGGTGACGACGACACCCAGGGCAGCATACACGCTCCCCAGGACGTTAAACCGCACGTCGTAGAACGAGTTCAGCACAACGCCCATTGTGATGGGGACCTGTCATGGAGGGGGATGTCAGGAAACGCGGCAAAGTCAGCGTGGTTGAGCTCACTGGTGTACGACAAAGACAATGGTACCCCGTGTAGCCTTAACAGACTGTTGACGCAAGTGCTGTTAGCGAGCTCCTATGAAGGCCAGCAAGGTACACGAGGAAAGTTGGTGGCCAACACCACACCCGGCCGCCTTTGTCTCTCCAGTGGCGATGTTTACACACCGCACCACCTACTCATCTGAGGCTGAGTCGACCTAGGGGAGGCCCAAGACCGGTTCAGATAATCGTCACAGGTGTTAGCTGCGAGCGGGAATTAACCTCGCATCGCCGGGTTCGTAGCGCAGCGTGCTAATGGCTCCGCGAACCTCTACACACTGGTGCACAAACATACACACACAGGCGTGCACATTCTCAAGGAGGAGCGCACAAGCAATGAAAACCACGCACTCGCGTCCACACACGGTGTGTCACTGGATGCAGGCGATGGCACTCGTACGCCCAGAAGAGTGAGCCCCACAGACAAGTCTTTGGCTGACAACTTGAGAAAAGTGACAGTCGACCACTGGCACTGACAAGTAAAATAATGTGTGAGCATTTTCCCATAATATGCATTCCTTAAGGTGCACTATTTTAATAAAAAATGGTGAACAGTACAGTCGTAAACTACATGCAAGTCGTGGATGTTTTCACAAACACAAGGAAAACATTTTTGGAGGGGCACAACTGGAATGCAACACAATGTGTAATACCAATCGGACAGAGAGACCTGGGGCAGGGAGGCCTAGACCAAGGAGACCTGGGACAGGGAGACCTGGGATCTAAAGAGACCTAGACCAGGGAGACCTGGGACAGGGAGACCTGCGACAGGGAGGGGTGGCATTGAGAGGATCTGCCACTCACCAACGTGAGCTGAACCTTGGCTGAGAAGCGCCTCCCGTAGAAGACGGTCTGCAGCGCCACGATGACCGGCGTGGTCATGGCCTTGGCGAGCTGATAGGTGCCCACCGTATTGCTCCTCAGCGACAGGTTGGTGAGTGCCACGAATCCGCAGAAGCTGAGCGCCAGAGGCAGCAGCTGGCGCGGGGAGAGCGTGCGCGGGGCGAAGAGCGCCAGGCGCCGGCACAGCTCGAGGCCGAGTGCCGTGCAGGCGAAGTGGAGGAGCGTGAGGCTCAGGCTGGGGAAGCCGTGCTGCTCGTAGAGCCACTTGTTGAGGAAAACCACGGCCACGGACGACACGAAGTTGCACAGCATGGCGCACGCCACGCGCCTAGGCGCCGGAGGCATCTCCTCCTACGTGGAGATCACAGAGATTGCGATACTCGGTGATGGGAGGAGTGCGGGAGAAGATGAGTGACGGAGATGAGTGACGGAGATGGGTGATGGAGATGGTAAAGAAGACGAGTGATGGAGATGAGTGACAGAGATGGGTGATGGAGATGGTAAAGAAGATGAGTGATAGAAATGAGTGACAGAGATTGGTGATGGAGATGGTTGAGAAGATGAGTGATGGAGATGAGTAACAGAGATTGGTGATGGAGATGGTTGAGAAGATGAGTGATGGAGATGAGTGACAGATATTGGTGATGGAGATGGTTGAGAAGATGAGTGATGGAGATGAGTGACAGAGATGGGTGATGGAGATGGTTGAGAAGATGAGTGATGGAGATGAGTGACAGAGATGGGTGATGGAGATGGTAAAGAAGATGAGTGACAGAGAAGATGAGTGATAGAGGAGGAGATGAGTGATAGAGGAGGCGTGGAGTTAGAACCTGCGTGTCCGGATCCTCGGGACGCGGAGGAGACGTGGCGAGGACCTGGAACCCCGTGACTCCGGGTGCCGTGGATGGTGGGAGGACCTGGGGGGGTGGGGGACGAGGGAACCTGGCTCGGCGAAGAGGAGGAAGAGGAGGAAGAGGAGGAGGAGGAGGAAGAAGAGGGGTCCCCCCCGGGTCCCGCTCTAGGGCGCCGGCTCCCGCAGGGTCGCGCAGCGAAGCCGCGGTGTAGCAGCGCGACGCGGGCGCATCTCACGGGGACCAGCGGGGACCAGCAGGGTGATGTTAGTGGTGGTGGTGGTGATGTTGGAGTGATGTTAGTGGTGGTGATGTTGGAGTGATGTTAGTGGTGGTGATGTGATGTTGGAGTGATGTTAGTGGTGGTGATGTGATGTTGGAGTGATGTTAGTGGTGGTGGTGGTGATGTTGGGGTGATGTTAGTGGTGGTGGTGATGTTATGTTGGAGTGATGTTAGTGGTGGTGGTGGTGATGATGTGATGTTGGGGTGATGTTAGTGGTGGATGTGATGTTGGGGTGGTGTTGGAGTGATGTTAGTGGTGATGTTAGTGGTGGTGGTGTTGGTGATGTCCGAGTGAGGATCGGGGCGCTCCCGGCGCCGCCACCTCAATGGGAGTCGGGGGCGCGCTCTGATGACGCGGGGCATCCCCCCCCCCTACCCCCCCCCGTGGCAGGCGGAGCTGTCCGGGGCTGAGCTCAGGAAATGATCCCCCCCCCCCCCCACCACCGCTCCCCATCCCAACTCATTCACCTCAAGGGAGTGGGAATCGTTTAAAGAGAAACGAAGCCCCCCCCCCCCCCCCCGTGGTGATGCAAGCGCAGTTTGGCGTCGCGGTTACGATCCACTCATCTCGCCATTCAGAGGCGATTCGCTGCTGCTGCTGGTCGCGTGAGGAACGTCGAATTGTCCCGTGCGCGGAGAGACGGACTGTGTCTGTGCGTGTGAGAAGGAGCGGTGGTGCAGCGGTTAGCGCTGCGCTGCGAACCCGGCGACCCGGGTTCGATTCCCGCTCACGGCCGCCAACACCACCGGCGACGATTATCGTGGGCCTCTTCCCCCTAGGTCGACTCAGCCTCAAATGAGTACCTGGTGCCGTGTGCAGTAAACATCGCCACTGGGGAGACAAAGGCGGCCCGGCGTGGTGCCGGCCTTCAAAGGCGCTGCTCGCTAACAGCACTCGCCCCAACAGTCTGGTACAGGCTACACGGGGGATCTTTGTCTTTGTACAGCTGCGACGGTGCTGTTTGCCGCGGGCCGTGTATCCGTGGTGAACGTGCGTGTGCATCCACTGGGCATCTTTGAAGAAGAGCTTTAGAGCTCATCGGATTCCTCCTGTTTAAATAATCCCGAGCTGCTGACTCGGCGGTCGATTGCTGCGGCCTGGGCCCCGGGATATCACCTCCCCCCCACCCCGCCCCTCCCCCTCGCCCCTCCCCCCCACCCCGCCCCTCCCCCTCGCCCCTCCCCCTCGCCCCTCCCCCGCGCCATTCCCCCCCACCCCGCCCCCCGCCCCTTCACCCCGCCCCCAGGCTGCTCGGCGATCGACTGCTCGGCCTGACCGCACAGCACGTGCAGCGGCCTCGTGGTGCGGGTAGCACATCCTCCGTTCACTCATTCACTCACTCATTCACTCACTCATTCACTCACTCATTCACTCTCTCATTCACTCTCTCATTCTCACTCATTCACTCTCACTCATTCACTCACTCTCACTCATTCACTCTCACTCATTCACTCTCATTCACTCATTCACTCTCACTCATTCACTCACTCTCACTCATTCACTCTCACTCATTCACTCGCTCTCATTCACTCACTCGTTTGTGCAAGCTCGGCGGGTGCGCGCTGCTGCTGCCGCTGCTGCCGTGGAGTGAAGGAGCGCTGAGCGGTCGGGGACGCGTGCGCCGCGTGCGCGGCCGCTGAGGCCTAGCGCGGCCGCGGGGCCGTGCGTGGCGGGGGCCGCGCGTGGCGGGGGCCGCGCGCGATGCCCGCGGCTCGCAGGTCCCCGTGGTCTGCCGAAGTGCGCCTCGGCCTAGAGGCGCTCAGCCGCTTCCATAGACGCGTACCGAGTGAGCGGCTCGGCCGTTGCTTGGCTCAGGCTCGTGGGAAATCCTTTACAGCACGGCTCTTGGGATCGTGGCTCAGAGGACGGCTCGCGTTAAGCGCGTGGCTTTGAGCCGTGACACTCTCGAACTTGAGCCGGAGTCGAACCTGAGCCGGGCTGCCACTGAGAATTCTGCCAAACGGTGCGCGCAATGTTGCGTGAAGCGTCGCTGTAGATCGCATCGTCGGCGTCAACCGAGCTCGCACCCTCCGGGACTGATCACATTGCCACAGCCACCAACCACTTGTGAATTCGGCATCGGTTGGCTTTTGAATAATCTGCACCCCCCCCCCCCCCCCGTCAAAGTAATGTGGAATTTCCACCACTTGTCTGTAAACGCAAACAGCTGAACGCCGCGCAATGCTGTCGAGAACGGAGAAGTCATAGCCGGGGCCGTGCGCGTTACATCTGGACGGAGACGCGTTTGGTGAACTCGCACGGACGACCCCCTCGGGGTTGTCGCGGGAAGGGTTCCTTCCCCGAGCCAGCACCCATCACTGGGCTCGGCTTGGCGCGTGTGCGGGCAGTGGAATCCGCTGCGTTTGTCTCAACGGTGCGGAAGTTCACGGCCCACCCCCATCGCAACAAGCGCTGTTGATTTTCAGGGGAAGGTCGTGCCGAGACCAATAATATTCACTCTGCGCTGTGCGTGATCCACCGCTACGGCGGCGCCGCCTCTCACGCTGGCTACGGCGGGCTTTCTAATGCTGGTTGTTGTGTGGTTTCCGTGACACCACAGCTTTGAGGCTCCGGCATGGGTCTCACGAAGCAGTATCTGCGCTACGCGCCGGGCCCCGTGTTCGGGCTGGTGGCGTCGGCCCGCGCCAACGCCGCGTTCGTGGCGCTGCGCGGGGAGCGCGCGCGCTTCGCCGCCGTGGCCACGTGCGAGCTGGTCGTCGTGTGGGACCTGCGCAAGGGGGAGAAGGTGAGGGGGACCGGGCATGCTCCACTCAGTTCAAATTGTATTTTACCAGGTAAGGCCCACTGAGGTATTTACTTGTTTTTCAGAAGCGACCCGGCCACAAATGATAGCTCAACAGTGGCCCATTGTTTTGGACTTTATAGCATCAAAATAATCGAGGCTGAACGGCAGCTCTGTGATCTACACACGCTTGTTTATTTTTATTTTTTTTTACCAGGTAAGGCCCACTACTGAGCTCTATAGCTCTTTTTTTCAGAAGGGACCTTGGCCAACACAAATGATAGCTCAGTGAAGTAGTGGCTTATCGGCAGGTGGAAATGCAGAGCAGCAGCCAAATATTCGAAACGCGTGACGTTCGTTCTAAATGTGGAGGGAAAAAACTGGAGGACCTGGAAAAAAAATCAACGCGACTACGGAGAGAGCGAGACACGCAAACTCCAAATGCATAGGCGGCAGGGTCAGGATCAAACCCGTGACCTGCATACTGGGCGAGGTAGTTAACATCTCGCCACCGCGGCACCCCACCCTACTCCACGGCACTCCGCATATCTCCACGTGGGGTCCGCGGAGTATGTATGTACGTGCAGTGTTCTATTACGAAGTAGTAATTGTGTTCCTGAAGAACACTGCGTTATGTAAAAATCGCGTTATACAATATAGGCTAAGGCTGAACAAAGACTGAGGTGCGTGGGTAGCATCTAGAACAGACATGGGCAAAGTACGGCCCAAGGGCCGTATATGGCCCATTGGGCTTTTTAATCCGGCCCGCCGAACTTGTCCAAATATTAAATTACATTTTACCTTTCTCCTGTAATGCCCCCATTTCCCTATTAGATGGCGCACTTTGAATTTGACAGAGTGGCCCGGCCCCTCTGTCAAATTTTAGAACCCATTGTGGCCCGCGAGTCAAAAAATTTGCCCACCCCTGATCTAGAAGCATCCATCAGCACCCCGCCTTGTGTGATGCTACGCTGAGGCAGCCGTACAACTGCGGATTCCTACTCGCGTAACGTAATTCTGTTCACTCAATCGTTTTGTATCCAATTTGCACCCGCATGATTACATTCATCACGTTATGTCCAAGTCGCATTATGAAAACACCACGCACTTATAGGAGAACAGACTTGTATGTACCACCATACGTAGCCAACCTTGCTCAGCGGAGGTGCGGGTGAAGGACAACAAACGATACCCAATAAGCAGTTCCTCGCGCGGTTGGCCCCTGGCGCAACGCTTGCCGCGCGGCCCTTTCCCAGCAGACCGATCAGCCCGGACGAGAAGCGTCGCGTTGGGGCAGAATCCTTAGCTTGCAATGCTCCTGTAAATCCAACTGAATGTAAACGCACGGGAGGGTTGCGTGTTTAGGCACGGGCCATGTTTTTGTGGCCGTGGGTGGATGGCCCAGCTCGGCACGGCTTCCTGTTGGCCCTGGAAATACAGCAAAAGTTTCGACAGGGTTTAGCATCGCAAGCGCGAGTGCATTTAGGCACACCGTGGGTGGTGGCACCTGCTGACACGGTGCCTCTTGTAATAATTTAGCACGTTTGGTATTTGCTCCATTCTCATAGCGCAAGGCTATCACGCAGGCGCCACATTTCACAAGCAGTTGACAGTACTTTCACAGTCGAGGGAGATGTTGCTATGTGTAATCCCGGGTAATTAGGGTAAAAAAAATATCTAATTTGTACCCTGATGCCGGCACGCAATGGCCAACTCGCTTCAAATGACGTTAAGGGATTTTTAACATGGTCTGTGAAGCGGACAGCATGAAATTGTACGGTGAATACCCCGTAGTACTGACGCGCTCCTCATGATCCTTGGGTTGTCGCTGGCAAGTTCACTCCGCGAACACCTATCAGGGTCGGATTAAGCAGCTAACGCACTGCCAGGAGGCCGTGTGTCACCGCCACTGTAGTCCACGTAGCATTAGTAGCACCAGGGTGGCACTGCCAGGGCTGACGAAGCGTGCTCATGCAGGTGCTCATCATCCCGGGAGACAAGTCGGAAGTTACGCGGCTGGCCGCTGCCCCTTGCCGGGGTCGGCACGGTGGGGAGGAGGGCTACGCCGCGGGCGTGGAGCTGGCTGCTGGGCACGTGGATGGGGCTGTGCGCCTGCTGAGCCTGATAACAGGCGAGAAGCGTGTCACCTTCACGGGCCACCGCACCGCCATCACGGCGCTGGCGTACCATCCCGACGGCACGCGCCTCGTTTCCGGCTCACAGGTATGCCCGCGGGGGGGGGGGGGGCGCGCGGCGGGGAGGGTGTGGGAGATCTGGGGGTCGCGACACCACGACGGGTCACAATATTTGGGGTTCGGGTTATGAGTATTTTCCAGATAATACAAACGTAGAGAG